GGGTGGGGAGGGGGCTGGGGAGAACTGCGGGGCAGGGGGGGGAAGAGAAAGGGGGTGCACTATAAGTCTCGGCAGTTAAGGCAAATCCCGCTGTCTCTGGAATCTTGAGGAATCCGGAATGTCAAAGACATCAACAGAGAAAGTCAGGCCCTAGATTCTGATCAAAGGGATGGAGTTGGGGGTGGGTGGGGGGAGGCAAGGAATGGGTGGGGAGGGGATACACTGTGAATGGGGTCCAATGATTTATGTGCAAATTACGTACCCTCATTGCCTCCCCAGTCCAGGCCTCCACCCCCCACCACACACGCGCACCGCTAAAGAATGTCTAATCCTTCAAAAGCCGAGTCTAAGACTCATAGTTAGTCCGGGATCGAGGCGGGCGTGTAGGGGCTGTCAGCAGCCGCATGTCCAGCCGGTGCTCACGTCTTTACTGTTCAGTTTGATTCCCTCGGAGGCTTTCTCCATGAACATGGGCCCCGCATGCCTCAGCATCAGCTCCGTTCCCATCTGCACGAAGGCCTCCTCCACATTGCTGGCGTCCTTGGCTGACGTCTCCACCACCGACAGCATGTCGTCATAACTCCTGCCTACCTCGTTTGTTTCTCTAGCCTAAGCCCCTGGTAACCGCCCGGATAGACTTGGGGTCTGCGTGTCACCTGTATTTGCTCGTCGGACAATGAAGTTGAGAATGGTTCGGAGGCCGAATAAAAACCATTCCCTGGGCCGGATGTGGCCCGCGAACTGACCCAACCTACTCCAAATGATTACAACAGAAGGTTTGCCAGGAGCGGGCACAGAACGGTACAGCGCTGCGATTGAGCCGGTATTGGTCGCTGTGTACAGACTGCATGGGAGGGACAGCTTTCCGGGAACTCAGCTCCGGGGTGGAGGGAGGGGGAATTCCAGGAGCGCACACGAGGATCCCGAGAGGCCACAGAGTGAGGGAGGAAGCAGATTGTGTAGAATCCGCTGGTTAATTCTCTGCATTCCCACAGTTGCCTTACCAATAAAATTACCTGCATTCCAACTCTTCAATCCCACCCGGTTGTTTGTTGGGACGGGGCTGGGAACAGGGTCCGGTTTCTCTCTTAACAGCAGCCAGTGTTGGGCATTGAGACACCCCAGGTCAGAGCAAGCGCTCACACACTCCCAGCTCACCTCAGACACTCCAGCGCTCACCTCCAGCTCATAACATTGGTTCAAGCTCCACATTCCAGACTGACGCTCCACAGCAGGTATGGGGGGGGCGGGAGATGGGGGGAAAGGGTGTGCTGGGGGAGTCAGCGAGAGTCTTGACACACACGGAAACCCATCACCATGATCAGCTGAGTGTCTGACACACATGGTAATGGAGCGTTGCATTGTCAAAGGTGCCGTGCTTCGTGCAAGACGTTAAACCGAGGTCTCGTCTCTGTCTGAACAACTACAGACACACATGGAGACCAGAATAATCCATTGACACATTGTGCTTTACTGTCCGACACAGTCTGGGGATAAAGCAGCGGGAACACAGGGACAGGGACCTGCCTGAGGGCATGAGAGAGGCTCGAGTGAACAAGATTATTAAAAGGTAAAAGCATAAAAGAAAAGGGTTTTTTTTTATTAAAGAAAAACACACTTATTTTAGTGCCTCATTAACTTGTACAGAAATGTCACAACAAAGAACAGATGGAGAGATTAGTTACGCGCGTGGTATGGGGGGGTGGGGGGAAGGAGGAGGATGTTCGTGGGAGACGGAAAACAACAGACAAGTTAAACTGCCTCAACAACAACACATTGCATTACACAGCGCCTTTCACGTCGGGAGCACGTCCCGAGGCGCTCAAAACAAACCGGCCGCACTCAGTTTCAACGGAGCGGAAAGTCAGATGAAAAACACAAGTGTTTAAATTAAATTAGGCTTTTCTTAAAAAACACGCTTTGTTCACAATAAAATCCATCTAAAACTCCGGTCATTAATAAATAGTCGGAGGTGGAAACCAAGGGAAGAGCACCAGTGTGGAGGGCGGGGTGGGGGGGCAGCGAGCAGCAAGTCTTCATCGTGGGTATGTGACACAGCCCGAGAGAGAACAACTGCTAATCTATAGTATTAATGGTCACTGGGGTCTCAATATTTACCTGAGTGAGACCTATGGTTTGCATTGGAGGCTGGTGGTGGGGGAGAGGACATGTGGTCACTCAATCCACGGCTGTTTGTGGGACTCTGCTGTGCGCAATTGGCTGCCAAGTTTCGCGCACAAAATATACAGTCACTACACTTTAGGGTATATCCTGTGAAGCATTTTGAGACGTCTCAAAGACGTGATAAGGCGCTACATCAAATGTAAGGATTATTATTATTCTTATGATGATGACCTTCCAATTGGGGCCAAGGAAGAATCAATATGATTAAGAATGGTGAGAACTGGAAGCCAGAGATGATGAATAGCTCGAGGGATTTAAGGGAGAGAGGAAGGGAGAGATACCAGGTCAGTAAAAATATTGAGGGGTAATGGTGGGGAGGTGGGTTTGGGGAGGGTAGAATTTGTGGGTCAGGGGGAGGAACAGGCTGGATGGTAACCTTCCTGCTCCTGATTTCTTATAAGAGAGCAAGTGTCGTATTAACAGGCCATTTGTTTACGCGGCACAAGGAAGGCACCGCGGCACACCAGGCCGGGGCACACCAGGCTAAAGGGGGTAATAACACGCCATGTCCGTTCGTCTACAGACCAAAGCTTTCTAAGTGTGAAAAGCACAGAATGTGCAGTCCTCAAAATTGCATCATGTTGAGTTTGCACATTGGAATGGGAGATTCCCAGCACTGGGCTGTGTTGGGTGTATGGGGTGTGTGTGTGGGGGGGGGGGAAATGTGTGTGGGGGTGGGGGTATGTGTGTGGGGGTGGGGGTATGTGTGTGGGGGGGGTGTATGTGTGTACGTGTGTGTGTGTCTGTGTGGGGGGGTTTGTGTGTGCGGAAGTGGGGAAGAGGAGAGAGGGGTTAACTGGAATTTAAGTTGACCTTTCTTCATTTTGTTCGGTGAACTAAAATTTTCCAATACGTTGTGCAAACCCCCCCCCCCCCCCCACCCCACCACATCCACACACATCCACATCAAAATGACGTCAAAAACAAAACAAATAGAATCACTGAACTTTCTGTGACAGCAGCTACCGTTCTCAGATCGCTTTGTTTTAAGGGTAAAGTCCCTGAGGTCTGAGTTGGGAGAGGGGGGGAGAGACAGAGAGGTCAGAGGAATTTTGTTTTTGGGGAGGTAAAACTTTCCATTGTGCGGATGTTGACTGTCAAGGGTAAGGTTCAGCTCCTCAGCATTACGGAGTGGGGTGGTGGGGTGGTGTGTGGGGGGGGGGGGGATTTGAGTGTGTTTGTGAGTGAGGGGGAGTGGGGGGGGTGCGGGATGTGTTCGATGCTTCCTTGTAATATAACACAAAGAAAAGGATTCAGAAATGTCACAGACTTGTCCCCCACCCCCACCTCACCAAGTGAAATCGGAAAACATTTGGGTCGGCAGATTGAAAGTGGATTAGTTAAACTTTATACTATGTTAAACTAACTTAACCTTTATTCTACACACATACGTCAAACTCCTGGTAACTCGTTGCTCCAAAGGTAAAGGGCTCAGTGATGGAGTTATCTGTAGTGGTGATTTGGACGTGTGTATAAGCACATAAATAAATGCGTCCGAAATATTGACAGCATAATGATATAAGTGATCGTGACAAGTGAAGCCAGGGTCGAGTTATCAGGAGTTTACTGTATAAATACACAGACACGCACACAGACACACTGTGTGTGGATATATATATACACACACACACACACACACACGTGTGTGTATTTGAAAAGTTCATCATACAAACGACAACACATTACATTTACATGGTGCCTTTCACGGTTGGAGGACGTCCCAAGGCGCTGGACATTTAAGGGTTTGCACCCGAGCTGGGGGTTGGAATCAAGAGGGATGGTGGGTCAGGTGGGGTGGTGGGGGGTAGAAGGACGGCCGAAGGTGCGGGTAAAGAGGAGGGTCTTGAGATGCGCCTTGAAGGAGGCGAGGGAGGGCCGCGAGACGGAAGGGATTCGGGTGTGGAGTTCCAGAGGGTGGGGGCAGAGAGGCTGAAAGCCTGACCGCCTAAACGTGTGGGCAACGGTGGAGCGGGTAAGGTAGGCTACGGCGGGGCAGGGGAGGGAGGGGAGCGGGGCGGAGTGGAGTGGGGAGGGAAGAGAAGCAAAGAGACGTTAAGAGGATTGTGTGTAGAGAAGCCAAACCCCATCACTGGCCGGTGAAGTGCTCGAGCTGGTAAATCAGGTCCACGGCTGCGGCGATGTCCGGCACCACGTGATCGGGCTCCACCAGCGCGGGGTCGAAGGTGAAGTCCCTGTGTCCGTGGCAGGCGGCCTCCGTCAGGCTGTCCTCCAGGCTGCGGCGAGGGCTGTAAACCCCGGTGCACACCAGCACGGAGCTGCACCGCGCCGAACCCGGCAACACGGCTCCCGGCACCAGCCCATCACCGTCCCGGTCCACCTCCTGGTGCTGCTCCAGCGGGCCCAACACCCTCACTCCCTTGCCGGCCGCCACCTTGGCCTGTCGTCGCCAGCCTGGCCTCGAGCCCTCCTCCCTGAGGTAGCGGTTGTATAGGTTAGCGCCGTACACGTCAGTCATCAGGTTGTCCCTGAGGAGAGGAGAGGTTCCTGAGCCGGGAATTTCAGTGACTCCGCGCGTCAGTCAGTAATAACAATAATAATAATAATAATAACAATAATAATCCTTTCACTTGTTACAGGGCTTTATCACTTCGTTGAGACGTCTCAAAGCGCTTCACAAGATATATACAAAGTGGAGTGACTGTGTATTTTGTGGGTGAAACATGGCAGCAGATCGCGCACCGCGACATCCCGCACACGGTCGTGGATTGAGCGACCACATTTTTTTTAAAAAGGGATTACTCCCCCCCCCCCTGGAAAGCGATTTGCAATCGATTAACAACCGGTTCCCTACTGATTGCCAGGTAAACAGAGGCACGTGTGTGGAGTCAGGAAAGTCGCCTGAGGTTGCGCCCTGCCCGGGAATCAAACCCAGGTCCTCTCGCTTGCGAGGCGAGTGTGCTAACCACTGCGCTACAGGATGGGAGTGCCTTTGCTCTGCTCAGTGTTGACCTGGAGTCCACCCTCCCCTTCACTCACCCGATGGCGTAGAGCGTGTGAAGTGGCCGCTGCCAGCCTCTGGAGGCTGCCTGTGCTCGGAGCAGGCACTCTGCGTAGTGGTAGGTGGTCTCGCTGGGTTTGCCCAGCAACGCCTCATACTTCAGCTCACGGCCTGTGATCTTCTTGTAGATGCTCTCGAGGCAAACCATGAAGGTTCCGTGGCCAAACCTGCCAATGCCAGAAACAACAACAACAAATACATTGACACGCGCCTTCGGGAGGACATCCCAAGGCGCTGGACAGTCAGGGAATTGGAGCTGAGCTGGGGGCTGGGATCAGGAGGGGTGGAGGGCGGGGCCGAAGGAACGGATTTGGAGAACACAACTCAGCGGGTCAAAACCCGCTGTAGGGCAACACTGCCGCAGGGCTTGCCATTATTAGCGATGTCTGAGAAGCTTTCCTGCTGCTTGTCCGTAAGAGATTTGGCTTTGACCTCAAGCACCCCTCCCCCACTCCCACCCCCACAATTATCAGTGCCCCCCCCTCAACCGCCATCCCGCTCCGTACCTGGGGGTTTTGGCCTCCGCCATCCACATCAAGTCCATGTTGCAGGCGAGGAGGGGGATGTGGGGATACGGGGGTCTTGGGGGGGCATTGCCTGGGTTCCCGGCCGTCAGCAACACGTCCACAATCAGCTGCAGATTTGTCTCCCATCGCACTGGCTCCCCAAACAGCACAACCGCTGTGCTCACACAGAGAGAGAGAGAGAGACGTCAGAGAGAGAGAATGTCACAGAGTGAGAGAAAATGTCAAAGATATAGAAAATGTCAGAGTGACAGAGAGAGACAGAGAGAGAGAACGTGGCAGAGAGAAAATGTCAGAGAGAGAGAGAGAGAGAGAGAATGTCAGAGAGAGACTTGCTACAACATCTAATCACGTTGCTGAGTTGCATCAAAGGGTACCACAGCCTTGGGCTGTGAAGTGGAGTGACTGTGACTGTATTTGTCAGCTGCCAATTTGCACACAGCAACGTCCCACAACTCGTCATGAAGCAAATAACCGATTTTATTCGGTGGGGGGGGGGGGGGGGGGGGGTGGTGTGGGTGTGGGGGCAGAGTGTCGGCCAAGACATCGGGGGAGAAAGATACTCCCCTCTCTTTTCCCAACAGCCCCGCGGGATCTTTACCGTACCCCTGAACAGGGCACAGACCAGGAGCTCGAATTAACTTCTCATCCACAGGACGGAGTCTCTGACAATGTGGTGCTCCCCCACACACGCACCCCCCCCCCCCCGCCCGCGCCCCACCACCCCGCCCCAGTTGTTTCTGCGCAGCGGCTGAACAGAAAAGACCCGCAGCTCCCCCCGACACTGATCGCAACACGCATCGGAATTACCTTCAATTGTGGGGAAGTCCACCTCTGCGAAAGGCTAGTGGGGGGGGGGGGGTGGAAAAGGAGGAGTCAGAGGTCAATGTAGCACAGACACGATACAATCCACCCAAGCGCCTGGGATCGCGCCACCCACCCACACCGCCCCCCCAACCCCCGCAGCCCAGCCCTTCCACGAGGGAACAACGTGGGAACAGTCACTACACTGGGGTGGGGGTGGGGAAGAGCGGCGCATTATCAGAGACGGCCCGGGACGATGTCTCAAGTTGCTTCACTCGTGCACATCCCCCCCCCCCACCCCCCCCCCCCCCCCCCGTGGCGGAGGAGATAGCCGGGCACTGTCCAGTCGGGCCGAGTGGTGGGTTATATAATTCTGTGGTCACAGATGTTTCTGTTATTGCACCAGAGATGACGGTCACATCTACAATTTGCAAAGCTGCTTTATCCATTTAGCAGCTGTTTTCTGGGTGTGGGGGGGAGGGAGGAACAGACACCGGAGATTAAAATAGATAAAGAGGTACAAATCACGGGGATTTGATTTGACCGGTCAGGCCCGGTCGAGTCGGGTCGGATTGGGTTCCCTGAGAGCCATCCGACTACACACAACAACAACCACAACAACTGTGACAAAGACGACTGCGACGAAACTCTTAAGTGAGAGATTGGAAGGCGCCAGTTTTACACTCAAAATCCCAAACCCCTCAAGTAATAATAATAATAATAATAATAATGCTGGCATTTGATACAGCGCCTGATCACGTTGTCGAGACATCTCAAAGCGTTTCACAGGATATAATGTAAAGGGGATTGACTGTATATTTTGTGGACAGACACACTGATTAACAGTGCAATCAATCGGCCTTATAGTGTTAACCTGTGCCGAATATTACACCATCCAATTGGTGAATGGGGGGGTGGGGGCAGAAGCAGCAAATAACTTTTCACCTCCTCACACCTTCCATAAACAGGGACATTGTGGGTCCTGAGACCAACAGCTGTTTGTGAACGGCTGAGTCTATTTATTGCAGCTGTAGATAAGCGGTTTACTGGGGCTCTCTCACCGCTATTTTTGGCCTCCTGTTGTGATCCACCACATCCAGCAACGGGAAGGCTTCCCGCAACATCTCCACCGTGATCGCCCGAGAGAAACCGATGCTGAGACGGAGTTTCAGGAAAACAGGAGAACAGGAGATGGGTTAAAAACCAGAGAACGTTACACAGCACAGCTCAGGGACTCAGTAACATGGGGAAGAGAGGAACACAGCTTTGTAATGGCAGGGAATGGGGTGAGGGTAGAGAGCTGCAGTGGGGGAAGCGAGCGCCAGCACAGACACGATGGGGAGGGAGCGAGAGCAGGGGATGGGGTTAAGAGTAGAGAGCTCCAGGGGCGGGGGTGGGGGGGTGGAAAGTTCTTTGAATACCTTTTGGCAATGTCTCCAACCGGCCCCTGACCAGACACCAGCACATGTTTGTCATGGTATTGGTTAAGCATCCTCAGCGGGCTGTGAGAAAGCATCACCTGCTCCGGCGAGATCTGTCAAACATTAATACACGCAAACACACACATTAATACACACACACACAGATACGCACACACATTGACACACACACACACACAGATACATATTAATACAGACTCACAGATACGCACACACACATTGTCACACACACACAGGTACACATTAATACACACACACATTATTACACACACACACATTAATACACACACACACACCTATGCAGTTGTTTATCTATGACACCCTGTGGGTTGGATTGTAGCCATTTATGTTATAGTTATGTTATACAGTACCTAAACAACAATAAGAACTGCCATTGACATTGCAGCCTCACACAGGGAAGCGTCCCAGAGCGCTCAACAGCCTCACGAGAATTGCGGTCAATTTGTAGACAAAACAGGACCCGCAATTTTCACACAACAAATGAAGTGACCGAGGGAGGAGTCTGGTGGATTGCGGCCGGACAGGGAGTGAACCCTCTCCTCTTTTCTGATAGCATCACAGGATCTTTCTGCCCCAAACCCTAACTGTACCTCAGGCAGTGTCTGTGAGCGCTGGCTCTGAGAGCTGGATATTCCTGATTTTCCCTTAGCAACCGCACGCTGATATTTACATGGACATTTGAACAAAGAAACCAGCCGATGACTTTCTAACAGTAAACAGTGCGGTAACTAACGTCACTTGTTCAGGCACCTCGCAACTCCAATTCACACCAACTCTGGGTTCACTTTGTGCCAGCGTTGGACGTCCACACGACCTGTTCAGGGGAACATTAAAGATCTCCCGAGGCGCGATTCAAAAAGAGAAGGGAGTTTCTCTCTCTCACTCCCGGTCTTCTGGCCACCAATCCCCCAACTAAAACATCTGCTCATTTCACTTCATGGCTGTTGTGGGACATGGCTGTGTTCAAATTGGCTGCCAGAGCCTTAGGTGGGATGTCTTTACAACATGAAAGGCGCTGTGGTAAATGTAATTTAATAATAATAATAATAATTACAAGGATTATTGTATTATTATATAATTTGCTGCTGCTGTTGGCTTCAGTGTTTCGACCACAAAATATACACAGTCACACCACTTGACAACCTGCAAAGGGCTTTAAGACATCTCAACGACTCAATAGGGAACTGTATTAATATTATTATTGTGGTAATAGCCTCCTACCTCCCCGGACATTGTAAAAATCTGAAAGGGGGGAGAAATCGCAGTGTGTTTTGCTGCGCAGAGTGAAGTCACATTGTGTCAGAAAGGAGGGGCAGCAAACAAAGTTGGCGTCCACACAACATTGGAGCTTAAGTGTACATGGGGGGGGGGAAAAAAAAACATCGAAAGCGCGCAGCGACTGGTTGCTAAGGGAAGCAGAAGCCCACAGTTTAACCAGTTTGTGGGGTTCCGTCCACAATGTGGATTCCCACGAACTGAGTAACACAGTGTAAGGCACTAATTCCTCTCTCGCCAATGTAGACTGTATATTATGTGCCCTGTAAACAGTCTGTGACTAACACGTCGCATCAATAACAGGTTGGTAATTGGTCCTACACGCCCAAATATATGGGAGAGCCCCTATTCATCCCTTAAACGGCAATCTGTTTTGATACTTTTCGGTGAATAAGTGCTTTAGCCGATGGCATGAACCTGCCTTCCCATTCCCAATCCCATCCAGGAATCCGGACTGAATCAGTCCCCGCGTTACAAGCAGCTTGTACGCCAACGGGCAAAGAGGTGCCAGGAGATGGAAAGGCAACAACAACAACAACAAATTACATTTACACAGTGCCTTTCATCCATGTCGGGAGGACATCCTAAGGTGCTGGGCAGTCAAGGGTTTGCTCCCGAGCTGGGAGCAAGGCTCATTTAACCGACCCCTCTAACCTCATTGCTTTTTCTTACCAAACTCACAAACACAGTTGCGTAAGCTCCAGACCATTAATTAAACCTCAGTGAGCGACACAGCCCAAACTGTTTCCATAGCAACAGCAGCACTGAGACATCGAAAGGCATCTTCGCCAATGTCAATCATAAAGCAAACCCTTAAGCAAGTTTCCTTACTGGACCCGCACGCCTCTGTTTACCCAGCAGTAAGTAGGAACCCGCTTGTTAGTCAACTGGCAGATCACTTTCCAGGAGTAATGATCCCTTAAAAAAAAGTGGCCTCTCAATCCACAACTGCTGTGCGCAATCGGCTGCCGAATTTTGCCCACAAAATATACAGCCAATTCACTTTACAGTATATCCCGTGAAGCGCTTTGAGACGTCTCGAAGACGTGGTAAGGCGCTGTATCTAATGCAAGGATTATTACTTATTTAACTATGGCCTGAGGCAGGCGGGCGGCGGCACAATAGGTAATTAAATGCGAAATCCCGATCACACTCAGACGTCAGTGACACAAGTTGGACACTTTACACTAGAAATCCTTACACTGAATGTGCGGCCAGTTCAGTCATCTCAAGTGAGAGGTGGAGGGCCCCTGTACACAGCGTGTCAGCCAGGCTCGCTCACTGCTGCTCCGGCCTCTGAGTCATAAGGTTGTGGGTTCCTGGCTTTCCATCAGGAAATTGGGGCGAGGAGTTGGTCTGGGAAGCTTCCCACTCGGCTCTGCTCAAACCACACAAATCCCTGTGCAGAGGAGGTTGATCCTCACTGGAAAAGCAACAGGAAACTTGCCAGACAGTGGCGGGTTTTAACTATAATAATAATATAATTATAATAATATCCAGACGTCTTCGGGACGTCTCAAAGCGCTTCACAGAACATACTGTAAAGTGAATTGACTGTGTGTTTTGCGGGAGAAACTCGGCAGCCAATTACGCGCAGCAGCGTCCCCACGAACAGTCGTGGATTAAGTGACCAATTTTTTTTAAGGGATTATCACCCCCGGAAAGCGATCCGTCAATCAACTAACAAGCGGGTTCCTACTGACTGCTGGTAAACAGAGGCGTGCGTGTGTGTGTGTGTTTGTGGAGTAAGGAAACCTGCCTAATTGATTACCACCCCCCCACCATGCAATTTGCCCACTCTGGGGATATCCCCCTCCCCACCGCCAAGCCCTCCCTCCCCCCCCACCCCCAGCCTTAGCTCAGCTCTTGCCCATCACTCTCTGCCACTCAGTGTACCAGTACATACCGGGACCCCCAGGATGTGTGTCAGCTGGTCGGCCTTGGTTTGGCGGAAGGTGCTACCATTGTTGGTGACGAACACGAGGGGCACCAACAGCTCTCCCCGGGAGTCCAGCAGTTTACGGAAAGCTTTCCTGGCAGCTGGGATAGGGGTCTTCCCCCTCACTAGCACCCCGTCAATGTCGATCAGCAAACCGAAGCTGGGCTGGGAAGAAAAATAATATAATAATAATAATCCTTGCATTTGATGCAGCGCCTCATCACATCATCTAGACATCTCAAAGCGCTTCACAGGATACACTGTAAAGTCGATTGACGGTGTTTTGTTGGTGAAACACAGCAGCCAATTGTGCACAGTAGTGTCCCACAAACAGTCGTGGATTGCAGTGATTTGTTTTGCGGACGGGGAAAAGGATTATTGCCCCCGGAAAGCCATCTGTCAATCGATTAGTAACCAGGTTCCTACTTACAGCAAGAGGCATGTGGAGTAAGGAAACTTGCCTAAGGTGTCGCCCCGCCCGGGAATCAAACCTGGATCCCTCAGCTCCCTAACTACTACACTGTGGGACATCACAGTAATACAGGGGGAGATGGGGGGAGGGAGGGGTGGGGGAGATGGGGGGAGGGGGGGTGCGGGAGATGGGGGGAGGAGGGGTGGGGGAGATGGGGGGAGGGGGGGTGGGGGAGATGGGGGAGGGAGGGGTGGGGGAGATGGGGGGAGGGGGGTGGGGGAGATGGGGGAGGGGGGGTGGGGGAGATGGGGGGAGGGGGGGTGGGGAGATGGGGGAGGGGGGGTGGGGGAGATGGGGGGAGGGGGGAGTGGGGAGGGGGAGGGGGGGGGGGGAGATGGGGGGGTGGGGGAGATGGGGGAGGGGGTGGGGGAGATGGGGGGAGGGGGGGTGGGGGAGATGGGGGAGGGGGGGTGGGGAGATGGGGGGAGGGGGGGTGGGGAGATGGGGGGAGGGGGGGGGGGGAGAGGGGGGGGGGGGGGAGGGGGATGGGAGGGGGGGGAGGGGGGGTGGGGGAGATGGGGGGAGGGGGGGTGGGGGAGATGGGGGGAGGGGGTGGGGATGGGGGGGGAGGGGGAGGGGGGGTGGGGAGATGGGGAGGGGGTGGGGGGGAGATGGGGGGAGAGGGGTGGGGGGAGATGGGGGGGGGGGGAGAGAGGCAGAGTGTTACTGAGCTGGGCTCTAAACAGCAGGAAAACACGGTTATTATTCACACATTTGTGGTGGGGGGGACGGGGGGTATTAATGACTATAGAGGAATAAACATCAGGATGGGAAATACTGGATTGCAAAGCTGCTTTTTCACTGTCAGCGACTGATCAAAGAGAGAGAGAGAAACAGAGATAAAGACAGACATAGTCACACACACACAGATACACATACACAGTCACAGAGACAGTGACACACACACACACACACAGAGACACACACACAGACATACAGAGAGACATACACAGACACAGAGAGACACACACATACAGACACACAGAGAGACACAGACACACAGAGAGACACACACACAGACACACAGAGAGAGACATACAGAGAGACACACACAGACAGACATAGACACAGAGACCCACAGACCCACAGACAGAGAGGACAGGAGTTGCCAACGGAGATGGGTTTCGGTTTGGGGGAAACTCCAGCATTCGGTGCCAGAGCGGCAGCCAAAGTCCAGTCACCCCCTCCCGATTTAGGGCATCTCCCCCTCTCCCCCCCAATCCCCTCTCCCCCCCAATCCCCTCTCCCCCCCAATCCACTCCTTACCTGAGAATCCGCCGCTTTGGCTAATTGCGCGCAGCCTCTGGTCGCCAGTGATGCCCTATTCAGGGCTCTGCTCAGCGCCCGCACAGCGCGCATCCTGTGGGGGTGTGGGGGGTCCCACCCTGTGCTGTGGGTGTGGGGGGTCCCACCCTGTGCTGTGGGTGTGGGGGGTCCCACCCTGTGCTGTGGGGGTGTGGGGGGTCCCACCCTGTGCTGTGGGGGTGTGGGGGTCCCACCCTGTCCTGTGGGGGTGTGGGGGGTCCCACCCTGTGCTGTGGGTGTGGGGGGTCCCACCCTGTCCTGTGGGGGTGGGGGGTCCCACCCTGTCCTTTGGGTGTGGGGGGCTGTGGGGGTGTCCCACCCTGTCCTGTGTGGGGGGCTGTGGGGGGGGTGTCCCACCCTGTCCTGTGGGGGCTGTGGGGGGGTGTCCCACCCTGTCCTGTGTGGGTGTGGGGGGGCTGTGGGGGGGGTGTCCCACCCTGTCCTGTGTGGGGGGCTGTGTGGGGGGTGTCCCACCCTGTCCTGTCCTGTCCCCCTCTCCCCGGATACACTGCCCCCCTATGACCCGCCTCCGGGACCCCCGACTCCCGCCGACCCCAAACCCGACTCTCGGCTCCGAAGCCGCAGCTCCGACTCCTGAGCTTTTTATAGCCATTCCTCAGCCCTGAGCCGCGTCACCGAGTGACACCCATCAGCCTCTCACCCCCTCCAGCACAACATCTGGGCTGTGTAGTGACTGTCAGAGGACACCCTGCTGGTAATTTTGCCCCATAGCAATTCTCTCCCCCCCCCCCCCCCCCCCCCCCCCCCCCCCCCCCCCACACACACACTAACAGCCATGAAGTGAGCCACTGATCAGATTTCTGGGGGTCAGACAGGTGTCTGACACACTGGAAACCCATGACCCATTTTATTATTATTATCATCATGGTCTTCGTGGTCTCAATAGTAATCCCGGCGTGTGACCCACCCACCCACCCACCCACCCAGCGCCTCGTCGCACCTTTGAGACGTCTCAAAGCGCCGCACAGGACACGCCGTAAAGAGTGGGGCGTCTGTGCGTTTTGTGGGTTGAAGTGACCAATGGACTGACAGCCGGACACAGAGGTGTGCGCGTGTCGCTGTGTGTGGAGTAAGGAAACTGTTTCAGGTTTGGCCCCGCCCGGGAATCGAACCCGGGTCCCCTCGCTTGCGAGGCGAGCGCGCTAACCACTACGCTACAGGACTCCACGATAGGGCGAGCACTGCACACGGTAGGCACGGACGGAAACTCTCAGTGACCTGCCATCCGCCTGTGAATCCTCCGACGGTATTTAGCCAGAGATTCGCTGAAAGAAGTTCTTTTCATTGCCTCGCGGGTGCGGTGGATACATCACGTTGATTTCATTTTTTATATAACTGAACAATTTTGAGCTCTAAGCAAAGCCAACAGTAGCCTACACTGTCCTAAATAAAAATGTGTACGTTAGATCACATGGACTAAGTTATCTGGTATGAATTAATGCTGACACGATTAGCCTCGTACAACGTGGTACACGGAGGGTCATTGCCCCGCCCCCCCCCCCCCCCTCAGTGGTGTCACATAAATGTCTTGTTAAACGGGAGAGCAATACTTGACACAGCGCCTTATCATGTCATTGAGACGCCTCAAAATACTTCACAGAATAAACTGTAAAGTGGAGTGACTGTGTATTTTGTGGGCGGAAATTGCGCACAGCAGCGTCAATTGCACACAGCAGCGTCCCCACAGTCGTGGATTGAATGACCAATTTTTTTTGGAGGGATTATTACCCCCGGAAAGTGATCCACCAACCGGGTTCCTACTCACTGCTGGTTAACAGAGGTGTGTGGAGTAAGGAAACCTGCCTAAGGTTTCGCCCTGCCCGGGAATCAAACCTGCGTCCTCTCTCTTGCGAGGTGAGTGCTCTAACCACTACGCTACAGGGCTCGAGGTAATGGCAATCTGAACCCCCCCCCCAACCCATTTACACCGAGCACACAGTGAACACGATCAAACCCAGCGACTGAACTATAGAACTCAATACACGGCAGAGGGGGAGGCCGCAGTAAGAAGGCGTATCTGTATGTGGGGCGGGTAGGGGGGAATAGACGGTGTGTGTGTGTGTGTGTGCTTGTGTAGGGTGAGGAGAAGAGGATGGAAGAACTCCTCATATACCTTCCTCCCCGTATAAGGCAAACCTAGCTCGCTCGTCAGAATTGGGAAATATGAGGTGCAGAAAAATAAAGTTTAATTGCGGTCGGTATATTACAACGCACAGGAAAACACCACATTCACTCAATCACTGCGTAGAAAAGATCAATGACTTTGTTGCTGAATCGAGGGACGAGCAGACAATCGCAACCGGAGACTCGGGAACGAGCTGGTTATATACAGGAAGTGCCGTCGTTCGTTGACTAGAACGGCCGACACCGCGATACAATATCGTCGAGTCGCCGTGAAACGTGAGGCACAATGTCTATAGAAGGCGTTGCTTTGGGTTTGCTGCGATCGTGTGTAAACACAAGTCCTTGTCACGCGGGAACACGACACCTCGCGGCTACAGCCCCAGAAGCCTTTTCGCGTCCTCGCTCTGAGCCATCAAGGCTTCACTGGCATACTTCTGTAACAGCTCCATCTTCTTTCTCCGAACCAGAGCCTCCTCAATCTGCAACGAAGAATCAATAGAATATTACAGCACAAAAGGAGGCCATTCGGCCCATCTTGCCTTTGGAAGAGCTGCCCAATCAGTCCCACTCTCCCGCTCTTTCCCCATAGCCCCACACATTTTTTCTTTTCTTTTTCTTTTCAAGTACCTATCTAATTCCCTTTTGAAAGTTGTTATTGAATCTGCTTCCACCGCCCTTTCAGGCTATTACTACTCTCTTGTGTAAAAAAAATCAGTCCTATATATAAAAAATAATCCTTGCATTTGATACAGCGCCTTAACATGTCTTCAAGACGTCTCAAAACGCTTCACTGGATATACTGTAAAGTGGAGTGACTGTGTACAAATTATCTCATTAACAAATTATCTCAGCCCCCACCACCCCCACTCCCCACCAAAAAAAGACAGATCGCTAACCATGTGAAGTGCTTAATGGGATTTAACTGTTAAACGGAACAATCTACTCGTGTGTTGCGTTCCTTTGAGCCAAGTCACATTTGGTGCACATGACCCGCTGGTTCCTTTATCAATGTCCTTCGGCATCTGACATTCATTTCTCTCTTCACTGCCATAACCTCTCAAGTCGCCCAGATCCCAACCCGCTCTCGTTAATTCAATATAGAAACAGACAGAGCTCTTAGTGCTCCCCTGGCATCTTCAAACAAGATCTCTTATTCATGCTGATTGGCAAAGAATCCCAACGCCCCCTGCCTTACCTCTTTCTGTGAGGGTACGGGGACATGGGCTATAAACTTCTGCTGGCTCTCCTCTCTCTCCATCAGCTCCCCACTGTCCTCATCCGACTGTGCGGGGGAGATGAGGTGTCGGTGGAGGGGTGGGGGGGGAATAAGAAGAAAGATGTGTTAAACCAATCTATTCATATATACGTTTAAACTTTATAAACAAAAGCAACCACCGAGATCCCAAACTATCACTCTCCTCCTCATTTCCAAGGCTCAGGACAAATAGTAACGGGTGAAGCCAGACGAGAGCATTGTAGCCTCGTCAGCATGTGTGTGGGGGGAGGGGGAGGCAGAGAAACAAAAGAGAAAAAGAATGAGAAAGAGAAGGGGGGAGGAGAGCTCAGAGCATTTTGCAACACGATCTTTTGAAAAGAATTTGCATTTGATACCAGGAGTTATGTAGAGCAGTGTAACAGAGCTGCTGGTACTGTACAGTCCACAGCACTGTTTAACCAACAAGTTTATGTTTATTTATATACGTGTATCTCCTTTCACACCGGGTGGATGTCCCAAGGAGAGTCAAAGATTTGTACCTGAGCTGGGGGTAGGACGAGGGGAGTGGGGAAAGACAGGGCAAAGATTGGGCAATTGGAGTTGAGACTAAATCAATTATGATCTAGTAGAATGGCGGAACAGGCTTGAGGAGCTGAACGGCCTACTCCTGTTCCTATGTTCCTAGATGACCGAAGGTGCAGCCAGAGAATGAGGATTGTGTCAGAGAAGCACTTTATGGCGTTTAACAGTCAGGTATTTACCTCTTCATCTTTTACAGCGTAGATGTTCACCTCCTCCTCCTCCTCCTCTTCCTTGTCCACCCCGCTGGCGAGTCTGGCTTCCTTGTCTGCCTTCCACTTCTCCACGGCTTCCATTATAACTGCGAGGGGAAAGAGGAAAGTGTCTGGCTCTGAAACACCACCGTACATGAAAGGTGCTGTCTCAAATGCAAGGATGATTATTATTATTTTAATTCACGCAAGGATGAATATTATTATTTTAGTTCCTGCATTTGCGCACATGGACAGCTTTCTGCTCAACTTTCAACAGCCCGCCCTTTATGTGTGAAAGTACAGTGAATTCACCTATAATACCTGAACAGTAGATCAGCCAATGTGTCATTTGACCCCATCATGTCGGTGCTGATGCTCACCCCCCCACTGGAGCTCTCTACTCTCATCCCATTCCCCATGTTATACAACACAGGAATTTACGTGAAAGGAAAAAATACATTTTAGGAATATATTTCCCTTTGAACCTCCAAAGAACATGCCGAGTTTTTAATACAATGTGGAAAAGAGGGACATATCGTTGGTGGGAGCTCAAAAACTTTATTTTTTTGGTGTGCAGACCAGTTCGGAGCAGTGTTGGTACTTGAGGACTATTTGTAAATCGCATGTTATACTTTGGGGAATTTTTGTCATACCACAAATCATCTTCATTAAGGCGATTACTGTCCATTAGCAATCACATGCAGGCAAGACACGATGCTGATTCCAGAGACAATCTATTGTGTGCTAAGAGGAAGTCACTGGAGTAAAACGTAATTGAATGACTATTTGCAGTCATGCGTCAGGTCTATGAGAGCGCACAAGCAATTAAGGCGTCAGAACCACTCAATGTACATAAATCATCCCCAAACTGCTTATACATAAAGTACGCTGATCTACCGTTCAGGTATTATAGGTGAATTCACTGTAATTTCACACATACAGGGCGGGCTGTTGAAAGCTGAGCGGAAAGCTGTCCACGTGCGCAAATGCAGGAACTAAAATAATAATATTCATCCTTGCATTTGAGACAACACCTTTCATGTTGAGAGGACATGATGCTTTGGGACGCTATCCTGCTTGAGGGGCACTCAATAAATTCAAGTTGTTGTTTGAAAGTGCTTTCCAATTAACTGTTTATTTTAGTGACTCAGTGTTTTGAAGGAGAGTTTATCAAAGAACCACATGAACGTGGTTGCCACTGCCGCCTTTTTTTAAAAAAAAAAATTCCTCGACCGTTTCAGTGGCTCGGAGAAGTCGTTTAGGGCGTTGGAATTCAACAGCCTGATCCAAGGATAGCAGAGTCTCTGACAAACCATGATACAAAACCTAATCAAATTCCGGCCACACTCATTTGTGACTAAACATCAACTCGCAGATAGATAAAAACCGGCACCAGAGATAAAGCAATCCATTCATAAAAATATAAAACCTAACCTCCTGCTCAAGATTAACGCTATTGGATTTAACAGTGAGCCAGACTAAAAGGGAATAGCGGGTTTATTACCCTCAGAAAAGTGATCTACCAATCGACTAACAACCGGGTTCTACTTACCGTGAGGTAAACAAAGGCGTGTGGCGTAAAGAAACATACCTAAGGTTTTCGCCCTGCCTGGTTAGGGTTAGGCCTGGAATCGAACCCAGGTCCAGTGAGCGCTCTAACCACTAACCTACAGGACTCCACGTTTACACAATCAACCGAACAAAACAAAAAAGGTGCCGACTGATTTCTTAATCCACCTGTTGCTCTGCTTCCCGTCTCTATAAAGAGATCGTCACTCGGAGGGAAATTTATGCAACAGGCTCCTGAGGGAGACAGACGGTGGAAGCAGAAAGTGTCGCTATCTTTCAAATGTGAATGAGATAGATTTCTTTTTAGGAAATAATATTTTGGGATATTTTGTATGGAGGAGTTCAGAAAATTACAACTGCAAGCGACTGCCAGGATGGTGGAAGGAAGGCAAACTGGATAGACCTTGGTCTAGCTTTTCCTATGTTCCAATGAAAATGTGAACATGTGGCATCACGTGGCTGTTGATGGTACACAATGAGTAAACTCCACTGCATTCTACACTTCCCTCCCAACAAAACTCCCCCCCCCCTCAGTCTGTCAAACAGAAGCTTCTCTCGTTTATGTACCTCGTTTCTCGAGCTCTTGTTCCAGAGGGAGAAGAACCCCGTCATCGTCATCGCGATACCCGTAGTAATCTGCGTCAATGTCTTTCATCAGCTCTGCTCGGGTTTTCCGTGGTGGGGCGGGCGCTGCAGGTAAACAGCTTCAGTGAAGCTCCCAGACGCCACCCAGCATCACAGTCACAGAATGGTACGACGACGACAACAACGTACATTTACACAGCGCCCCTCATGCAGGGTAGAGTCCCAGAGCGCTTGACAATGGAGGAGCACGATGCCAAGCCGGAGGGGGTGGGGGGGGGAGGTGACTGCAGAAACAGTCGAAGAGGAAGGTCATCAGGCACAACTGAAAATGGGGAAGGAAGGGGTAGGAGAGCATTCCAGAGTTTCGGAGGTGGTGATGGTGGGGGGTGGAGAATCTCCAAGCCTTTGCTCTTGCTTCTTTGTTAACAAACCTAAACCAGCGCGCTTTAGTTACCGACTCACCAACCAGTGACAATACTTTCTCCCCACTTACCTTACCAACCAACGTCTCCACCTCCCTTAATAGCAGCCCCAGATCCTCCAGTCCAGTTGCTCTAGAGGAAGAGTTGGGGGGGGGAGAGGAGAGAGTTTCACAGTTTACTTACGTTCCTTTTCAAACAGTTCCCTGACTCCAGGCAGATCCTTGGCGGCTCCGAAGTACTTGTATCCCCGGTTTCCAGGAACCTCTTTCCCCTCGTGGTCCAGCATTTTGGGCCCGATTCTCTAAAAGGCAAGTTTAGAAAGAGTTTAGTTTCCTCGGAAGGTAAGAAAATTAAGAGTTGTCAAGGAGGCATGGTCCAAAAAGGGCTGGTTAACATTTGCTCTATGTCTGTCACGTACATTTCACAGACCTGTAGAGCCCACCTGAACAAGCTGATCGTCACCTTTAGCGATACCACATTCAACTATCCCGTCTCAGCCTGTAAGACCACTTTTGTCTTAAAATTTAAGGTAACGTTGGATTCATTGACTCTTAGTTTGGAAGCTCTTTTCTCTTTAACACCTGCAGAAAAAACAGCTTCCGAATTAAGACTGATTTTAAGAGTCTTCTATCAATCTGTGACTTCTTAAATTTGTATGGGGGGGGGGGGTAAGGCTCAGGGAGTTTGGGCCCTCTGACATCAAAGGCCCAACTCAGCAATTTTGCAACTACTGTCTCACTACCCAGTGATTTTGTGGTTGTGAAAGAGACAGACATTCAACCCCAGCCTCTTGTTAGCCTCTCCATCACACAACAACTAATGTATATTTATATAGCGCCTTTCACCTAAGGACATCACTTACTCCGTAATCAGGACCTCCCAGCTCCTTTATCCGCGATTCCCAATGGCCTTTCTCTCGCAGGAGTTTATTGATCTCATCGTTCAGGTCGCGGATCCGAAATTCCCCCAAACCAGCTGCGACCAAACAAACGGGATTTACGTTACACAAAGGATCACATCTCAGCGCAAGAGTATTAGAGAAAAGCTTACACTTTCAGAAACTCACCGTTCTGTATCTGAGCCACTTTTTTTGAGATTTCGCTGATGATCTGCCAGACATCCCAGAAACAAGAGTTAGAGAAATCAGTTATTAGGACCACGGGAATATCACCCACTAACTGGGGCAACACACAAGCAGTCCTGACCATAGAGGGGCCATTAACCTAAAGTTTGGAACAGTCACACACTTTTCTCAGCCTTGTTGATCTGAAAGTTATACTGTGCTACAGAAATAAGTCTGTATTGCACACTCCTTTCCACTAGATGGTAGCCATGTTCATCACTGCTGGAGGTGCCCTTTAGGAGGGAACATGGAGTCACATTCCAAAATATAAACAGACGGTTTTGATTAGACAAACGTTCAGAAAAAAAAATGAGGGGGGAAGGGGCAGGGGCGTGGGGCTACACAAATTGAGAGGCAGCACGGACACAATGAGCCAAAGGGGAACCTCATGTGCTGTAAAACCCCACACTTCCAGCTCAACATTATAGGGAGAAATAGTGAATTGACGGGAGCGCTGGACAACCACAACAATTTGCATTTGCATGACACCTTTCATGTCAGGAGGGCGGCTTAAGGTGCTGGATAGTCAGGGATTGGACTAACGCAGAGTGTGTGACTAACAGCATCTTTCTAAATCGAGACGCATCTCACCTGCCGTCTCCATTTCTCCGCCTTGTGTGAATCGCTGCACTCTGAGGCAAGGAACGGCCTCCTCTCCTGGGAAGTGAAAGATAATAACCAAGAGCTTAGCCAACACTTGCAGCAAAGTGAAGATCGAGTGGGTGTGAAAGTTACAGACTGAGTTCCAATTTATAATTTTTGAGATTTGAAATCTCTCAAGAGATTTCACCTGATAGAAATAATTTGCAAGTTACCAACCTTTACTTTTCCATCTTCCAGCTGTGCCTGGCGAAACCTTGCCAGTGCCGTCCTAAAATAATATAGACAAAGACCAATACAGCTCTATTAATCAATAATGTAATGTAATGCTGTAATCAACAGAATACCAATCACCGCACTTCTTAGATTAAGGACGTTAGCTATCAATTTGATTCTATAAAGATAATAGATATTATCTACTTACATGGCCTTTTCTGCATTTCGAGCCTAGAAAAAACAACATTAAACCATTCATTTTCATAGGCATTCACTTTTTCACAGAAACTATTTGAAACCCCGCTAATAATTTCATAAATCCATTTCAACCGGTCAACATACACTTACAGTAACAGGGAATATGTATATTGTAGTGTCACTGTTAATCACTCAACAATCATGGAGGGCAGCTGCTTAAGAGAGTCCAAAGCTGTTGAATTATTGAGAGTTCTGCATATGTCCATGCGGAAATTCCCTGTATGGGGAATGGGACGCCACAACAACAACTTGCATTTATATCGCGCTCTTCATGCGGGGTAGCAACCCGGAGCGTTTATCACACACTCTCTCCCTGATGCGTGCGCCCAGTTTACAACAACAACAACAACAAAATTACATTTCACGTCGGGAGGACATCCCAAGGAGCTGGACAATCAGTGTTTCGGACCCGGGCTGGGCTGTCGGGATCGGGGAGGGTGGGGGGCAGGGTGGGGGAAGGAGGGTGCTCGAGGTCCCCCAGTTCTAAGCGCTGGGAGACGCTGCGCCTCGTGAAGGGCGCTGTATAAGTGCGAGGAGAGGAGTGGGGGAGGAGGGGGGGGAGAGGAGTGGGGGGTGGGGGAGGAGGGGGGGGGGAGGGGGGGGAGAGGAGGGGGGGGGGGGAGGGGGGGGGGGAGGAGTGGGGGGTGGGGAGGAGGGGGGGGGAGGTGGGTGGGGGAGAGGAGGGGGGGGGGGGGGGGGGAGGGGGGGGGGAGGGGGGTGGGGGGGAGGGAGGGGGGGGGGGGGGGGAGGAGGGGGGGTAGGTGTGCGTTGGGGTCTAACCACACAGCCGGCCATTGATATCGCTGCCTGGCGAGGTTTCCCGCTGCCTGTCCAGCTAAGGCCACCCTCCCCGTCAGGGCTTTAACCACCGCTGCCCCCCCCCAACCACCGCTGCCCCCCCTCCCCTTCAACTGTGGCCCCTCTCTCCCTCCGGGGCTCGCGGGGTTCACGGGAGCCAGTGATGGGGGCCAGGCCGGGGGGGGGGGGGGGGCTGCCATGAGCAGTGCCCTGGCCCGGGATGCCCCCCCGCCCCCCCCCGGGGCCGCACACACTCACCATAGTGAAGCCGGGCCTCAGCTCGGCCGCTCTCACGCTGACCGGAAACCGCGGGGCGGGACCGGGAAGCTGGGGGTCAGGGGTCAGGTGGCGGCCAGGAAGAAGCTGATTGGACGCGGTGGGTGGGCGGGACGGCCCCCGCCGCCCACGAGTGGAGCAGCGAACCAATCAGAGCTGTTCGACTCAGCCAATCGAAACCCGGGGCACAAGCTGACCAATCGGCGGCAGGAGATCGAAGAGCCAATCAGCGGCAGACAGAACCGGCGAGCCAATCAGTGACAGGGAACTCGAGAGCCAATCAGAGCAGAGGAGAGGAGGGCGGGGTGAGGCGCCGCGCGAGGCGGTGTTTGAATCGAGCGGCGACCAACGGTCTGTCAGGACTTTAGGCCTCGGCCTCGCGCTCACACTCACAGCCTCAGGGCCCGGGCCGAGAGCGCGGGGAGGGAGGAGGGGAGAGTGGGGGAGGGAGGGAGGGAGCGGGGACCGAGGGGGGGACTGGGGGGGAGGTACGTGTCACCCTGGGGATGGGAGAAGGTGTGGGGGGGTCACACTCTCCCCTCTGGGTCAGAAGGTTGTGGGTTCATGTCCGGCGTATCAAAGTCACACAGTCTTAAGATGTCATTCCAATCGCAGCGCAGCGCGGGTGGAGTGGGGGGGGGGTGGCGGGGGAGGGGTGCGGGGGGGAGGGGTGGGTGGGTGTGGCGGTGGCAGGGGGGGTGGGTGTGGGGGGGGGTGGTAGGGGTGGGGGGGGTGCGGGGTGGCAGGGGGGGGTGGGTGTGGGGGGGGGTGGTAGGGGTGGGGGGGGTGCGGGTGGGCAGGGGTGGGTGCGGGGGGTGGCAGGGGTGGGAGTGGGGGGGGCAGGGGTGGCTGCGGGGGGGGGGTGGGGGGGGGTGGCAGGGGTGGGTGCGGGGGGGGTGGTGGTGGGTGTGGGGGGGGGGCAGGGGTGGGTGTGGGGGGGGGGGCAGGGGGGGTGCGGGGGGGGGGGGTGGGGGGGGTGGCAGGGGTGGGTGCGGGGGGGGGTGGTGGGTGGGACGTGTGGCATCGTCGGAGACCCCGTCCTTCGGATGAGACGTTAGACCGAACTCCCCGTCTGTCGGTGCAGGTGGACGTTACGAGATCCCGCGGCGCCGTTCGAAAGGAGAAGGGAGTTTCTGGGCGCAATGGGGGGCTGCCTCGTTCGCCCGGAAACACAGTCACTGACCTTTACAGTCAATCCCGTGACGTGCTTTCCCAACATGAAAGGCTCCATGTCAAATACGTGCACTTTATTAATATATATTATTAATTATTATAAGCACTTTGAGGTGCGTTGGTGGTAAATCCACGATCTGAATTGCTCGGATTATCATACGATTTATATCTAAATGCATTCCTCTCACCCAGCCTGGTGTCTGAAGGTAGCACCGTGGAACCAGGGGAATGCCAGAGAAAGCGTGAAGTCTGCGCAGCTGCCATCATTAGTCTGAGAGTGGCAGTGCTTGTATTAAACTTCAGACATGTTGTACCATTTTATGTTACAGAGCCTAATAATAATCCCTCCAAAAACCAAAAACAATAATAAATTGGTCATTTTCAATTACCAGTTTGTGGGACATTGCTGTGCACAATTGGCCGCCGCGTTCGCCCACAAATAGACAGTCAATTCACTTTACAGTGTGTTCTGTGAAGCGCTTTGGGACGTCCTCCCGACGTGAAGAGCGCTATATCAAATGCAAGGATTATTAGTATTATTATTACTCATCATTCTCAACCAACTGTTAAAGCTTAGACTTCCCTCATGACTCCTCCGCCTCTTACCTTCCGAGCCTCTGTACATTTTCAAATCAGGATTACGCCGATAGCGTAACTGAAAATCTCTGAAACAAAGAAATTCAATACCTGTGACTCCCTGAGAGAATACACCTGTATTAAACATCACTCAAAGTTCTCTATCAGTTTTAAAATATCATTCTCTGTAGTTTAAATTGTTTAAAGTAATAGGCATTTAGACTAGTGGGAGTCAAGTTATTAAAATGTACTATTTTTGGAGCATTAACTAAAACTGTTCCTGGACTTAGTGGAGTACAGATTACTGTCGTGCCACCTGTGCACCTGTGTACGTTCCTGAATGAAAGAACGCCACATAACGAGAATACGTTCACTAGAGCACCACTGATGTGTTCTATGGATTACCCCATCCTGGTTAGAGAATTATAATAATAATCCTTGCATTTGATGTAGCACTTTTCACGTTTTCAAGACCTCTCAAAGCCCTTCACAGAATATACTTACTGTAAAGTGAATTGACTGTATATTTTGTGGGCAAAACGCGCCAGCCAATTGCCCACAGCAGTGTCCCACAAACAGTCATGGATTAAGTGACCAAATTATCATTTTTTCTTTTTTTTTCTTGAGGGTTTATTATCACAAATTGAGCTAACGTTTATGTTGGTTGTTACTTCCGTTTAGTCTTTAATTTTTAAAAAGTAAACGGCGCAAAGGGCCATTTATTATAGGCCGTTTAATGTAATGAAGCACGCTGATTCATGTTCATGTTGGCCTTTTGTAAAGGAAGTATTCTTGCTTAGTAAAGCACAATTAAATTTGCTGCAGAAAGGAATGTATGAAATGCCTGGGGCATAAATTCTCAGACAGCAATTGTTGTGTTGTGTGCAAACAATTATTCTATGAATACCCACTTATACTGATTTAAACACATCTTGTCTTTATCAAAATTTCTAGAAGTTCAGAAACAAAATGTTCTTGAAATCTGCAGTTTACTGGAATCAGTCAACCAGAGACCTGGCGACTCCTGCTGTCACATTTTTGCAATGATTAAAATTTTTGTGGAGTCCTGTAGTGTAGTGGTTAGAGCACTAGTTTTGCAAGCGAGAGGACCTGGGTTTGATAATTTCTTTACTCCACACGCCTCTGTTTACCAAGCAGTAAGTAGGAACCTGATTGTTAGTCGATTGGCAGATCACTTTTCCAGGGATAATAATCCCTTCAAAAATATATATATATTAATTTGGTCACTCGATCCACAACTGTTTGGTGTAATTGGCTGCCGCGTTTCACCCACAAAACATACAGCCAATTCACTTCATTCTGTGAAGTGCTTTGAGATGTCTAGAAGATGTGATAAATCGCTACATCAAATGCCAGGATTATTATTATTTAGGAATGTAAACAGTGTTAATTTAATTCTCAATTTGAATGTGTCAGTGTTTAAAATGTAACTGTGTTGTGGAATACTAACCAATTTAATTACTGTGTTTTGCAGATTGCTACCTAGAAAACAAACTAAGCTGCTTATGTTTTGAAGAGACATCACGAGTACATGAAACAAAGAAATGCTAAACCATTGGCCTGCGGTAATGAAAACGTTTATTGTTGTTTGAAATGTTCAAATGGAATGAGATAATCATCTTCTGGAAAGGAAAAACAAGGGCAGGTTACCACATGGTGTCGCTGTGCCCAATGAGTACTGTGTCTACATCAGTGGAGTGGAGCTGAGTTTGCTGCTACGCACTGCTGAATACCAATGGGTGCAAACTATCACAGGGCCGGCCTTATAGGATTTAGCTAACAATAGGCCACATGCTGACACTATTGTTTTACTTTATTTCGGACCTTGTTAATTCAGCACGAGATATAATGCAGCTCTCCATATTAGTGCTAATTCACCAGTGAAATAGCATCACGTCCCTCACGTCTGCAGTCGTGGTTCTGAGATCCAGCTGCACATTGCCTTATTTATTCATCATCCATTGCCCCTCATACAACCATAGCCAGGGCAAGCCGTTCTTTCACATGAGTAGGTGAGAGAATTGGAGAGGGTTACATTTTAAACCTCTAGGATTAAAACCAAGTAAACAAGGATTCTGTATCCTGCAAATAATAATAATAACAATAATCCTTGCATTTGATATAGTGCCTTATCGCGTCTTCGAGACGTCTCAAAGGGCTTCACAGTAATTCACTGTATATTTGTGGGCAAAACGCACCAGCCAATTGCGCACATCCGTGTCCGTCCCTCAAACAGTAGTGGATTGAGTGACAAAATTATTGCCCCTGGAAAAGCAGTCCGGCAATCAACTAATAAACGGGTTCCTACTTACTGCTAGGTAAATAGAGGCATGTGGAGTAATTATTATTGTTATTATAATGTCAAACAAACTGAGGATCGTGTGTGTAAGGTGTGTGTGTGCAATTATATGCTGTATCTCCATATTAAAACCAGCTTACAGAAGACAAAGGGGAAGTAACGAAGTTCCTTATTGCAATTGTTTGACAGAATGATGTCTTGATAAGGTGTTGAAACAATTCAAAGAATGTGGTTCAAGTGCAAGCACAAGTTCATTCAATAAAGGCCACACACACTTTTGTCAAGCTGGTTACACAGAGCTGTTCCCTGATACGGGTATTGTTGCTGCCAGTTCACAAAGCTTACTGAGAGACTGAATGGTTGCTGACAGAGCTATTCTGATGAACTACATGTACTCTAATTCCAATTATTCAGCAAAGAAACCTTATACACTCGTCCCTGCGCTTGCATTCAGGGGCTTGTAAACTTCAGTGACCTTCAGATTGCTATCACTGCCCTTTCGAGAACTTGCTTCGACTTATTTTAAAACCTCCAGCATAAAGCCTTTCTTTTCTGCTGGCAACTCTTGGCACCCACTTGTTTTGCCACCTAGAATCTTAGCACTTCTCAGGACTCTGAGACGCTGTCCTGTTTGAAGGGCTCGAGATAATTCCTCAATGTTGTTGTTGTGCTGGGCCACAATACTGTGGACTTGAATGTTTTCACTCACATGACTGATGCACACTGATGTCACCCACTAGTTGAGATAGCATCACCACACACAAGTTGCTAGGTGACCATACGTGGTCTACAACTCATGCTCTCCCCCCCAAGTGATCATTGCACAGAATCGGTGCAGGGTCCAAAGGTAAATAGAGCAGTGACAATGGGGAGTGACACTGATTGCCATACATCCCCTCTGTCCAGCCCCCCCAGAGAGTACAAGCTAAAGCCAACATCTCACTTCAACAGGACGTCAATCTGTTTTCTCAGAGCAAAATTACAATGGTACCAATTCCCCTTGACATGCTCTTGACACTTTTCACTGCAACAAATATCCACAGTCAAATTAATACCCACTTAATCATAAAGGTAAATTGATAACACAAAGCCCTGACCTGCTTTAGGTGTCACATTGAAATGAATAATTGATTTGTCTTCCCGATTCATCAAGGTGAGAAAAATATACTGCCACGTTTAGTACTCAGCAAAGATCGGAGCGGCAGCTGAACGCTTCAAAATAAAACCGTCGGTAAGTATTTTGAAGAGAGGCGAGTTCTCCTGATATCATGGCCAGAATTCCTCCCTCATCCCAAACTACAAAATTGATCCTCATCATTAGACTGCTGTGTTTCCACACGTAGCAAGTCACAACATTTCAAAGTAACTTGTGTGAAGTGCTTTGAGACTTGGTTCCTGTTCGATAAGGTGCTTTACCAAATGCAAATATTTTGTTTCATTACATAGACAAGTTGGGTTTGGGTCTAAACTGGTACCTTTTTACCTGGACTGCTGGTTGGGGCAGTATTGTTGGCCTCAGTACCATTGGACAAGGGAGGGGAAATATCAGCCGGGAACCTTGCTCCTGCTCCCATCTGCTGGAGATGACAAGTGTGAGAGTTTTGTGAGGACAGGGTAGGGACTTGGTGCCCCCTATTGCCATGGCCTTGCACACTGGGAACTGGGTCAAGATTAGCCCAACTCACTTCACATGGGATCCACACTGTTGCCGGAGGGAGCAGCTCTCCTACCAGCTCTGAGAAGGCAATTGATGTTCTGCCAAATTCATTCCCGCAATCTCCAGTTTTGCTTGATTTCACCCATTTTCGGTCGCTGTGAAGAAGCACTTGATGTGCACCTGGCACTTGCTCACAGACTGTGAGGTTGATTGCTCACGCCTCCCTCTCACACACACTGATACCAAAAACATCAGCTTTGAAATCCTTGCAGAAAGCCATTAAATGCTGATCACAGACAAATCAGAATATAATATCAGAGATAACAGTGTCCTCTGGAGTGGAAGGCAAGTGAACTGATAGTATATAAGGATCCTAGACTCACAAGCTTCAGCATTCCTAATGAATACACCAGTACAAAGGAAAAAGCAACTCCCAACACCCCCCCCCCCCACCACCCAACCAGCTACCAATTGGTTCATTAACCTCACGTTTCACTATATATCTGGTGTATTACAGTTCATGTCATTTATAAAGAAATCGATTGATGGCTTCAGTGTTGAACACACAGACAACGACAAACATCATTGATAGATTTGGTACAGATTTTTCTTGTTGTTTTAAATCTAGGTTCAGTCTTAAGAGGTCAAATGACATCCTCCTATGATATCATTTCCATGTAATTTCAGTCTTGTCAATGATACTGATATAAGAGCACAAATAGATCTGGCAATTGGAGTAGTAAGTTACTCAAATACTACTCTGAATCCCATTGTCTCTTACTTTAATTTTCTATGTTTGTTGTACTGTTAACTTGTACTGAACAGTGGAACCAGAGGCCTGCGGAAACACTACTTCAGTGAGCGAGTAGTAAACATGGAACAGGCTCCCGAGGGAGACACACGGTGGAAGCAGAAAGTGTTTGTTTCAAGAATAAATTAGATAGATTTCTGTTGGAAAATAATATCTTGGAATACAATATATAGCTTGGGACACGACATGTCAAGCGACTGCCTGGATGGTGGAAGGCAAATTGGGTGGACCTTGGTCTTTCGCCAGCAAATTCTTATATTCTTATGAAAAACTCAAATTTATTTTGAGCAGGGTTGAAATTTCACCACAAAATGGAGTAGAAATGAATTTAATCTGGGTTTGGTGTTGATTGAAGAGATATGGTATTTCTATTGGGAATTATGACATCGAAATTCCTCAAAGCACTTCACAGTCATACAGCCAAGGTAGTGACATTTTGTAAGCAAATGAGGCAACCATTTTGCACACAGCAAGCTCCTACAAACAGTTGGTCTATTGGAATAATCTGGGGGATTGTCAGACAGGAGAAGAGGAGAAAAATGCCCTTATCTTTCTGAAAGGTGTCATGGGATCTCTAACATCTACATGAAGAACAGGCAGACGGGACCTCAGTTCAACATCTCTAAAGGATGGCATCTCTGACAATACAATTTGAAACTGCATTAAATCTTTCTTTTTAAAGCAACTGCAGAGTCTGTACCTTTACTGTAAAGTAAATTTTAGGTTAAACTACAGAGAGCAAAAGGCTTGTTAATTATTTTCTACCAACTTTTAATTCTCTGTCTGTAATTCTCTGTCTGTAAGTCCTGATATTAGGATACCAACTGACAACTTTAGAAAGACAGGTTTAGATGGGATCGGCTATCACATTACTGCCTGAGCATCTGCAAAGTATAAACCACTAATAGCTCTGCTGTCAAGGGGGAAACATTACACTCCCGAAAGGCTGGCATAAACATCTACTCCACTACATCGGCCTTTAGACGGGAGTGAGTTCAAGTTAAATACTGGCTTGAAAGGAATCCAATATGTAAATGTGCTCCATATTAAATTGTCATTGTATAAAGTACAGAAGGGGTAAAATGCGTAATGAGAGAAAAGAAGGAAGCTTGTGTTTCAGAAGTGCTGCTGAAGTAATTTATTATTTTGGCCGGCCAGGTGTCTGACGTACGTGGAAAAACCATCACCATGCTTAAGATTCTCCAAACCAAACAGAATTCCATGCATTCCCCTTATACATGGAAATTCCTATGTATTGGAATGGAATGCACACTCTCTCCCTGGAGGAACGCTCCCTGCTCACCCAAATCCAGAGAGTATAAGGCGCAGACTGGCAAAAGCCAAGGCTTGGTGACCCCAGAATGTACGTTGGAGTAACTGCTGGAGTCTATCCTGCTAACACCACATATCTTGCCATTGATATCGCTGTCTGGCAAGAACCACCCTCTCCGTTAGGACTTTGCCTTGCAGGTAAACATTACAATTGAACCGAACCACATAACTTCTCTCTCGGTTGATTGAGAGAACTGTGAGTTTAGCCAAGGGACGAACAATTCTCTCAACTGAAAAATATTCCATTAATAGACTTTATTTGCTACCATTTGATGTGAGTCTGATGTTTGATTAAAAGACGACATAATAAGAAATAAAGTTTCTATGCTATCCCCAGTATTTGGGGTTAAAACACAATTCTTTGTCGCAAATAAGGCAAAGTGACTCTTGTGACTCCATAAGTGATCTTGTTACAAGTGATCTTGAATATTGTGGCTTAAACTGGCCTCCAGTCAGTTTTCAGTTCAAAGGGTCAGTCCAGCCGGAGAATTTTATCTCATTCACTTTGAAAATCAATAATGAAATAGTGAATGTAATTTCAAATTCTTTTGTGTGTTGTTAAATAATAATAATAATCCCTCCATTTAATAAAGCACCTTATCATGTCTTCGAGATGTTTCAGAGGGCTTCGCAGAATATACTGTAAAGTGAATTGACTGTATATTTTTGTGGGTGAAATGAGTCAGCCAATTGCGCACTTCATTTCCTACAAACAGTTGTGGATTAAAGTGATCGCATTTTTGTGGTGTGTAGAGTAAGGAAACTTGGCCAACGCTTCGCCCTGCCGGGAATCGAACCCTTATCCTCTCGCTTGTGAGGGGAGTGCTCTAACCATTACGCTACAGGACTCCACAACGTGTTAGTTCACAAAACGTTGACCCCGTTTCTTCCAGTCATAGAATGATACAGACTTTTGTAGTGTCTGTGGGTGGCTGTGCTGAGTGAGCAGCAGATTGCCTTCTCTGGGGCTGGGTGGAGGCTGAAACTGCATGTCCGTTTCTTCTGCTGGAACATCGCTGCTTCGGTGTCTCTTCCTCCACCATTTCTAGCCCACTTCCATTCAAGGTGCTGGCCTGCCTTGGCACCGGGGCAATCTCCACGGTTTTCCTGCATTCAGACAACTGATGTCGTAGCTCCTTTATTCTGCGTTCCTTGATAACATTCTGAGATTCCAGTTCTGTAATTCTCTCCCTTAAGTGAACTGCAGTCTCCTTGGACTCCTGGAACTAGAGCAGAGAAAATCCACATGAGCTGACTCCCTTGTCTTGTTCAGACTTTTCCTTGAATGGTTTCTGTGTAACGAGCAGCCAGTTTTGCTCTCTGGACTTGAGTGTCTCGGTTGGTGAATGTTACAATCATGTTTTCACCTCCTCCAAGTTATCAGTTATAATAATAATAATCCTTGCATTTGATATAGCGCTTTCACGTGTTCTAGGCGTCTCAAAGCGCTTCACAGAATATACTGTAAAGTAAATTGACTGTATACTTGTGTTCCATCAAATACAAGTCTCTTATCACAGAGGTGCTTGGCAGGACTGAACGTCAGTGGTGCCTTGGGACCCAACCCAACAAACATGCAAACAATGTGACCGCAGCTGAGCTCAACTTCAACACATGATATTTAGAGGTTTTTTTATAAACGATATGACCATAAAGGCAGAGAGACCACAACGTCTGTGCTGAGTTAGCAGATCTCCCATCAGAGCAGTTCTACATTGATGTCAGTGCCCTGGGATGGGCAAGTGTGGGGAAACATACACTCAGGGTGGCTGCCCACTGGACTCTGCTGGAGAGTGAATGTGTATGAATATCAGTTGAGGACACGATCAGTCACATCTATGATCTCCACGGTGGAATAGTTTGCTGGCAGTACTCCCAACATCTAACCACAGATTGCTGGCTCCTGAAAAACTGCCTCAGCACCTTCAGCAGACAAGGACAGACATTTGGCAAGAAGAAAAGTGATGGAGGTTTTTTTTTAAAAAAAGAATCAATGGAACAGCATAACAATATGAAAGTGTTGAATTTTGTATTTCATATCTCTAGACCACTTAATTACAAACTTCTATTTCCAAGTAATAATCATAATAATAATTCTTCTATTTTCAAATAATAATAATAATAATAACGTCATTTGAATTTCTTTCAATCCAGAAATGAGGACATTGTTTGCAGCCACGTTGCCACAAACTGAGAGCTGGGCTGAGGAGGCTGGCAGGGTCGTTGCGTCTGTTGGCACACTGGCATCCAGTCCTGCCAGATACCAGCCACCCTTTGTGATAAGGTTCATGTGGTTGAATACCCTTTACTGTGTGATTGATCAGTGACCCTATAACGCAGATAATCGTGAAAGATTCCTGAAATGTAATCTATGGCTTTATTGTCGAGGACCTTTGAGGAAACACAGCAAATTATTATTAAAAGCAAACGACGACACCAACTAGAATTGAAAGTGTACATCGGTAGCTTTTATAATACACGACTCGTGAAAGGCGCTGTACAAATGTAATTTGTTGTTGTGTATTCGTCATGTTACGACTTAAGCAACTTTGTCATAAGACTTTGTTAAATGTATGATTCCAGCTGATACGACTTATGTGAGGTTTACTGTAGTCACTTAAATACGCTCATAGTAAGTCATTGGAGAAGTGCTCCCACCCCACCCACCCCAGTAACCAGAAAAGTCAATGAGATGGAGCAAAGTATAAAGATATACTTTACTTACTTTGTACACCAGCTCTTCTGACGATTCTTTCAGTTCCTCAAACTGTTCCACTTTGCACCTGCACTCAGACAGCACCTCCGCCAGAGCCGAGCTGCCGCCCACCTCCCTCTCCAGGACTCCCATCCTCTCCACATACAGCCCGGTCCTCTCCCTCTCTGTGGCCAACTCCCGCTGGAGACTATCAACCTGACAGCTGGACTCCTCCAGCTTCCTCACCAGCAGTCTGATCTCAGTCTGGCTCCAGGCTTCATTCTGTCTGATCCCCGCGATCTCCTCAGTCAGATCCTCCAAAGTCGGGGCAGAGGAGCCTGAGATGTCCCTCCTCTCCCCCTGTCCCTGCTCTATGTTCGGGGCAACACCCTGGCCAAGTGCCTTGGGCTGGGGGGAGAATCCCACCCCATCTCCGACCCCTTGAGGTGATTGAAATGAATCGATTTCTCCATTAGCCTCAGCGGTAATCGATGCATCAGGTGTGAGCTCTTTGTGAGCTTCTGTGAAGCTATCGGCTTGAACCTGATCAGATGCCTCTGTCCATCTCAGTCCATCCTCATCAGCAGCTTCGGGCCGTGTGATCTGCTTGTCATCAAGTGTAACATCCACATTTACCGCGGCCTGGTCGCTCTCAGGAGCTCTTATAATCTCCTCTTGTGGGTCAACTGGTCCCAAGGTATCTCCTGTGTCTGACCACCCGCCTGGCTCCCCTCCAGTCTGGCCAGGACACCCCTCAGTGCTCACCTCACACTCAGGAGCTGCCTCAAGCGTCAGAGCCAGACTGCCCCACTTCAGCCATGTGCTCTCCTCCTCTGTTTCTTGTCCACTGTCATCATCCACTGCTGTGTCCACAGAGCCGTCAGAGACATCCCCAACCGTTTGGTGACTTGACGTGGCGTCCAGTTGTGGAGACAGTACCTCACGGTCAGTCCCTCTGTCCGGCTGCCGCTTCACAGGAGTTTCCGCAGAGATTCCCACCGCGTCCGATGGCGTCGGCAAGTTGAGAGAGTGGCTGTTGCGGTCCACCTCCCCGGCTCCCCCCCGCCTCTCCCCCGGGGCACACACCTGCCTCCCCCCCGGCGGGGCCGCCCTCCCCAGCAGCCTCACCTTGCCGCAAGCTGCTGAGAAAACTACCGAACGATTAGTCAGCTTCAGCTCGCAATAGCTGTGGCTGTTTGTGCTGGAACTCAGCATATCTCACTCTCTCTCACACACACACACACACACACAACTGGGGGCAGATCGACAGCTTTAAATATATTCCGGGAGTTTAAACACCGCACATCGCGCGGTCCTCCCAACTCCAGGTAACTAACCCGGCAAGAAAGCTTCTACAGGTCACCCGCAGCGGTGTTTTGCGCAGCGATGAGATTTTAGTCTCTTTAAACTGCACCGACTTTGGTTTCAGATAATTCAGCTAAATTCACAGGTGACATAAAGAGTTAACAGTGCTGCGTTGCCCCAATAGAGAGTCCTCAAACTGAATAGCCCCGACTTACCTGCGCGAAAAAAAAACACCTTATTTTCATATATATTAAAAAAGAAATAAGAGGGCCATCGAATAATTTAATCAGTGTGTGAAGCGAAGGGAGGTCGTGGGTTTGTAAGGAGTGGGAAGCACAGGGCGGGTTGGGTTGGATCTCCTACCATTTTGTTCCATCGTTGTTTATATCCAGACTTGTTCACATCACAGGTCTCTGCCATGTACCTGACTGCTGGTTCTATGTGCTTTGCTGTGGCATTCCTCCTGCACAGGGAGGCAATGACTGCCGGTGAGGGTACTGTATCATGTGTCGAGTATGAATGCGAGTACTCCAGTGACAGACTGACCTCATTACCCACTCAGTCGTACGGTCACACAACTATTTTTTCAGTGATAGAGCTCTGCTTAGTATCGGAGCGCTGACGGGGGCTAAAACAAGTGAGTAATAATCCCTTCAAATAAAAATAATAATTTGGTCGCTTAATCCACGACTGCTTGTGGGGACGCTGCTGTGCGCAATTGGCTGCCGGGTTTCGCCCACAAAATATAGTCAACGCACTTTACAGTGTATCCTGGGAAGCGCTTTGAGACGTCTTGGAAGACGCGGTGAGGTGCTGTATCAAATGCGAGGATTATTATTGTTAAGCGATGTTTTTTACCGCTGAAACCCGAGCTGGAAGTGACGGGATCAGTGCTGGCCTTACAGCCCAGTCCTGCCTTTACATTTCACTCTATTCCTTTCATGTACCAACACATCAAATATAAGAGCCTTTCACAACTGGCTCGTCCCTCCCTTCATTGGCGTGGCACAGTGACACTCGCATGAAGATTGCAAGGTGTTGCTCCTGGAAAGAGGGATCACATTCCTGATGGTAACCTTGGCTCTGGCCAGCCTGTGCCTAACGCTCACTGGAATTAGGTAAACAGGATGTGACCCTCCAGGGGAGAGTGTGAGAGAGAGCACATGTCATTCCAACAATCTACCTCTGGGATTTTCATGTGTAGGTGGTATGCATGGAAATGGAAGGGTTTGAAGCAGGTAACGCTTCACTGTTAAGCACTTGCCTTCATTCTATTGCCATTTGCGGGTGTCCTCAACCTGTGTCTCCAAGTTCCTCTCTCATGGTGCCAACTCTGGGCTAATTTTCCAGTTGCACATGGTTAAATTTCACCTGGTTGTGTGCCAGTGCTGATTGGATGCTTACAACCTATTGGAACTGTATAGAACCATGTATTTCTAAAATTGGACAAGAAACCAGGGTATGTCCATGTCCCACTAATGTGTTAATTCCACCATTGCTGGGTAATAATCCTAAATTTATACTGTATTGTTACCAACCAATAAAAAGTTTCTATTTACTGCATTCTAAACCCCTCCATATTGACAAGTAGACTGGTCGAACGGTGGACAATCGGTGATCTACTGCACATCCACAGTAACTCATTATATAATAATCTTTGCATTTGATATAGCACTTTTCACATCTTCTAGACATCTGAAAGCACTTCACAGAATACACTGTACAGTGAATTGACTGTATATTTGTGGGCAAAATGCAGCAGCCAATTGCACACTGCGACGTCCACACAAACAGTTGTAGATTGAAGTGACCCATATTGTAAAAGGTTTTTGCCCTGCCACTGTACAATGTGTTAAGTCTGATTATATTGTTATAGTAATGCACAATCACATCTTTGAGACGTCTCAAAGGGTTTCACAGGACACTGTAAAGTGTAGCTACTGTGTGTTTTGTAGGCAAAACACTGCAACCAACTGCGCCCAGTGGCGTCCCCACTCATGGATTGAAGGGACCAATTTTTTTTGAAGGATTATTAGCCCTGGAATGTGATCTGCCAATTGACTAACAAGCAGGTTCCTACTGACTGCTGGTAAACAGCTCGCTTTGCACCGGGAACACAGCTCAAGCGAACAGCAATTCCCTGCTCGCACAACACATTATTTCTTAAATGAAAATTATTTTGTCTTCTATCCATTGCTTTCCAAAATGTATGTTTGTTGCTCAGTTCATCCCTCCGATCAGCCTCATTGCTCTAAGACCTACACCCTTATGGGCTTATGTCAGATGGCTATACACGTAGTGTGAACTAGAGCACTGTAAATTAAGGATCTAAAGATAACAGATGTAGCAATGGAACCCAACATCTTATTTCCTTTACTCACTGCGGTCACTTACAGTGAGCGGAGATCCCACTGACTGTTCATACTGTATCAATTATATAACCCTATTAACAGTGACGTGCTAATAAGAGTGAAAACCTTCTTCTTAGACTATGCTTACGGCCACTTCCCCTCCCCCAGCTCCGTCACTGTTCAAAGCACTGAAAGGCTACCTTGCATGGAGGGCGCTATATAAGTGCAAGTTGTAGCAGGAGTGAACATTTCTAAACAAATACCCAATGGGAGAAAAAAAAACAATGCATTTTCATTATTTTACTTAAAAACTACCTGAATTTCTGAAGCCATCTCATCAATATCTACTAATGACATGTTTGCCTAAATCAAAGGTGAGGAGTTAAGTTTGTGAGATAGATTTACTACCGAGATGTGCAGTCATGGGGTCTAATGCTCTGGTTCTATTTTCCAATATAAAAGCATCCCCGCGTCTGGTCGGCTCTTCAGTAGTGCAACCAGTGAGCTGTGTCAAGATTCCCGGCCTTTGTAAATGATCTCTCTGGTCAGCCAGATGTTATGGTGCATTACTATCCAAGCAATGTGAAATCAGACCACACAGAGCAGCTTTCCCCTTCCTCCTCCAGCTTTATTGATAGTTTAAAATTACATTTCTATAGTTCTAGGTCTTCAGTTGCTTTCACCTTCTGTCAAAAAAACTGATTTCAAGCAAATGATTCTTTACAGTAGTCTAATTGTAATATTATACAAAAATAACATCTTGATTTCTGTGAAAACACATTCAACTGCTGTTGTGTAGTTCCAATCCTGTCTGCTATGTGTTTCTGTTACGCTATTTCATAATGGGTATAGTAAGTTCCTAAACTACATTCAAAAAATTACTCAAACCTCTGCTTGAACATCTGTATCTCCAACACTATCGGGTTTCAGCTACTGGAAGCTGCTTACTCGTATGCTTTTTGTTAAAACACCTGCTCTTTTCAGCTGTAGACAGGTTTGCTCTTTGTATCTCGTTTACCATGTACTCACACTCAGCTGTTTACAAAGGCCCGATACAGGTGTCGGTTTTTATTAATGAACTGCTTCCAAGGTCAAACAATTCAAAGGCCAACGTTTTAAGAAATCACATGCGGAAGTTTTCACAGACACTTCCAGGTTTGGTTTCCTCTCACACAGAATCACTTCCAGAACCCAGGAAAGGGTTCCTGATCTGACTCATCTCTTCCCACTCATTAATCCCTATTCACCAGTGGCAATGGAAAGGGGGTTCTTTTACAAAGCATTATACATAACACCTCTACCAAACTAAACATAAACATTTGTAGTTAAATGCAGAAAGTCGATTTCTACCCCTTTCATCCTTTGACATTTTGAGTAAAGCTCACTGGCCTGGGACTAGCCTCTATCTGCCAACCTTTGGCCAGTGAAGAGGATTCAGAGGAAATAATACAACCATCAATCAGAAAAGGAGGGGCAACAAATTAAGGTTTAAGCTGTAGCCTCGATCGGGCATTCCCGTGCAAGATGGCCAGCCTCACCGCAGCGGTAGCAGTTCACTTCACTGGTCTTGCTGCAGTTGATGGCCACATGCCCGGTTTCACCACACCTGTATATAGAGTGAAACAAACCAAAACGAATAATCCTCGCATCTGTTAAAAGAGCGCTTTTCAGACTGAGCTTCAAAGCGCTTCACAAGATTTACTATAACAGTAGGGATTGTGGGTTTTGTAGGTGAACAACAACAAAAACATCATTACACATCTTCACACCGAGTTCAACAAGCATACAGCTACAAATAGCTAATTGCAGTGAGAAGTTCTAAGATTACAGGATTAAGGATTCTAGGATTAAGAGCTATAACAGAGTTAAATTAATGGCTGTGTTATATCTCAGAGCAACGTTATCTAGAAAATACTCTTAAAAAAATGTCCAACAATAAGACTCTGGGTTGCTACCCTGAATGATGGCACGATTGGCACTATATAAATGCAAGTGGTTGTTGTAGGACTGAAGGCACAAGTTTAAGTTGCACACAGCAACTGTAGGACCGTTCCCTGGATATATTTACAAAGTGTAATCAGCAGCCAGAATAGGAAATGGAGTCTGAGACCAAGCCACTAGACTCATTAAGAAACAGTTTAATGCTGCAATGGGATGTCAGTAAGGTGGGGGCTATGGAAAAGAAGACATTTACAGCCCTATTAAGACAGGATGAGCCATGATGTGAACAAGTTCACAAAAGCAACCATCAGACTATTGGGCAAAAATTATTCTCCCCAGTCCCCCCACCCCCACAAAGTTCAGGTCAACCACCATACCTATAGCACTTGACTTTAGTGCAGTCTTTCTGAATGTGCCCAAACTCTCCACAAGAATAACACTTCTGTTCATCTGCATGGTCACAATCACGGGCCAGGTGTCCAGGTTTGCCACAGTTGTAGCAGCATTGCTCCCTTTCCTTCTTTGGCTCCTTACAGTCTTTGGCAATGTGACCTCCCTTACCACAGTTGTAGCAGGCTGAAACACACAGGAAACATATAGAATGACATCTGTCCCAACATGGAGCTACTCCCTCCCATTCACCCAAACTGTACAAACACCTACCATCCTCCTGGAGATCACAGTCCTTGGCAAGGTGGCCTGATTCACCACACCGATAGCAAATATCTGGAAGAAGCCAAAGGAAGAATTAGATTGAAAATATAAATTACACAATTCTCTCAAATATGTTTCATCCCAGCTCAAATCTGATGTGTCTGACACCAGAAGGGAGGGGAGGGAAAAAAAGGGAAGCAGCATCTCCTTGGGGCTGAGCTGACTTCACGATGACATGCCTGGAAATGGAATATCAAAATCAACTTGACCCTCTGTGGTTGTCTCAGTTGTCCAGGTCCTAATGCAGGCATGTCTACAGTATGCCATAATATTGACAATGATATACCAGCCTGGACAGGCAACAGGAGGGGCAGATCGGTAGGGATAGTTCTCACTAATCTCTTAACCCTGCAATCCAAGGCTTTGGTTTAGCTGGACAACTAGTGAGTAGGAGAACTATGAAATAATGTTCTCAATAGCAAGCGATGCCACAGAATAAAATTTGACTTTCTTGTGCAACAAACAAACTCAGACAAGATCACCACAAACATCTTATGGCTTACCTCTCGCAGCCGTGAAGCCTATTTTACAACGCCCTCGAATCCCACGGACTCGGCCACCTCCAGTTGGACACTCGCGAGCCCAATGTCCAGTACGGCCACATTTGAAGCATTCATTGCTGCTCATGATGAATTCTGGTCAGTCTGAAAAGACAAATGAGGTTCAGATTCATTAAAAATAACCTGAAACATTAACTCACTTTCCTCTCTCCGTAGATGCCTGACCTGCTGAATGCTCCAAATGACTTCTGTTTTTATTTCAGATTTCCAGCATCTACAGTATTTTTCCTCTTGTTTAATATTTAGCTACCCAGTTTCTCAGTGGGTACAGAGCCAACATATTTTTTGCCCAGTTTGGAGGTTTAAGTCAACTAATCTCAGCACAGAAAACACTGAATGCTGCAATTTTCCTCAGCATTCAGTCAGGGAGCGTTAAAGAAAAAAAACACGATCATTGCCAAGTGATGCCTGCTGATACATGCTGGGCGTGGGCAAGATTAAAACAGCAATTCCTTCTTCCCAAGCCAAACAGCTTCCTTACAGTCAATTCATGAAAAACACCAACTTGAGTAACACACCAGAGAACTGTTGACAACTCAGCAAAATTGCCCCAAGTTATCCTCAGGATAACTTTGGGCAGTGGGGAGTAAGCAGCATAGAAAACAGTGTACCCCACCTTTTGTTCTGTGATTTTATTTTAAAAACATACTGTAAAGATGCAGATTCAAAACCACCCTGAGCAAGCTGCATACAATTGCACATCTCAGAACAGAAATGATAAAAGCCTTCTGAGAAACACAAATGGCATTAATTATGATTTATGTGGAATAGCTTATAGATTCATCAGAATGTTATTTCCAGCACTTTCAGGCAACAGATGACTGAAACAATTCTGAAGGCATTAACTCATAAAGGGTATGTTTCTACAGGCATCAGCTGCCTTCTGGTATCTTGCTGAAGTGGTAATTCCTCATTTGCAAAACCAGACAGTATTGGCAAGATATTCAAGTGAAGGGTACAACACAGCTGAACACCATCCAGCCCATAGAGGTAACTGGATAGTGATCAGGAACCCTGGCTCAGTTTCCCCCCGGAGGGCATCAAGGTCAGTGCCCCAGATCCTTCTGCCCAGACTCATCACATATTTGGAACTGGCCTGGGGCCTACCAGGTCTGCTTTGTCAGCTTCTCACTGTACAGTGGGTTACTAACTCAACCATTGGAATAAGTTTTTTTTAATGATGACACATAGGCCCGCCCTTAAGTTGAAATGAAAAAGTGCCTCTGACCTCATCATTCCAGAATACCAGCTCTATAACTTAGCATTGCAGCATCAAATAATTTGGGATCATTTGAAATTGCAAATATCCAAACCAACATTATCGCAGGCTTTACCAGCAAGCAACAACGCTAAACAGTCCAAGGGATATGAAAGCTCATATCTTTCATTTAGAGCCAATGCACGCAAGAATATCAAACTTATAATGCACTTGAGGGAGTTCAGGCATGATAGTACAGACTAGCAACTTTAACAAGGAACTATTTGCATTTATAATACTGTTAACGTAGGATAATAATTTAATCCCTTCATTTGATATAGCGCCTCATCACTTGGTTGAGATGTTTCAAAGCACTTCACAGGATCTTCTATAAACTAGATTTTTTTAAAATGGCAGGATTTTAGGTAAAACAAGACAACCATCACAAAAAGTATCCTTACAGCATCTATACATTTTGTATAGTTTGTTGAATGCAAAGATACTCATTGTTCTGCTCAGTAGAATTTCCATTTAAAGCTAATTTTTAAACTGTGGGATGTTTAGGTTCAGCACTGCTACAAGAGAATTCCATGAGTAGATAAGGTCACCCCAAATGAAGGGCTCCATAGAATATTTTGCCTTGGTGTATTCCTATAGGCAAATGTCTAATTTATCTTTGGGAATGCCAAAAACAGCCTGATTGGAACCAGGACACAATTGTGTGAGCAATCACAAGCACGTTGTTTGGGATCACAACATTTGTAAGCGGCCCTTGATAGACCAAGACAATGGATGAGATGGATGGACCATTTAAAAAGTTAGTTATACTGTAGTATGACCAAGCTGAACTTTAGATTCAGACTCCATCGCACAGAATGTGATTGCTACACCAAATGATGATGATGAAAAAGATATACACGCAGTAAATTTATCACTAACAAAAATATTTTTGACATTTGGTTGACTAACTGGCAAGCAGCAGAACCACTTTCAGTTTCTGCACCTTTATACACAGATGTTCCTTGGAGGTGAACCTTCCTGTATTCAATACATTCACTGGATAAGTTTCAATGCTACTTTCCTCAGTATAAGAAGAGAATGGGTTTTAAAAAAAACAAGATCCCATTGTGGATATTTAGATTTTAAATTCTGGCTATGATAATTTCTGCAAGGCCACAGCCACTCTTTCACTACATCAACCACATAAAACAGGAGTTAAGTATTTACAAGTCTTCAAATTAAACAGAATCACAGGTCAATTGTTTTTCTAGAGCTACTTACAAAGTTAATCTTAACCATTTTCATTTGGTTACAAACAATCTTTCAGCTGCATTTAAACTTACTTAAATGTGTCCCTCTTGATCATACCCAAACCAACTGGCCTTCCATAATTATATTGTTAATCACCATTGCTGTTAATTTAACATTGATATGATCCACCATTGAAATAACTACAGATTTATTCACTTTTCCAGAGTTCTGTGAACTGGTCAAAATGGGAACTTACAAGTAAGGTTAGTGCTTTGCCATCCTGTGACAAACAATAACTCTAGTGATCTGTTCCATGTACATTTTTGTTCCAAATAGACTGATATCATAAATCTTTAAGTGTCCTGGTCAATCGGTAATTAGTATGCCAGGTTCAAACCTGCCTTGCCAATAAAATACACACTGCACTATTCTACCTACCCTTTAATCCAATGCAGCCAACATGGAGCTCCCAACATCACTCAAAAAAACTCAAACCTGATGGAACATTTCTATCTTTGCATACAATCCTGTTCAGTTTTGGAGATTATGTCACGAGCATAGAATTGCATAAATTTACCAAAAAAAGGCACTGAACGTCTACCATTTTACCAGGTTCTTCACTGAAAAATGTATGTCAGGTGACACTCTCTCCAGATCCAAACAGTTTGCCAAACTTTTAATGCTATATAAAAAAATGTAAAATGCAGTACCAAATAATGTACAATCAGCTGGTTAATACAGATTTAGCTGATCTCAAGGATCCAAAGTTGACAACAATCTATACATCTTGGGCAAGAAAGGAAGAACTCAGCAATGAATCTCACTCCTGATTACTCAAGGGACAGGCATGAAGAAATGGGCACGTAGGCACTAAAGGATGTTCATGGAATCAAATGCCAACACCTTCTGGAGGAGAGAAAAATCCGCAAAGAGATATTAAAAATGCGAAACTTGGGGGAGGAGGGGGAGTAACAGTTAAAATAGTACCGTGTCTAAGATTACACGCCCGACACCTTGTAGCGGCATCACAGGGCTGTAAAATGGCAGTACCTCTCATTGCAAATGAAAACTTACTCGAATGACTGGTACACCTCCCCAGTTGTCAGCCACCCCGGCGGAGACGGAAAGTCCCGGCCACCGTGTGCAGAGAGCGAAAATTAATCTCACCCTTCGCCCTCCTCCACCCAACCCCACATGGCGGTGGCCGGGATCGGTTCAGACGAGCGGCAGGGAGGCCGGGGCGACAGGCCCAGGCCCCCGAAACCAGTCGCGACCGAGCAGCGAAAGGGGCTCGACTTCCCGGCGATCGTTAACAAAATGCGGGATTTCTACATTACCAAAAAAAAATGCGTATCGCATAAAATACATTCATCGTTCCCACCCTAACCCTTCCCCTCTCCCCCCCCCCACACACACACCCCACCCCCCGCCCAAGTTCATTCATGTCTCGGGGCGGGGTGGAAGCGCGCGAGAAGAGGCGGAGGGACTCGTGAAAGAGTACCCCCCAAAAAGGTCTTTTTTTTTCTTCCCTCTTTTAATCGCACAATAAAAATCCAACCGTGGGTTCGGGACACGCCAACTCCTCACCCCCCCCAATCCTCTCCTCGCCCCCCAATCCATCCACCACACAGGGCGTAGTCACTGCCCCAAATCCCAGCACCGTGTGTGTGTGTGTGTGTGTGTGGGAGGGGGTTGTGTGCCAAGCGAGAGGCCTCCCATCGCTGCACTGGCCGCCCGCCCGCTTTACGGCCCACCGCGCCTCACTTTCTACTCGTGCCCGGTGAGCAAAGGCCAGAGGCGGGCGGGCGAGAGAGGGGGAAACACGGGCCCGAGCTGGGCCCTACTCCCTCCCCTTCACGTGCTGCGGCCCCTCCATTTTAACGGTCAGCCCAGGCCCAGGCTCCCAACACGTCAGAAGGCCCCGAGCGAGCGACCGACCGACCCCCCCCCTCGCCCCCACCTCCGCTCCCGACCCAAAGACGGCGGGGCCCGCGCCTGACAGGCGGCGGGGCCTCACCCGGAAAAGGAAAGAAAAAGAGAAGAGCGAGGTCGAGTTGACGAGCCTGACGAGCAAGGCCCGAAGTGCGCCGTCAAAAAAAAACCCGACTTGTTTACCTCAGCTCCCGGGGGTGTGGGGGGGGGAGAAGCTGACTAACGGCCGACTAACGGCCGAGGAGGCCTTGCCTTCAAAAGCGCGCCGAAGCCACCCGCTCCCTCTCGCTCTCTCTCTCTCTCTCACCCACACCTTGTCCTTACCGAGCACTTCCTTCGCTGCTTTAATTTAACGTCTGATTTTTTTTTTTTTTCCGAGACCCCCACCCGGGCTATCTGCTCCGCTCCTCCCGCCCGCGCTCGTCTCACTGCCGCTCACCCTCCTCGCTCGCTCGCTCGCAGTCGGTCAAGTCAAGTCAGTCAGTGCGCCACACGCACGCGGTTTGCACACGGCGCTCCTCCCGCAGCCAGCTCCGAGCTAAAGGGGCGTGACTCAGCTTTTCTGTGGGGGCGCGCTGCGCCAGCAGCGTCTCGCCGCTGCCGCCATTGGTCACTCGCCGCGTCAATCATCCGGGGAGGCACGCATTCCCGCCCACCGCCCGCCGACGGGGTAGACCAATCGCGAGTCTCGTGCCTCGCCGCGGCCAATCGCCGATCCCAACTCTGCCGCAGTGCTCGATATCGATTGGTTGCACGGCACGTCAGTCAGCCCTGTCTCCCCTCCCCCCCGCCCCGCGCCTTGCCCAGCCGAAGTGTCCCACCTTCCTCCCGCCGTCGGGATGGACCAATCGCGGGGCTAGTTTCCGCGCCGTGCACAACAGCGACCAATCGCAGAGCCCGACTCTCCCGCCGTGCTCGATGCCGATTGGCTGGACGGCACGTCAGTCAACCGGCCTCCTCACCCTGCGCCTTCCCCGGGCTAATCAGCGGCAGAGCGGGATGGTGAGTGCGCATGATTGGCGGGAGGGTGGGGGGGGGCGGGTCTCGCGGGCGCCGCTGTCTCGAGAGCCCAACGGTCGTCGACGATGTGGCGGTTGGTGCCCTCACTCAGGTGAAGCTTCCCTCGCGGGGGGGTGTTAGGTTCGAGTGTCAATAAGCGCGGGCGGTGCCGAACCTGCCCCCCCGGAGCCTCTCAGGTCAGTCAGTGCGGGAGCCACGGAATGTTGGGAGTTGTAGTTCGTTCGGGGGTCGGATTTGAGGGGCGTTTGCATCGCTTCGAACGTGTGCGCGTTGACATCGGAACGGGAGGAGGCCATTCAGCCCCTCGAGCCCGTTCCGCCACTCGGTTGGATCGTGGCTGAGCCGTACCCCAACCCCCCCGATTCCCAGCGGAGCACCTGCGGACCCGCGTGGCTCAGGGATGTGGTGAAGCGCGGTCATGTCGTCCCCAGGTCTGAAGTGTGGCACTTACAATAATAATAATAATAATAATAATAATAACTGCACTCGGGAGCAGTGTACGTCCTGATAAAGAGGGCAAATTAATCGCCAAATCTTCCTAAGCGGTGCAGGTTTCCGCGCCGCGGAAGCGATGGCGGATCTGCAAACGGTACCAAAAAAAAAGTCAGAGACAAATTAAGATGGGCGGCGGACAGCATGTGGCACAGGACGGTACCGCTGTCATAGGCACATCCCCCCCCCCCCCCCACACACAGGGAGTGTTTCCAGTGTTTCACTCTTTAGGCCCCGTTGAAAAGAAGGTGATGTTTACTTACTGGGGTTTGGGAAGTTCGCAATGGTTTAACCCACGTCTGCTGGTTACCAGGTTACCAGGTTACCGGGGGGCGGCATTGCTCTGTGGGAAAGACCTGCCCCTTTTTTCCAACTTCTTAAAATAAAAACCGATGAACTTGTGAAACACGACTGGGTGTCTTTACTCTGTGCTCTGCGCTCTCCGCTCCTCACCAAAGCCACTGTCTCACATCTTCATTCAAACCGAATTAAGAGAACAGCTGTGTTGGGCATTCATTCTGAAAGGATTAGAGTCTGAGAGTAGGGAAGTCTCGCTGCCACTGCACAGGGCCCTCCCTGTGAGACCACACCTGGAATACTGCGTCCAGTTGTGGTCTCCTTATTTAAGGAAGGACGTACGTGCCGTGGAGGGGGTACAGCGTAGGTTTACTCGGTTCGTACCAGGGATGGAGGGGATGAGTTACGAGGATAGGCTGAGCAATTTGGGCCGACATTCTCTAGAATATAGAAGAATTAGAGGGGATCTTATAGAAACCTATAAGATCATCAAAGGGCAATGATAGAGTAGATAGTGGGAGATTGTTTCCCCCGGTCGGAGAAACTAAAACCAGGGGTCACAACCTTAAAATCAGAGGCAGCCCTTTCGCACTGAGTTGAGGAAGAACTTCTTCACTCAAAGGGCAGTGAATGTATGGAACTCACTACCCCAAAGGGCTGTTGACGCTCAGTCCTCGAACATATTCAAGACTGAGAGAGATAGATTTCTTATTGCAAAAGGGATGAAGGGATATGGGGATAAGGCAGCGTCAGGTTATTAGCTGGAGTTAGATTAGAAGATCAGCCATGATTGAATGGCGGGGCAGGCTCAAAGGGCCGAATGGTCTACTCCTGCTCCTACATGTTATGTTAACTGATCAGTGAGTCAGTAACGTAAAGAACGTAAACAGGATTATTACCAGAAGAGAGAGAAAAAAAGGAAAGAAAAAAAGTTTGCACACAAACTTGTTAGAGTACAGATTATTTTATCTCAAATGGCTATTGAAGCTTGTCAAAGAATCATGCTCTTCTGTAACTAGATTACTTTAAACTGGCCTTTTACTTATCCTTTGCTAGGACACCACTAAAGAAGAAGTGACTTTCTCTGTAGCCCATGGCCTTGTGTCTGTTATTTTGTGAAATATAGTGAGCATTTTGTGTAATGTGCTAAATGGGTATTACAAAACTAGTGGCATTTGCTTATGGCATCAGTGACAGACAGAAATGGGTGTTTTCCAGGCATGTGTGTCACCATGACAATGTCACCATCCAGGACTCCCAGGTCAGGGGTAAAATGTTATTCTGTACTAAAATATGCCTTTATCAAAATCTCATTATAGCCTCTTCAGTTACACAACTAAATTTCCGCAGCCAGCCATCCTTAAGGCAATCTGAATGAGAATGTGAATACCCACTGTAGTACTGTGGCCTCCAGGAGCTGCATTAGCATTGTCCAAATATGAATATAAGAATTTGATAGGCAAAAGAAGACAAAGGTCCATCTACTTCGCCTTCCACCATCCTGCTAGTGCTTGACATGTTGTGTCCCAAACTATATATTGTATCCCGAGATATTTCTAGCAGAAATACACAGCTTCACACAGTGGAGAGAAGACTGTCATTGATCGGATTCCACCTGAGTTATTCAAAACTACTGTCCGCATAGATGAAAGGAAGTGTACTAATGCATTGTCTCGCTTTTTTAATGTGGATTGTTTTAGTTGAAAACTTAAAAACTTAGATTTTGTAGATTTCAATGGAGAAACAACAAGTTGCATTTATATAGTGCTCTGCTGAATACGACGCAGGATAAAGTCTTGGAGCTCTTGTGGAAAAGGAAGCATTAAAATGGAGTAAGTGAATAAAGACATAGAGTTCTGCAGCAGTGGATATATTTAGGAATCTCAATAGGATCTTCACCTACTCTTATCTGGGAGGTGAATCTCAACTTTTCAGGAAGTTTATTTATTGGTACAAGTCCAAGGGATGCCTTGATGATGTAGGTGACGGACTGGTTTATTGTCAGTTATCTCTGCATTGCCACCGGTGAGCTTTCCATTTGCCCTGTGAAGTGGTTGCTCTGTTTGAATATGACCAACTCTTACACTCCCAGCAAACGCATCAGACTTCAGAAATCTGCCAGACTGCCTCTTTACCAGGACAGATGAAATATTGCAGTCACCTCACCCTGTCTTCAGGTTCCAGCCACCACAGATACCAAAGTGATGACTTCATGAGACCATGTGGCATCCTTGCTCTTCTGCTGGAGCTGAATATAAAAGGCCTGAAGTAATGCAGAAGCTGTGGATCTTGGACTGATGCCTACAAATCAGCCTTCTAGTCTAGTCTAGAGTCGCCCAGACACACACAAACAGACACACACACACAGCACACACACAGAAATGTGAAGTGTTGCTAAAAATCCCTTTTTAGAATTTTTTTTGAAAAGATGTGTGTGTACACAACCTGTGGTGTGCTGGTAAGAATGTTTTTGATTTTCCATTCTTTCACTGGTAAATTTATATTCTTCCCAGACTCCCAAGTTAAAGGAAAGATGGTTGTAGGTTTTTCTTTATAATTTAACAGACTAAATGTAACCAGAACTAAAATCTACACTGGAACAGATCCAATCTATTCAAAAATTCAAGCAGATTCAAGAGCAAAAATGAGGGGTTTTAAAAAGAATATTTAGTGGAATTCCATATCAGCAATCGCTCCAATCTTCCCTCCTCATTTAAAGATGCTGTAAACAAACATATTCTCCAGGACCTCTGCCCAAATGGCCATTTGTGTGAGCCTAGACATTGTGTGTTGGGTGAGTATTTGACTGGGAGCACAGTGGGGGTTGCACAGCAGAGCAATGACATCCTGTCCTCACTCAATGACATCCTCAAGCCCATCAATGGTCGAACAATAAATTACCCTCAATTTTTTTTAGAGAATCAAAAGCATTGCATCTAATTTTGATGAGAACGTTTACCCAACTGTCATGAATATAATACCTTCAGCAGAATTTGATAGTATTCCTTCTGTTTGGACACCACATCAAATTTGGATGTCGTGGGTTACAGACACCATGGTAGAAAATTCAAACAAAGCATGGAAGATTAGGCCATTTAGCCTTGCAAGTCCATTCCTTTCACAAGCTCAGTACAACTTGCACTATCATGGACTGAATTTGCGAGTTTGTGAAAACACATTTCTACACTCAGTGCTGGGAATCCACTTGGTTGGTTTGCAGACTGCGTCCTCCTTGTGGAGAAGTAAGCAAGGTATCCTTGGAGCTAAACTGGCTCCAAGGTGACATGTTCGGCAACAGAATGTCGGAATCGAGCCCATCCTCTGTGGCAGTCTTGGTAGTCCAGTTACTGAGCCAGGCCAGTGCGCAATACTCCAGCCTGGCTCATTGGCAGAACTTGGACCGACTTTGTAGAAAATGGCTGCCAGATTTACAAAGTCACCACACTTAACAATATTACTAGAGAAGTGCTTTGAGTTGTTTCAAGGTGATGGACTCTATCAAATGAAAGGATTATTATCTTTTTTTGGTCAACTGGGTTTTCTGACACATGTGGAAATCCATCACCATATTTAAGAGTATCCAAACCAAGCTGAGATTTACATGCATCCCACTTAAAACATGGAAATCCCAGAAATAGATTGTTGGAATGGAATGCGCATTCTCTCCCTGGAGGGATGCATCCCGTATACCTAATTCTGGTAAGTATTAGGCGCAGGTTGGTAAGAGCCAAGGCTTGGGGACCCCAGAGTGTGTGTTGTTACAGTTCAAGATCCTGGTCCTCACTTTCAAAGTCCTCCATGGCCTTGCTCTCCCCTACCTCTGAGATCTCCTAACCCCCTACCCAACCTGCCCGCTCCTTCCGCTCAGTGAGTTCTGGCCTGCTTCATGTCCCCGCCTCGCTTGCCCCACCATTAGCAGGTGGGCCGTCAGCCACTTTCTGGAGCTCCATCCCACAGTCCCTCCACCTCGCTCCTCCCTTGCCTCCTTTAATAACCGTCTCAAGACCCTCCTCTTCAACCGTACCTTCGGTCCCCCCCCTGCCCTCCAACCTCCCCGATTCCAACTCCCAGATTGGGTCCGAATCACTGATTGTCCAGCCCCTTAGGACTGATTGTCCAGCGCCCTGTTGTTTGTTGTTGAAGTAATAATAATAATCTGCATTTCATATAGTGCCTTATCACATCTTCGAGACATCTTAAAGCCCTTATCAGCATATACTCTAAAGTGAATTGACTGTATATTTTGGGTCTAACCAGCTAACACCGTACAGCTTGCCATTGATAAATTATTATTATAAAGGTGTACAACGAATGAGTTCCGGTCAACCCGGTTATTGCAGTGGGTGTTTCCTCCTCCCCCTGGGCCAGGGTTGGGAAGGGAGTTCAACGCCTGAGCCTCTCAGAGCTGCAGCCTGAATCTTGCACAAGTTGGGAGCAAATGAGGTGGCATTCGATGCAAGCATGTAATGTTGCTGCTGTAAGCACAGCTTTACAGGACAGTATACTGTAACAAGCAATGCCTTGTTTGTACCTCTTGCAATTGGAAAGCTGCCAAGGCATTTGTAAGAGGCCACATTATTTTCCATCTGAGCTGGTAGAAAGTGTAAGCAGTTTTTATAGAGAGAAAAACACAAGCTGCTGTGAGAGCATTAGAACTGAAATATAAAAATAACCCACACAGAATCATGAGCACACTCTTCAATTACTTAAGCGGTAGCATAACCTCAAGCTGACCAGAAAGACGGGGGTGGGGGGGGGGGGGGGTGGTTGGCTGTAGGGGGAGGGGGAAATCACTAACGTTTGCTAAACTGAGATGTTTTAAGCATGAATACCTGAATACCCGGTGAAACGAGTTGCAGAGAGTAGCTGGATCATGCAGAGCTAAACTTTAGTTTGATGCCTGAAATATCAAATGTAATATTAATCCATGAATTTGATATAGGGCCTATAATGTCACTGTCTCAAAGCGCTTGCTAGGTGATTGATGTCAAGTGTGATTTTATTCTGTACTTACAGGCAAAACCCCGTGATCAATTTTGCCTACAGCAAGTGCCCACAAACAGCCATGTTTTGTAAAAAAACATTCAATCCACGACTGTTTGTGGGTCACTGCTATGCACAATTGGCTGCCATGTTTCGTCTCCACAAACTATAGTCAATTCATTTTGCGGTATATTCCGTGAAGTGCTTTGAGACATCTCAATGACGGATTATTATTATTATGAACTGAATAACCGATTGCGGCATCTTTAATGTCCACCTAAACCGCGGTTTAACCTCTCAACCGAAGAACAGGAGCTCTCTCTTCCCAACCTTCTAATCTTTCACCAAATGTGCTAGTTCCCCAATTTTAACCCATTCCTTCCTCTTCCCCACCCCCCCAGGCCCTTTTATATTGTTCCTCTTCAAACATCGTTTTATAATGCTAGAAGTCTGCATGAAAAACCTAGTCCAACAGGGGCAGGAGGTAGATAGGTCAGTTATGGATCTGAAATAATCTAAATGCAGCTTATTAAAAAATGCGAGGGAGCCTGACCAAGTGGGGGGGGGGGGGGGGTTAAGCTCTATTCACATTCAGGCAAAACATTACGAACATGTGGAGTCCTGTAGCTCAGTGGTTGAGCACTCGCTTTGCAAGCTAGAGACCTGAGTTCAATTCCAGGCAGAGGGCGAAACCTTGGGCAAGTTTCCTTACTCCACACACCTAATAATAAACCCTCCAAAACCAAAAACAATAATAAAATTGGTCATTTTCAATCCACGACTGTTTGTGGGACATTGCTGTGCGCAATTGGCTGCCGCGTTCGCCCACAAATATACAGTCAATTCACTTTACAGTGTGTTCTGTGAAGCGCTTTGGGACGTCCTCCCGACGTGAAAAGCGCTATATCAAATGCAAGGATTATTATTATTATTATTATTATTATTATTGTTGTGTATTGGTTCCAGAGAGAGAGAGAGAGAGAAGAGNAAAAAAGAAACACGGAAGGGCCACGCAGGTTGGTTTGATTTGCCAACCATCCTGAGAATGCTGTGCGGATGGAGTGTGACTGACTGACTGACTGACTGACTGACTGCCCCCCAGTGCTCCTGGAGAATGCTGAACATGGTTCCAATTCCGGATCAGCCAACTCCAGTGTCTAATTTCAACGGCTCAGCCTCACCCGAGCGCTGCTCCCCCGCAGCGCACCGACGGCGGAACCCTCGGCGATATAATACCAGGTACCAATTATTTAGCGGGGTATCGGTCTACCTCTAACCCACCTGAATCTTACCACGTTTGACGCCCCTTCCTCTCCCCAATCCCCACCCATCAAAAAAAAAGTCGAATAAGGCGTAGTTTGATGGACGCTCAGTAAAAGCAGTGGGAAGAACAGTGGCTTTTGGTTTAAGCTTTTTACCTTCGTTTTTAAGCTGAGAGCTGTGGGACTCTTTTGTGCGTCTGTGTGTGTGTGTGTGGGGGGTGGGGGGGGGGGGGTGTTGGGGAGCCAATGTGTCTCAGTGCTTTGCATAGAGAGTGGGTGATGGTTGGTAGAGATGATGGGTGGGGGCCAGAGTTAAGCAGAGACAGACAGACACGCATGGGGAAGCGGCTATATATATATATATATATATGTGTGTGTGTGTATATATTTCGGAATACACCGCCCCCCCAAAAAACACAAAAGTTTTATCCGTAATAATTTCTCCCAGCATCCCACTGAATCTGCCAGCAATAGCTAAAGGGTATCACCACAACACTTCTCAGATAGAGTGTCAGAGAAGGAGAGAGAGAGGGAGAGAGAGAGAAAGTCAGAGAGAGAGAGACGGGGACAGTCAGGGAGAGAGAAAGTCAGGGAGAGAGAAAGTCAGGGAGAGAGAAAGTCAGGGAGAGAGAAAGAAAGACAGGGAGACAGTCAGAGAGAGAGAGAAAGACAGGGAGAGAGTCAGAGAGAGAAAGACAGGGAGAGAGTCAGAGAGAGAGAGAGAAAGAAAGACAGGGAGACAGTCAGAGAGAGAGAAAGACAGGGAGAGAGTCAGAGAGAGAGAGAGAAAGAAAGACAGGGAGACAGTCAGAGAGAGAGAAAGACAGGGAGAGAGTCAGAGAGAGAAAGACAGGGAGAGAGTCAGAGAGAGAGAGAGAGAAAGACAGGGAGACAGTCAGAGAGAGAGAGAGAGAAAGACAGGGAGAGAGTCAGAGAAAGAAAGACAGGGAGAGAGTCAGAGAGAGAGAGAAAGACAGGGAGACAGTCAGGGAGAGAGAGAGAAAGTCAGAGAGAAAGTCAGAGAAAGAGAGAAAGTCAGAGAGAAAGAGAGTTAAGAGTGGTTGAGTTTGGGCTGTGATGATGTCACTAGGCGACAACTTTGGGGTTTAGTTATGGCGGAGCTGAGCTCAGAGAGGAGTTGGGCAAAGTTTGAGATTCAAGTGGGGCAATGGATCTGTACTGATTTCGCTTCACTTCTCGCAGTTTAAAAGAAAGAGGGGGAAAGGGGTGTGTGTGGGTGTGGTGGGGGGGGGGGAGGAGAACAAGCGATCGCCTGACCCACCGACCACATACATCACATCACATACAGAGAGTCACAGCGTAAGTTGGCGTTTGTTTATTTCATAGAGAAATAATGATCAGCGCGGGTTTGAAACTAGTGTGAAACCCTCGCCTCTAACATTCCTCTCTCCCCTCTCCCCACCTCGCCTCTTCTCCCCTTCTCCCCCTCTTCCCCCATCCCCACCTCGCCCCTCTCTCTCTTCCCAGTTTTCCTGGTTGTTGCTGCAGGAGGATAAGGAGGGCCTGAGTTAGTTTAGCTCCACTCCATTCTTACAGTCTTTTTCTCTTGCTTTCTCTCCCTCTCTCTCTTCCTCCCCCAACAAAAAAAAAAGTTGTGGCAAAGTTACTATTACTCTACTACCCGCGGATTAGTGCCAGCAGCTTGTGGCTGTGAGTTGTGTCCACGACCATTATTATTACATTGGCGCTACAGCAGCAACTAACCAACGGCAGCAGAGGGAACATTAATATACTGCAAACGATTGCAATTCCACCCACAGTCAGGCACTCTCCCAAAATGTACCAATGTGCATACATCTTTTGTATTTCAGTACAGAATCATGTGCATATATATGAGAGGAGAGAGAAGGAGAGAGGTAAAGACGATGTCTTTTCCTCTCTCCACCTTCCCACTCCACCACTCCAAAACAAGAGTGAGAGTGACTTATACTTTATTTACATTCTCTCTCTATTGTGTGTTGAAATCACAAATTAATAATAATCCTTGCATTTGATATATTATAGCGCTTTATCACATCTACGAGATGTCTCAAAGCACGTTACAGAATACACTGTAAAGTGAATTGAGTGTATATTTTGTGGGTAGAACGCCCACGATTAAAATGAAATTTTTTTGTACCAGTAATTTCTTTGCATAATCCACTGCTGATTACAGGAAGGTTGTGACTAGATAGTTAGGGTGTGAAGGAAACATTTAAATTCATGTGATGTGATTTTTTTTGTTAACCAGACCCTGTTAGTACACCAAGTTTTATTTTATAATGCTTTATTTACATTCTCTTTCTGTTTCTCTGTGGCTGTGTTCTGACATCATTGTGGCGAGTCAGACAATTATCAGGTCTGTAGCGACTGAGGTTTTTAGTTGGTGAATTGGCCGCAAGGCTGAGATTTCACACATGTCAAAATGAGAGAGCTGACGCACAACTGAAATATTCTAACCCCCACCCACCTCCCCAAATGTTGAGATTGAGTTAATCTCTTCTCCTTCCCTCCCTCAACAACAACAAAAAAATTACATTTATAGAGCGCCTCCCCCCACCCCCCACATGTTTGTGAGTTGAGCATTGGAGTATAATGGTATGAGTAGTTTATGTGGAAGAAATATCCAATTAAGAATCAATACCAATTTGCGATATGCTAATAGTTTAGCTCAGTCCCTAGTGCTCTAGCCTGGGTCAGAGGGTTTGTTCGGGCCCCATGCCAGGATTTGGGCTCCTAATCTTGCCTGTCATGTAATAATAATAAAAAATAAGAATAGTTGCATTTGATATAGCGCCTTATCAAGTTGAGACATCACAAAGCGCTTCACAGAATATATTGTAAAGTAGATTGCCCACAGCCAATTGTGCACAGCAGTGTACCACAAACGGTCTTGGATTGAGTGACCATTTATTTTTTGGGATTACCCTTCGATCCGCCAGTTGACTATCAACCGGATTCATACTTACTGCTAGGCAAACAGAGGCATGTGGAGTAAGGAAACTTGCCTAAGGTTTTGCCCTGTCCGGGTCCTCTCTTTTGCAGAGGGACTCCACATTCCTGTGGCGCAGTACTGATGGAGCGCTGCATTGTTGGAGGTGCAGTAATTTGGATGAGATGGTAAATCGAGGTCCAGTCTGCTTGTTACAGAGGTTTAGTTGGAACCTTAAGGATCTAACAGTGCTATTTGGGAGACGAGCAGGAAGTTTCCTGGCCAATAATTCCCTTTACCCCCCCCATCCCCTATGCAAATTCCCCACACACAGTTACCTCATTGAGTGAGATGTTCAGATGGCACGGCATTAAAAGCGAGTATAATTCATTAAGTCAGTCAATGGCATAGATTAATAACCTCTTTGGTTGGCCAACAAAATAAATGTTTCTTGATTGAATATTTCTTGATTTATAGCCTAATTAAATCCAAAACATTTTGTTATTTCTATGATTACTTTGTTGGTCAACCAAAAAAATCTAGTAGGCCAGTGCTGTGCTGTACTGTTGCTCTTTTTCTCTCTTTTTCCTCTTCCCCCATTCGTCTTAAATGTCAGCAGTCAAACAGAGTGGGGGGAGGGCAGAAGAGAGTCCCTGGCTTCAGTGAACACTCAGGGAGGCTGTGAAAACTGTGGGCCATGTGATTGAATTGTAAGAAACCACATTGAAGATCCCAGCCGGAATGTCCAGTGATAACTGTGACCAGGGGTCACTTATGTAACCAGTGAGAAGAGAGATGGTGTTGTGTACACTGTGCAGTTATTCTCCAACCCTCTTCCGATCGCCCTCCCTCCACCTTTACCGCTCTATTTGTCAAGCGCTCTGAGATGCTGTCCTGCGCGAAATATAAATATAAATGCAAATTGTTGTTATAATAATAATAATCCTTGCATTTGATGTAGAGCCTTATCATGTCTTCGCGACATCTTAAAGTGAATTGAATGTATATTTTGTGGGCGAAACACGCAGCCAATTGTGCACAGCGGTGTGCCACAAACAGTCGTGGATTGAGTGACCCAATTTATTATTTTTTTAAGGATTTATTACTCCCGGAGTTGTTGGCATGTGTGTGTGTTTTAGGTGGGGAGGACTGGGGGAGGGTGTTGTACAAATGCAGGGTGTACCAATAAACATGGAGTTTAGCACGGCCGCTATGTTATTGTGGACCCCCCCAAACCGCAATATCAGGCACACTTCCCGAAGCAGATCTGTGGCGCTTTTACACAGTTGCTTCGGGCAACATGATTGCTGCACAGATCACTTCTGACTGCCTAAAAACACGCTGGCAATCCCCAAGCTATTCATCCCTGGGAGGACCGTGGATCCAGCCCTACAGACACTGGCATTTCTTTGTGTAACCTTATGAATAGGAGTTACGCAAATTTGCATTCTGTGAGTGCTGTGTGAATCGGGGCCATGAGGAACGCACACTGCTTACGCTGTAATAGGTTTGGGTTAGGTCACTGGCCTGTGCACATGTAAGGTCTCCGTGGGACAGAGAGTTAGCAAACTGCGCTGCTGTTCGGAGTTTTGTACAAGCAACAACAACAAATTACATTAACACAGCGACCTTTCACGTCAGGAGGACATCCCAAGGCGCTGGACAGTCAGGGATTTACCCCTGAGCTGGTAGTTGGAATCAGGAGTGGATGGAGGGCAGGGAAGGTGGTGGTAAGAAAGTGACCAAAGGCACGGTCGAAGAGGAGGATCTTGAGACTGGCCTTGAAGGAGGCAAGGGAGGGGGTGAGGTAGAGGGGCTTTGGGATGGAGTTCCAGGGGTTGGCGGCAGAGAGGTTGAAGGCCCGAACAACGACGGCTGTAGATTTTATTTTAAAGCACCTTTGTAGAAAGTGGAATGTTTTTTAAAAAAACAACCCGCAACGACTGTCATTGACACAGCGCCTTTCACCTAAAAGAAACGTCTCGAGTCGTTTTACAGAATGAGATTAATTCGAAATGAAGTGAATGTCGTTATTGGAGGTGAGATCAGGAGCCAGAGACGTTCCACCAAGAAATGGGAGTGAGAGTAGCAGACAATTCATTTCGCTATTTGTGCTGAATTTGGACGGGGGAGAGAATATAACCCAGGGTCACCTGGCAACAAAAGATTAGAGAAGGGAGTTTCTCTCGCTGTCCTGAACAGCAATCAGCCAGATAAATTAGTGGTTCTTGCACACTGCTACAACTGTGCCAATTAGAGTTTGAAACTCAGTTTTGTTTTCTGAACCTTAATGTCTGGATTCACATCAACATCTCAGAGCACTTCACATGGAATTGTTGTCGAGTGTAATGACTGTGTTTTGATGACAAACTGGGCATCTCTTTCTGCACACCAAGTTTCCACAAACAGCCTGTTAGCAAATGAAGTTATCACGAGGATTGTTGCACATGAAGAACCTCCATTCTCTTTTCCAACACTGTAGAATTAACTGAAGATTTAAGTAATATCCAACATTCCCATAAGTATATGATTCACAGTCAGTATACAGCACTCCTGGGCAGAACTGCCACAGAGTAAAGAAGGGGTTAATTTGGGGCTTTTCTGTGAAAACAAACATCAGGTTGTATGTAAACTTGCAGAACGAGTCCTAAACCCCATGCAACCTCCTTATTCTTCTGAACACAGTAGTCATAGAATGTTACAGCAGAGGCCATTCGGCCCATCGTGTCCTTGCTGACTCTCTGAGAGGACCATTTAGTCCCACTCCTGATCTTTCCCCCACAGATGTTTTTTATTTTCCTTTTCAGATATTTTTCCAAATCTTTTTAAAAGCTATGATGGATTCTGCTTGAACTAGCGTTTCTGGTTGGGCGTTCCATGTCCTTATAACTGTGTGTGTGCGTGTGCATCTCTGTGTTGTGTGTGTGTGTAAAAACAGAATCCTAGCCTTTGTATTTTGTTTAGTGATCTTAGATTGATGCGTTCTCTAGTTACCGACTCGCTAACCAGTGGAGATAATTTCTCCCTATTTATTTACCGCAGAATATTTTAATGTCGCTCTGGCCCTGTGATGCAGAATCCATAATTACCAGGGGTAAAATGACGCTGATCAGAAAATGGGTATGATTTGAGGCGGTTAATGTACTAAATGTGCAGTGTCGTGGGAATGTTTAACAGCTATTTAGCTCCTGAAGCCTGTGTTGGTAATCTGTGTTCTGGAGAGTGGCCAGGGAGATGGCTGGATTAGGAGACCTGGGGCTCATTATTAGACTCAATCTTGTAACTAACTCATTTGGTTTATGGTAAATCGTTATCCCAATGGGTGGCCACTGAGAGGGAAAATGCTTAAAGCGGGCATCGAACCAAGGCTTCCTGGGGCACGAGATGGATTGTATGCTTAGTGATACAGATACCAGAGGTCCCACTGTTATATCATCACGCTATAGAAATTACAGCACAGAAGGAGGCCATCGTGTCTGTGCTGGGGCTCGCTCCCCCACTGGAGCTCTCTACTCTAACCCCATTCCCTGCTCTCTCTCTCTCTCCCCATCGTGTCTGTGCTGGGGCTCGCTCCCCCACTGGAGCTCTCTACTCTAACCCCATTCCCTGCTCTCGCCCCATCACAGAATTTTCCTCCCAGGTTTTTCCTGCCTTATATTCTTTCCTCATTCCAAATTCATCTCAAATTCAGATGAATTGGCTGTACTTCTCCTTGACTCGAGGGACGTGTCACTGGCACAGGTTAGATGCCGGTTAATACTGTTCTGTGTGATGTGCTTAGAGTCGGGCCGTCTTTTTGAGTTGAAAGGTGCTGTGTAAATGTGAGTTGCTGTTGTTGAGATTGTCAGTGGGCCAGTCATGGCGGGTCTGTCTGTCTGTCTGTCTGTCTGTCTGTCCCCCCCCCCCCCCCGCCACCCTGGACAAAGTTTCCATTTGCCCCAAGTGTTTGTTTTCATCCAAGCGCTGGAAATTCCCAAAGCGAAGAGAGTGAAACACAAGTGTACGTTTGTCTGCATTTAAAGCTTCGCTACTCCCCCCCCGTATATACATACACCACCCTCACACACACACAGATATACACACACACACACCCTACACAAACACACCCCATACACACATACACACAAACACACACACACATATACAGAGCAGCTCAGGGTCTGGTCGGGGGGAGGGGCGGGTAGGTTGAGAGCTTAGATACTGTGGGTTTCCTGGAGTATAAATAAACCACCGGTGTTCAAACTAACTTTAGAAGAAAACATCATTAGCTGCAATGCTGGAAGTGAGGGGTCTGATGAATGGTTTGGGTCTGCGCAGAGTGGAAGGGGTTGGGGAGGGAGGGAGTGACGGATGGAGGGGTGGGTGAGGGGTTGGTGAGGGATATTTGGGCACAGTTGGTCAATCTCACCATTGTACGCTCAGTAACATTCAGTGTGTAAGGAATGCAGTCAACTGTAAACTGTTTAAACCTTGAATCTGTTGGGCTTTTGCTAACCACAGTAAACCAGGCTGACATTTAAGTCGTCCTGTAAACTTCACAAATTACGGCTTTAACCTTTTAGTTTTTTTTTCTCCCCCCCCCCCCCCCAAAAAACGGAAAAAACACACTGAAGTCTGACTCCGTACGACCAGCGATTTTATCCAGATGTTTTTTGTCACCAATCAAAATTATGACCACAACGACAGATACATTTGTCACCACTGCATTCACTCGCCCACAATGTTATTTTCCTTCAAAGCAACAATTGCTAAACATTTCTTGAGACTTTTGGTCATCTCTCCCACCACCCCCGCCCCCACCACGCCCCACCTCCTTTTCCCTTCCTGCATTGGGTTTGGATAGTGAGCCAGCTGTGTAAAGGGCGTTAAGACATCCTCCTGATGTGAAAGCTGCTGTATCAATGTAAATGGTATTGTAAACATGGAGACTGTGACATTGATTGTATGTCTATGAGAGACCACAAACCTATTGGGAGAGAGAGGTTCATGCTGCGCGATTGATTTCTTTGTCAAACAGCTTTCTCCAATTCCCTCTTGAATAATCCATTCCATTTGGTCACTCAATTGATGACTGTTTGTGGAGACGCTGCTGTACGCAATTGGCTGCCACGTTTCGCCCACAAAATACACAATCAATTCACTTTACAGTATATCTGTGAAGCGCTTTGAGACGTCTCAACAACAACAACAAGATTCCATTTATTGAGCGCCTTTCCCGTCGGGAGGACGTCCCAAGGCGCTGTACAGTTGGGTCAGGACCCGAGCATTGGGGGAAATGGTCAGGGTGAGGGGAGGGAAGGGAGGGAGCGAGGAGGGGGTAGAGAGTCGAGAGGGGAGCTGAAGGCACGGTCAAATACAGCACCTTATCAACGACGTGATAAGGTGCTGTATCAAATACAAGGATTACTATTATTATTATCTATCTGATTACTTTTTGAATAATTACCGGCCTCTGCCATAACCCTGTGTGAAAGCTCCTGTCCTCAGCTCGCGAGCGTGCAGTGGACCAGACTAGCCGCTGGGACCTGAGCTCAGTCTAATCTGTCCTCTGCACATTGGCAGGTTCCGAGCTTACCTGAGCAGTATGGAGTGTAACCCCAGCTTCCTGAAGTCCTTCAGCAATGGTTTCAATGTCCAGGACGCTTTCCTCGATAGTTCTGCCTCCGTCTCGCCCACCTTCTCCCAGCACTTTGCGTACCGGCGGGAATCCGAAGATGGCAGATTGTCAGATGTGTTCAAGGCCAGCGGCACCATTCGGGTTTACCTGCCAAACAAACAACGCACCGTGGTAAGTTCAGTCTCCCACGCTCTAGCCTCTGAATCAGAACACAGGAACATAGGAACAGGAGTAGGCCATTCAGCCCCTTGAGCCTGTTCCGCCATTCTGTTAAATCACGACCGATCTGTACCTTAACTCCAGATGCCTGCCTTTGCCTCATATCCCTTGATACCCTGACCTACAAAAATAAAGTTCTGGGGTTGAGTTGCAAATCAGGGACTTTGAGCTCATAGTCCAGGTTGACACTCCTGTGCAGTACTGGGGTGGGGATAGTGAGGGGGAGGGTGGGATGAGACTGGATGTCTCACACACTGAACAAACACCAATGCAGAGTTGGGGCTGGGTGGCCGGTTTTGGTGCTATAATGTTGTTATTCTCTGACCTGCTCCTCCTCTCTCTCTCTCTCTCTGCGCCGTGCAGGTGAATGTGCGGCCAGGTATGACGGTGCAGGACAGCCTGAAGAAGGCGCTGAAGGTGCGCGGGCTGCAGCCGGATTGCTGTGCCGTCTTCAGGCTCCCACATGAAGGGTAAGCGCAGCACCCAGTGACGGGCACGGGGCCAAGCACACACCCACATCACCAGACACCCGCCGTTTTACTGTGTCAACCAGCTATTGTTCCATTCCAGCCTCAGCCTTCTCTCAGTGAGCACAGAGTTGGGGTGGGGTCGGAGCCAGGAAGCTGTGGGTGAGGTTAGGGGTGGATCAATGGGGGTTGCTGTGGGCCACGGCTTGTGGGGATGGCGGGGGGTGGGCATGTGGGGTTTGGGCTTCGGCAGGGCTAAGGAGCAGGTTACAGACCCTCTCCCTAGGCAGGGGAGGGGTTGAGCGACAGTCTAGGGTGTAAACAAAAGCAGGTGAGGGAAGAGAGAGGAGGCAGTTACACCTGGTGAGCAAAAGCGACACTGAAATCTCTCGTCCTCTTTACAGCCCAAAATACCGTATAGACTGGGGCACGGACGCCACCTCCCTGATTGGTGAGGAGCTGGTGGTCCAGGTACTCGATCATCTCCCCTTAACCACACACAACTTCGTAAGTACATCATGGGTATGAGGACAGAATGCATATGAGGACGGTGTGGATATCAGGCGTGTGTGTGTGTCTTTCTCTATCTCTTGAACTGTGTGTGCGCGTGTGTACGGTCCGGGATGATACCCTGCGTAAAGATCGCTATATAAATGTTGTTGTTGCGTGTGTGTGTGTGTGCACGTGTGTGCCCATGTCCCTATCTGTGTCCTGATGTGACTCAGATTCCAGTTCACATAAACCCGTGCAGCTGCGAGGTTGTGTTGCGTGGGTTTGTGACCTTTTTTCTGTTCCTTCTCGTTCCTCCCATCTCTCTCTCTCTTTATCTCTCACCAAAGGTTCGGAAAACCTTCCTGAAGCTGGCGTTCTGTGACATCTGTCAGAAGTTCCTGTTGAATGGTTTCCGCTGTCAGACGTGCGGCTACAAGTTCCACGAGCACTGCAGCTCCCGCGTGCCCACCATGTGCATCGACTGGAGCAACGTCAGGTACCTGAGCCTCCACAGGGGCCGACACCGGGGGCAACAACAGACCCCAAAGTTAGCTAACGCCAGCCACGCGGCTTAAGAGCATTGGCAGCCCCGGGCAACCTTCAGATCAGTTGTTGTGAGGAGCTAATTACCAAGTGGAGTCCTGTAGTGTAATGGTTAGCGCGCTCACATCACAAGCGAGAGGACCCGGGTTCAACTCCCGGCTGGTCAGGGTGAAACCTTAGGCAAGTTTCCTTACTACACACACAGGCTGCTGTTTACCCAGCAGTAAGTAGGAACCCAGTATTAGTCGATCAGCAGATCATTTTCCAGGGGTAATAATCTCTTGAGAAAAAAAATGTGGTCACTCAATCCACGACTCTTTGTGGGTTACTGCTGTGCGCAATTGGCTGCCGCATTTTGTCCACAAAATACACGGTCACTACACTTCATAGTACATTCTGTGAAGCGCTTTGAGACGTCTCAACGACATGATGAGGCGCTGTATCAAATGCAAGGATTATATATAGTAACAGAGGTGACAGTTTCTCCCTGTGTCCTGGCTGTTGGAGTCGTGGTGACGTGATTGCATTCTGGTGTGTTTCAGAGCGTACCAGGCCACAGCACCGTATTACCGGCAGGCAGCAGGAGAGGGGGTGGTCCCCTCCATCACCCAGATGACCACCCGCCGTGTCCGGGAGTCTCTCTCACGCCTCCCTGAGAGGCAAGTATAAGCGTTTTGGGACGTCCTCCCGACGTGAAAAGCGCTATATCAAATGCAAGGATTATTATTATTATTATAAGTAGACAAAAAACCCCAAAGGGCTCTCTGAGGACTGAATGACACCAGTTTCCTACTCCGCCCGCCAGACCGCCTCTCCTAACTGTTTGTGGATTTGTTTTGGCTCTGCAGCTTACAGTACCGGAACTCCACCTCCCAGGCCGACCACTGCTCACTGCCCTTTCCGCTCGGAGAAGGTCAACTGTGCCAACGACAACGATCGTCCTCCACTCCCAATGTCCACATGTCCAGCACACACATGCCCGTCGACAGCAACGTCATAGAGGTACAATTCCTGGCCCACTTTCCAGTCCCTTCCTCCCCCTCTCTCTGCTCGTCTCTCATGTTCTCCGTTTCCTAACGTCTATTTTATTTTCTCTTTTGCAGGACGCGATAAGAAGTTACAATCCATCAGGTAATCGGTTTCCTTTCTCTATTGTGTTTCTTACTAACTCCATACTGAGCTTTCCGTTCCCTCCGCTCAGCGAGTTCCGGCCTGCTCCATGTCCTCCATTTGGCCCTCCCCACCATCGATGGTCGGCCCTTCAGCCTCCCTGACCCCACCTTTTGGAACTCCATCCCACAGTCCCTTCGCCTCGCCCCCTCCCTTGCCTCCTTCAAGGCCCGTCTCAAGACCTTCCTCTTTGACTGCGTCTTTGTTCACTTTCCTACCGTCCCTTCCCTCCACTCCTCTCGATCCCAATCCCCAGCTCAGGTGCAAATCTCTGACTGTCCAATGCTTTGGGACGTCCTCCCGACGTGAAAGGCGCCGTGTAAATGTAATTTGTGGTTGTTCTTGGCCTTGGGCCCCAACCCGGCGTGAACTCAGCCTGACTTTCTCTCTGCCTGTTGTTCTCCCTCAGTCTCCCCGTCCGCGATCTCACATAGCCCGCCCAGCGTCAGCCCCACACGGGAGCCCAAACCCAAGTCTCCAATTCAAACCCATCGAGGTGGGAGGTCGCCCACAACGCCTGACGGAGCAACAAAGATTGTAAGTGTTTGTGTGCGATGAGTGTGAGAGCGAAGGAGAGAGAGAGAGAGAAAGAGAGACCGAGCACGAGAGAGAGTGAGAGACATGGCTGACTTGCTGAGTGTGAATTCCGTTGTCTCCCTCCAGCGTCCCCGTGTGCAGCGGGATTCCAGTTACTATTGGGAGATAAAAGGGGACGAGGTGGTGCTGGTGAAGAGGATCGGCTCCGGCTCATTCGGGACAGTGTATAAAGGGAAATGGCACGGTGAGTCCCTGAGTGTGACGTGACACAGCACATTCCGCTACAAAAAAAGACGAAAGTCTCTGTTTTTTACTCTTGACTTAAGAGGTTATTTTTAACATCAGTTTTATGTGTGTGTGTGTGGTGTCTGGGTGTGTCTCTCTGGTGTGTGTGTCGTTGTGTCTGGTCTCTGGGTGGTTGTGTTGCAGGTGATGTGGCTGTGAAGATCCTGAAAGTCACTGACCCGACCCCGGAGCAGCTCCAGGCGTTCCGCAATGAGGTGCAGGTTCTCAGGTACGATCCTGGCTCCTGGTGTCCGGGTGGGGGGGCTGCGCTCTGCACTTCAAGCAGAAAGAAGACGCTTCTGTTTGTTTTGGTCACTCAATTCACGGCTGTTTGTGGGACGCTGCTGTGCACAATTGGCTGCTGCGTTTTGACCACAGAATTCACAGTCTCTACACTTTACAGTATATTCTGTGAAGCCTTTGAGACATCTCAATGACACGATAAGGCGCTATATCAAATGCAAGGATTATTATTATTATTAAGTACCTCTGAGACGTCCTTCCGAGGGAGGAGGCACGATATCAAATGTAAGAGCTGATGATAAAGTCTCCCTGTGACATCAGTGGGTTTTGGCAGTACCAGGTTGAATGTGTTGTCACGGTAACTCTCTCTCTCTCTTGCGGCAGGAAGACTCGGCACGTCAACATCCTGCTCTTCATGGGCTACATGACCACCTTCAACCTGGCCATCGTGACCCAGTGGTGTGAGGGCAGCAGCCTGTACAAACACCTGCATGTCCAGGACACCAAGTTCCAGACCTTCCAGCTGATCGACATCGCCCGGCAGGCAGCACAGGGCATGGAGTGAGTGACCAGCACCGCCCCACTCCCACCTCCTCCTCCTCCCCCACCCCCCCCCACTCCACCTCCCAACTTCCCCCCCTCCTCCGTCCCTCTTCCTTCTGCTGCGAGTAATCTGTTCTTTCGTCAGACGCTGCTGCTGTTCCTGATTTCCCTTTTGTTGCCTTCACAGTTACTTACATGCGAAGAATATTATCCACAGGGACATGAAATCTAACAGTATCCTTTACACCTCCCCCTGTGACTGACCAGCTTCACACTCACACCCAGTGTGGCTGCTGGCTGGCCAGCACTCAGCCATGGGGCAGGGATTTGGGGATTTTCAGTGGTTCAGTCACGGTTGGAAACGATGGAAACAATCCCACAGCTTTAGGTTTCCCAATATCTGGAGAGAGTGCTTGACTTTATTAAGGGGGGTTGGTGAGAGTGTGCTTTGCGAGGGGGTGGGCTCTTGGGCGTGTTCTCGAGGTGGGGGGGGGGATTCCATCTCTCAGGGGGGAGAGAGGGTGGGGGGCTGTCAGCTTTAACGACACTGATTCTCCCTAACGGTTGCTCAGACATTTTCCTCCACGAGGGGCTGACGGTGAAGATCGGGGACTTTGGTTTGGCCACCGTCAAGTCACGCTGGAGCGGCTCCCAGCAGGTGGAGCAGCCGACAGGCTCCATCCTCTGGATGGTGAGAAACTGCTCTTTGCCGTGTGTCTTCCTCTCTTTCTCTCTCACTGTGTCTCTCACCCTGTCTCTCTTTATCTTTCTCTGTGTCTCTCTCCCCCTGTCTCGACTGTGCCTACGGTCACCTCCCCTCAGCTCAGCATTGTGCTCTGGGATACTATATAGATGCAAGTTGTTGTCTCTCATGGAAGGGGCTGGAGGTAAGTAGGGTCTCCTTGTAGCTGAACTAGCTCCAAGGTGACACGTTTGGCAACAGAATTTTGGAATGGAGCCAGCCCTCTCTGGCGGTCTTTACTCCGGTTCCTGAGCCAGGCGACTGCAGTATTCCACGGCACTGCTGATGATAGCACAGCCCAGCCTGGCTCATTGGCAGGACCTGGAAGGGCAGATCGGTCACTGGGGGCAGGAACCCTCATAAAAATCCTCAAAGCGACAAAAAGGAGCTGATATGTGCCCGAGCTGTTGTTGCTCCAGTGGGAGAATCAGATAGAGAAGGAGCCTTCTGACCTTGTGTTCCCGACAGATAACAGCACATTCCACTTACGTTGGGCCGTCTCTGCGATTGGCTACAATTGTTCATCAGCCACACGCTGTCTCCTCCAAACAGCAGGTTTTCCTCTTCTCTCTCCTCTCTCTCTTCCCCCCACTCCTCTCTCTCTCTCTCTCTGTTCTTGTAGCTGCAGAAATTGCTTTCAGTTTTTAACTCTTGCAAATTGCGGAGCGAATTAAAGTGATGATTATCACAGGTAATAATTGTTATAGAACCTGGCAGTCTCACAGCGCAGGATGCCTGTCAATTGGCAGATCGCTTTCCCGGGGGTAAAAAATGCCTCCTGTAAATAAATAAATAGGTCACTCAATTCATGACTGTTTGTGGGACGCTGCTACGCGCAATTGGCTGCCGCATTTCGCCCACAAAATACACTTTATAGCGTATCCTATGAAGAGCTTTGAGATGTCTCGACAACGTGATACAGCGCTACATCAAATGCAAGGATTATTATTATCAACTGTTTTCAGGCCCCCGAGGTAATCCGGATGGAGGAGGTTAACCCCTACAGTTTCCAGTCTGACGTCTATTCGTACGGTATCGTGCTGTATGAGCTGATGACGGGGGATTTACCGTACTCTCACGTCAACAACCGCGATCAGGTCAGAGCATGTCTCCTCCTTTTACACTTCTCTCTCCCGGCTTACATTCCCCGTCCTCATCCCAAACTCAATTAACTGACCTCTGGAACTCCTTCTTGGAATCCCTCCGCCTCGCCCCCTCCTTCAAGCTCGTCTCAAGACCCTCCTTTTTGATTGTGCTATTGGCCATCGCCACCCCTCCACTCCACCCCTCTTGATTCCATACCCACAACTTGGGTACACACCCTTAACTGTCCAGCGCCTTGGGACGTCCTCCCGACATGAAAATTGCTGTGCAAATGTAATGTTGTTGTTTTTCTGCCTCATCTATTGCTGAGATGCGGTTTGGCTGCCACAATTGCCTCCATAACAGCATTCACATCCCCTGGATTTTATTCTGTTAAGCGGTTTCAAGGGGCTTGTTTTGTTTTATTTAAATGCAAGTGGCTAAAGCATAGGAACAGGAGGAGGCCATCAGACACTCAAGCCTGTTCCGCCATTCTATTGGATCATGGCTGATCTGTATGTCAACTCCAATTAGAAGGCGTTGCTTTTTTTTCATGCACTATTTTCAGCACCAAATGAATTGCCTCGTTGCCATTCCAATAAGGAGTGAGGAGAGCCCAGTGGACCCCTAGGAGGCTGTAGCTGATGCTCTGCTTTGTGCTCGTGCTGTTTAGATCATCTTCATGGTGGGGAGAGGCTTCCTGACCCCCGACCTCAGCAAACTCTACAAAAACTGCCCCAAGACGATGAAGAGACTGGTGTCAGACTGTGTGAGCAGAGAGAAAGAACAGCGGCCGCTCTTCCCACAGGTAACCAGAAAGTTCAGTATTCTCAATCACATTCACCTTAACATGTGCTGGTGCTCGCGCCCCCACTAGAGCTCTCTACTCTAACCCCATTCCCCGCGCTCTCTCTCCCCATCGTGTCTGTGGGTGTGTGTGTGGGGGGTGGGGGCGGGGTGGTAAACAGGATTGAATTGATCACTCTTTCAGAGCACAAAATGAACCCAATCACCCAGCATTTTACCAGTGCTGTAACAATCTGTGATTGTGAAAAGTATGTGTTTAATTTCCACCTCTCTCTGTCTTGCTCCTCACTCTGTTCTGCCGCCCACAGATTTTAGCTTCCGTTGAGGTGTTACAACATTCACTGCCGAAGATCCACCGCAGTGCGTCCGAGCCCTCACTGCACCGAGCGGCACAGAACGAGGACCTCAATCCCTTCGCCCTGACCTCTACCAAACTGGTTGTTTGCTAGCCGAGCTCAGAGGGGGGAGCAGGCGGGGGGTGGGGGGGAGCGAATTGTGGCTTCCCCCTGCGGACAATACCTGGGGGTCTGGGGTGGAGAGGGGCCTTTACTCCTCCACCTCCTAGCAAAAAAAAATTGATCCTGATAAAAAGCTGCTACTGGTCAGGTTTGGTTTGCAAACCTGTTCGGATCAAACGATAGGTCATTTAACTCCCGTCGAGCAGATTTACAGCGAAAACATCACAGGCCGTCGCCCAGAGAGTGGAGCAGCCGAGCCACCGGCTTCATTCAGCTCAGCTCAACGTCTGCCATCAGCCTTCGTCACCGGCTCCGAGACGTCACTTGCACTTAATTCAGAACGGCTGGGTCGGAGATGGTGTTTTTTCATCTCGCTCGCTCTCGCTCAAATTCGCCCACAGACTGGCTATACAGATGAGGTGCTGTGTTGGTGGGCTGGTTCTCTTTCAAACAAAGGCCAAGAGAGCGAGCAAACTTGCGACAGATTTTAAACTGACAGTAGTTCCGAGATGCACTAATGTGGTAAAAGCTGTGAGTGTCTGATACAAGTGTTGAAGTGATTATAAATAATGGAGTTTTAATTTTGTTTGCGTGAGTGTGACTGTATGTGTGTGAGTGTGTGTGTGTTTCGGGGGTGGGGGGGGGGGAGGGTGTTGGGGTGGGGGGGGTTTGTGTGAGGAAAGTACAGCGGTCGCCTGGGTTCCTGTAAAATTGTCCTTCCTGCTTGTTTTAATAAAATAAGTTAAACATTTAATTCTTTTACAGGAATATGTCTCTGATTGTCTCCAAACTCAGCGCTAAGCTATGTACCTGTGAAGCGATTCAAGGCTGTGCATGGATTATTATTACTGTTGTGGACTTGTTGGTGCCAAAGTCTTAAAGAATTGAGATATGGAGATGCAAACCCTTCACTGTGCAGCGCTTTGGGACGTCCTCCCAATGTGAAAGGTGCAACTTGTTGTTGTAACTGTCAGCCCCACTCTACCCCCCCCCCCCCCCATTACCCCAGGAAGCCTCATTGGCCGTGTTAAGACATCTAATGGTTTGTGAAAGGATAGTAGGGAGGTGGGGGGAGGACGGGGAGTTGAAGATAAAAAGCTGAAATTAAATCGTCAGTCCAGGCAGCAGGTACAACTGTGAAACAGAGCGAGGGGACAGCTGTGTTCTCTACCATAGGAGACATTTATTTAAAGCATTACTACACAATGGAGAAGACAGTCATTTGTGTAAAGTCAGAAACTCCCCAATCAGTGGCAGCTACACTCATTCACACTCAGAACACAGCCAGAGAGGGCATCGTGATACCCCCACCTCACCTCTCTCCACCTCCCCTCCGCCCCTGAGTCCTGACTGTCAGCACTGCAATACCTATATATAACTTTTAACAATTTCCCAAATGTCAGTATATTCAATAATATTGCTTCATTTCCTTTAATACGCATTCTACAAAACAGTTCAGATGTAAAGAGAGGGAGAGAGTCGCTGTGTTATAGCTGTGAGCTGCCTGTGTGACAGCTTGTGGCGAGCCCTGCCTGCCATCCACACATAGTTAATCCTGACATCATCGAGCAGTGTGAAATTCCACTCCATCTCAGCCTCTCACCACCATTTTGTTCTTAAAATTTAACATCAAAATTTTGGAAAGTTCCTAAATCCAGGCAAGTTTTTCCCGCAGAAAAAAAAAACCTTCCGCATTATAATAATCCTTGCATTTCACTTCAATGTCATCAAACCATCTCAAAGCACTTCACGGGATTTTACTGTGTATTTTGCACACAGCAATATCCCACAAACAGCCATGGAAATGAATGAATGGCAAAGTACTGCAGATGTACTGGCAATCTGGTGTAAACACAGAAGTTGCTGGGAACGTGCAGCAGGTCAGGCGGCGTCCATGGAGAAAGGTAACTGAGTTAACATTTCAGGTCTGATCTTTTGTCAGGACTTGGGGATGTTTAAAGGAGCAGATAACGGAGAAGCAGAGAAGGGGTCGGGAAAGCAAAAGGAAATTTTTTTCGATGCTGGAGGACAAGATGATGAAATTGAGGTGGTGATGGTGCAATTCAAAAGGCAATCGGGGGATTATAGAACGAACAGATGTGTCTAAGATTCCTCTTTATAACCGTAACACATTGTTTTTTAGTTCTGACGAAAGGTCATAGACCTGAAACATTAACTAATTTTCCTCTATCCATGGATGCTGCCTGACCTGCCTCATGTTCCAACGACTTTGTGTTTATGGAAATGAATGATTTTATCTGAAGGATTGTTGGCCAGGACATGAGAGTGAGAAACTCCCTTTTCAAATAGCGCAGTGGGAGTTTTGATGTCCACTTGACGTCTCGTCCCACCAAGTGGTCTCTCGCACTAAGACCAGGTAAAAGTTTTAGCCGAGAAACACAGAGAAAAACAGGTGGAAGATGGTGGGTCAGGGAGGAGTCTTCTTCAGTGGTGTCTGTGTGTATCTGACCCAGACTGATGTTCTTCATGTGTGAACCTGGAGGGTGTGTGTTAGTAAGGGGTTCCAGTTTGCAGAGGGGGTAATGCCATCCCTGCCCAACACCCAAGCACTAGAGTGTGCGTATGTAGGGGGTGGGGAGGAGGGGGGGGAAGAAGGCGAGAGAACGTCCCCAACTCAATGACAACCAAGAACAGAATCCCAGCACCAGGCTCCCCCACCCTGAGCTCCCAGGGACAGAGGTGGGGGTGGGGGGGAGAGGAGGGAGTTATTCAGATAAAACTGGAGGGATTGGGGTGGGGGAGAAAGGGCTGAATTACTTCCAAGCCAATCGATCAGTGAAAAAGCAATCTGCCGTGGGTTTATGAACTGTCCGTGAATAAAACCGAAATGTGGTGTGTGGTGGGAGTGGAGGCTGTGACTCCCATTCCAATGAGTCCAGAACTAAAGAGCGTGGAGCTCGCACGGCTGAACGTAGGTACCAGTTACAAGGAACAGCTGCCATTTTAGGGTTTATAGAATCTACAATAAGACGGCCTGCTCAGCCTGGCTCTCCCCACGCTCTGACGTTCCTGAGAGATGGGAGAAGATGTGGCTCAGCTCCGCCATGTCCTCCTCTTCCTCCTCCTCCTCCTCGCGAGGTGGCAACACGTCCCTCTGCTCCCGTTCCTCAATAAAATCCCAGAGTCGCACCGAGTGAAGGAACTGCAGGAGGAAGAGGAGAGTTACTGCACCAGCCTCCTCTGCACATTAAACCACCAGCTAGTTCACTTATAATAAGAAGAATAATCCTTGCATTTGACATAGCGCCTTATCATGTTGAGACATATCAAAGTGCTTCGCAGGATATACTGGAACGTATAGTGATTGTATTTTGTGGTTGAAACGAGGCAGTCGTTTCAGTGAGTGACCAATTTTATTCGGGGGGTTGTTGGCCAGAACAGCGGGAGAGAGAAACTCTCTTCTCTTTTCGAATAGCGCCGCAGGATCTTTAACAGCAGACGGGGACTTCGGTTTAACGTCTCATCTGAAGGACGGCACCTCTAATAGTGCAACACCTCCTCCCCCCAGCGCTGTATTGGGGCATCAGCTTGGACTATGATTCCAAGTCCCAAAGTGGGGACTTGAACCCACAACCTTCTAACTTGGAGGTGAGTAACCGCGCAGTAACGAGGCTGAAGATGATTTACCCTGACGTTGCCCTCAGAGCTGAGCTGTTTTCGTGGCAGTTCCGGCTGTGCCAAGGTGCCGTCTGGGTAAGCGTGGAGGTACAGGCACTTGCCACCGAATGGGCAGCTCCCCTTGCCCTGGTTGAAATACTTACAGGATTTTTTGCTGTACAGGGAACAAGAGGGAAAATCGTTAGAAAAAAAGGAGAATAGCTGCTATGGGGTGAGCAGGTCACAGAGGTAAGGAGGAGCCAGGCCGCGGAGGGCTTTGAAAGCGAGGACGAGGATTTTGAACTCTTATCCTCTGGGGGATGGAAGCCAGTGAAACACCCAGAAATAATTCTGCAAGTGACCCCCACCCCTCCGCACCCTGATGTTTAACAGGCTGATCACTCTGGGTGCATGGAGGGAACATGGCTCTCACAGAGGGGATCAAACTGTCTGTTGCTCCGGTGGTGGTCGGGAACGCACCCCCTGCCTGGGCTCTATTCCTGGCCCAGCAGAGAGACTGAGCTAAGTGGATGATTGCTGGCTGTGGTCTGCTGACCACCATCCCAGAGCAGGGCTATAAATGAACCGGAGCCAGTATTTATAGCTGCAGCAAACAGCAGGACATGGGACCTGCTCTCTGAGCCCCAATGAACGCTTTGTCCAAACTTGCAACGTAATGAGAGAAGAATTTAGATTCAGCTGTTAATAAACTGAGGTCTATTTACTGTTGTATATAACATAGATAACAGCAGAACCACTGAAAGGTGAGACATGAATACAAGTCGTCGTTGTTGTTGGTTCGCACACACACTATAACCAGGAAAAGCTCAAGCCATTTGCAACCCTGACTTGGGGAGGCTCTTAACGTTTTCAAGACCCTCTTCTTCGACCGCACCTTCGGTCATGTTCCCTCCAACTCCAACGACCTCCACACCTGTCTGATCCCAACCCCCAACTCTGGTGCAAACCCCTCACTGTCCAGCGCCTTGGGACATCCTCATGACGTGAAAGGCGCTATACAAATGTGATCTGTTGTTGATGTTGGTTGACCGGTGCTGTAACTGTGTGTACAATTGCCAGGCTGGCAGTATGTGTTAGTGGCTTTCCCAATGCCACCAAACCCACTGTACTCACCTCATTCCCTGCTTGAAGGCTTCGATAAGTCTCTCCTTCTCCTCTTGCTCCTCCACCCAGTACGCACTGGGGATCACAAACTCAGACACCACCCGGCACTCAGGGCAGGACCTGACACACACAGAGGTTATTATTAATAATAATAATCCTTGCATTTGATGTAGCACCTTTGAGACGTCTGCATCATTGAGACGTCTCAAAACGTTTCACAGAATATACTGTAAAGTGTAGTGACTGTGAATTTTGTGGGAGAAACGTGGCAGCCAATTACACACAGCAGCGCCCCATAAACAGCTGTGGATTGAGTGATAAAATGATTGTATTTTTTAAAGGGATTATTACCCCAGAAACCGATCGCCAATCGACTATCAACTAGGTTCCTACTTACTACTGGGTAAACGGAGGAACGTGTGTGGAGTAAGGAAACTTGCCTAAGGTTTTTCCCTGCCCGGGAATCGAACCCGAGTCCTCTCGCTTGCTTGTGCTCTCGGCAATTGCTCTAAACAAACACTAGGACGACAAGGGTTTAGACTGAGAGATCACAATTGTTCAAAACACGTTATAATCGCAGAGCACAGGAAGAGGTCATTCCTCCATCATGTTTGTGCTGGTTACGGCTTCAAAAACAGTCACTACACTTGACGGCTAATCCATTGCTCCCGAGGCTCTCGGAGATGCTTTGGCATTATCGGTGTGGATCAAACACACAAGAGATCATTGTTATTATTACAGCGTGGCCAAACCACAGAGAGATGTGACTCACTTGATGATTTTATTCTCAAACTGCTTGGCGCACCTCCACTGTCTGATACAGGACAGGCAGTACGGGTGGATACAGTCAGACAGGATCCCAAACCTCCTCTCTGACAGGATGGGCTTCTCATAAACTACCTCCATACAGATGTTGCAAACTTTATCTTCACTCTTTTGCACAGCAAACGCCTTCTCCATATCTTGTTCAAAGGCACGGAGACACAACTGTTTGGCACAGAATGCAACAGATTAGCCACATCACATCATACCAGAGACAGGCTCGATGCATTATGGGCACAAGTCCCTGGGGTTCACAAAGTTGTGGGTTTGAACCCCAAGTTGAAACTCATGCTAATACACCAGTGCAGTGCTGATGGGAGGGGTGGGTGGGGTGGAGGGTGGAGAGCAGAGTAAGAGCACTTAATTGCCAGAGACATCAGATCTGGTCGTATCTGTGACTGTCCTGTGAAAATACCACTGAAACAGAGAGGAGTTTCTCTCTCTCTGGTGTCCAGGTTGACAAATCCCTCCCCAGATACATATACTTCTCATTCCCTCCACTGTGATTCCTCCATCATCAAATCCCCCACCGATGCTCACACGAGGTTGAGCTACAGTCGGTCACTCAAGCAAAGAGGCGCGAGAGGGGGAGCGTCTCCCAGTGTCGGGAGCGGGAGAGACAATCGCTCGTCGGGGGGAAGATCTCCTCGCCAAGGGTCTACAAACCAGAGCACGCATCTGTGCGACAGACGTGACTGCAGTTGTGTACGTGACTGTACCGGTTTGCGCTCAATGGTACTTGTGCGTGACTGCACAAGAGATGTGGTGGGGAGAAGACACCCCTGGGCTGGCTGCCATTACCTGCTCGTGCTCTCTGCGCTGCTCCAGGTCAGTGGGATGTAACACCTGGAGGCCACACACGTCGCACCGCTCCCCGTGCAGGTACAGGCAGGTCTCCCCGTAATTACACTGCCCGGCGGCCGCGAATGGGCACAGCTGCTGTGGGACGCCCCCTCCCACCATCACCGGCCCCGGCACGTGGTCCAGCCCGCTCCGTACAGCAGCCAGGTACGAGGGTGGGGGCGGCTTCTCGAACACAAAGCCGGCTACGTCCGGCAGCACCGGCCCTGACAACGGCTTCACCCCAGCCTGAGACCCCGGGGGCAAAGGAAACAGCTTCGATTTCTCTGCCGACCGGTTGCAAAGGTCTAGGAAAAGAGGAAAAGGTTTTAGTTATTGCCAAACGTCACAGGATCCAGTTTGAGAGAATGTTTACCCCCTTCTCATCACTAGTCCCTTCCCCACTATGACCCCCCTCTTTAATTGAGTACATGAAAAACAAAAGTTGGGTTCACGTGAAAGATTCTGTTACAGAGATGGGAGTCTCTCCCAGTGCCCTGGATGATTAATCATAATCATGTTTTAATTAATAATTATTAATATAATACATGACTATAATTAATCTTAATTCATGTATAGTTATAATTAACTATAATTAGTATGATTATTGGTTTGGTTGTACGCGGGGGACCAAACCCCAAATCCAGCGAGCTCCGGGACTCCCAGTTATAGCAGAGGATGGCCAGGGTTAACCCCCAACACCCCCCCCCCCCACCACCACCCCGTCTCTATTACAATCCCATCCTGTAGCTCAGTGGTTAGAGCACTCGCTTTGCAAGTGAGAGACCTGAGTTCAATTCCAGGCAGAGGGCGAAACCTCGGGCAAGTTTCCTTACTCCACACAGAGCCTAATAATAATCCCTCCAAAAAAAACCCAAAACAATAATAAATTGGTCATTTTCAATCTACGACACTTTGTGGGACATTGCTGTGCGCAATTGGCTGCCGCGTTCGCCCACAAATATACAGTCAATTCACTTTACAGTGTGTTCTGTGAAGCGCTTTGGGACGTCCTCCTGACGTGAACAGCGCTATATCAAATGCAAGGATTATTATTATTATTATTATTATTATCCTCATGAGCGCCCAGGCAGGGGCTGCAGTAAACCTCTAGCTCTCTCTAGTGGCCGCAGGGAGGTTCTGCAACCCACATCCATCCCAGTTTGTACGAACTCCAGATGTGCGAGTGAAAATGTCAACCTCTCCATTCCTCTCTTTTCCTCTTCAAGTGTTTAAACAATTCCCTTGTGTGCGATATGTCGTTACTTCAATCACAGCCTCAATAACTGTTCCTGACAAAGCCTCTCGTCTTCTAATAACTCACCTCAACCAGCGATGATCATTGCGGTTGGTGTGTGTGTCTCACTGAGAGAGGTCCAGATTCCCTGGCAATGAGAGCAGAACTTTCTCCTCACAAGGCCAGTACACCGTGTGCTGCGCGGACACTAACCTCGGTCTTTTAACTCCAGCGGTTTCTTTTTGTACCGCGTCGGTTCCGTGGCTTTGACCGGCACAACCGGCTCCACGCAGACAGGGACGGGCACGGCATTGTGAGTGACAGAGACGGGCACAACCCTCGGGATTGCGGGCGCGACAGCTCGAAATCCAGGCAGCTTCACGTGATCGTATCTTATCAGTGGGCGAAGAGAAAAAACAACACACTGATATATTCAGAGATCATCCATGTCCACACACACACAGGTAGTCAAACACACAGCGCTGGTACAGTAATACACACACTAACACACACACAGGTAGTCAAACACACAGTGTTGGTATAGTAATACACACACACTGGCACAGTCACATCTGTTGCACACGCACATATGTCGGGAGTAAATAAATAGACACACAGCCACACTGAGCTGATATCCACACCGTTTTCGTACCCACAATGGGGCCGGTCGCCAACAGTGCAGATATCAGGTCGGCTACGGTCAGTGTAGGATGCTGTGCTGCGTGGCCTACCTGCAGTGCACCCCATAGGCACACAGCCCTTTCTGGTAGAACTTGCAGATGGTGGACGGTTTGCTTGTGGACAAATCATGGGAAAACAAACAGCGACTCCCCTCTCGACAGACCCCGTGCATGAAGTACCTAAACACAAGGAGTCACCAGGCAACTGATTACCGCTCACAGCACAGACTGCGCAGCCGCCACCCCCCCACCCCCACCCCACCCCACCCCCCCACCCCACCCCCAGCCGACACGCAACAGCGAAGCCAGACACCAACACGGTCTCACTATCCCTCCGCGAATGTTTGTGGGGACGTCGCCGGGCGCTGCGCTGCGTCTCGCCCCACCTAACACACAGTCACTACACTTTGCGGTACATCCTGCGCAGCGCTTTGAGACGTCTCGGAGACGTGATGAGGCGCCGGGTCACACTCCGCGATTATTATTATTATTATAATTATATGATGATGACGTGACCACAGAGCAAAGTGCAGTGTCCAGAGGCCGGGAGTGGGGGGGGGGGAGGGGGGGGCAGCACTTACTGGGGAGGGGGGGCAGCACTTACTGGGGGGGAGAGGGGGGGGCAGCACTTACTGGGGGAGGGGGGGGCAGCAATTAACAGGGGGGGGAGAGGGGGGGTAGCACTTACTGGGGGAGGGGGGGGCAGCACTTACTGGGGGGGAGAGGGGGGGTAGCACTTACTGGGGGGGGAGGGGGGGGCAGCAGTTACTGGGGGGGGAGGGGGGGGAGGGGGGGGGCAGCAGTTACTGGGGGGAGGGGGGCAGCAGTTACTGGGGGGGGAGGGGGGGGCAGCAGTCACTGGGGGGGGGGGGGGGGCAGCAGTCACTGGGGGGGGAGGGGGGGGCAGCAGTTACGGGGGGGAGGGGGGGCAGCAGTTACTGGGGGGGGAGGGGGGGGGGGAGGGGGAGCGCTGATGGCGGGAGATCGCTGCCCGGGGTCCGGGGTCCGGGGCCTGGCGGCGGCCCCTGGTGGTCGGGTCCCGGCTCCGGGCCGCGGTGGGGGGGTGGGGGGGTGGCGGTGGTCGCGGGGCCGCGCTAGGCCGAAGCCTCGGTCTCTGGTGGCCGTCGGGCTCGGGCTCGGGGTCGGTACCTGCACGTCACCCGCTTGGTGCTCATCGCCGGTCCGTTGGCATTCCGCTTCCCCCACAGTGACTTCCGGTGCGGCGGCTCTGGCCCTCCCCCCTCAGGCGGTGCCGCGGACGCGAGGTTCCGGCCTCAAAACGGCGCCCCCGCGCGGCCGCCTGTGCCGTCACCCCCTGAGCGCACCGTCACCGACGTCACCGCCGCTCACCTTCACCGCTCACCCGCAGTGAACCCTCCGCGGCGTCAAAAAAGCGCCACCGGATTCAGCAGCGGGTTGCGATCGCCCGGACGTGATGTCGTTGCGGGGCTGGTGACCGCAGGCGTGTCCGCGTGTCCGTCCGCGTGTGTGTCCGCGTGTCCGCGTGCGTGTCCGCGTGCGTGTCCATGTGACCGCGTGCGTGTCCGCATGTGTGTCCGCGTGCGTGTCCACGTGACCGCGAGCGTGTCCGCGTGCGTGTCCATGTGTCCGCGTGCGTGTCCATGTGTCCGCGTGCGTGTCCGCGTGCGTGTCCATGTGTCCGCGTGCGTGTCCGCGTGCGTGTCCATGTGTCCGCGTGCGTGTCCGCATGTGTGTCCGCGTGCGTGTCCACGTGACCGCGAGCGTGTCCGCGTGCGTGTCCATGTGTCCGCGTGCGTGTCCATGTGTCCGCGTGCGTGTCCGCGTGCGTGTCCACGTGACCGCGTGCGTGTCCGCATGCGTGTCCGCGTGCGTGTCCACGTGTCAGTGTGCGTGTCCGCGTGCGTGTCCACGTGTCCGTGTGCGTGTCCGTCCGCGTGGGCCGAGTGAGGAAACTGGCCGAAGGTTTCGCCCGGGGATGGACCTCTGACTCGCGCGGCCCAGTTCTCCGACCCCACTGAGCGACACGGACTCCACAGTACACAGCGCCTCCTCCGGTCGTGGACACCTCTCGCTGCCCTCGGACCGGCTTCAGAGTGAGTTGACTGTGTCGCACGTAACGTAACGTAACAGAAGCCCAAAGCCATCACACGGTTGCGCCACAGGTTGGTGCTGTTGTCCATGATGTTGGGGCTGAAGTCCCGGGAGAGTTCACGTGGGTGTGATATCGGGACTCAGGAAGAAGTCCACCCCGCGCCTCGGTCGAGGCCACAGCTGTGGTGCATTCCAGAGTCGTCTCTGGTGGCTGGAGGGTCGTATTCCTGTTTCTTGTGGCCTCGGGGCACCTGCACACATCCTCAACATACCCGCCCAACCCTGGCATCACCGCAGCCGGTGGGGACATCCATGTTTACCGCGAAAGGTACGTGATTTCTGGCGTTTTACACTTTTGCTCCACTATCGCAGGCTTTACTGGGCTGTGTGTGGCAAACATACAGTCAATTCCCTTTACTGTACACCCTGTGAAGCGCTTTGAAGGGGGGTCTCGACGGCGTGACAAGGTGCTAGAGCAGATGCAAGGATTAGTAATTAGTGTAATTATTATTGTATCCAGAAACCAGGTTGGCCCCTTCCCAAATTCCCAGCCACATTCCCAGTTCACCTTCCCGCTGTGCTGTAAAAATCAGATTGCAGCTCAATGATCTGAAGCACTATTTGTAAAGAGAGGGGAAGTATTTCCTCGGCCGACAATCCTCCAGATGAAAGAAATATCAGTTGTTTTCCTCCTGCCCGCGTTCGCCTGCGAAATACACAGTCACTACACTTTACAGTCAAGTCCTGTGAGAGGATGTGGTAAGGTGTGATATCAAATGTAGGGATTCTTTATTACTATCTTAAAGATGTTGTGAATATAACAGTTGTAGCTTCACTTTGATGTGAGCACCCAACCCTGAATGGCTCCTGGTTTTGTGAATGACTTCCACCCCCCCACCCCACTCCCCCGGGGGTGGGTGGGGGGGGGAGGGGGGGATTGAATGAAGCAAGTATTTAAAGTGACAGTACCCGCTAACCAACAGCACACTTCCTCCCCCTCTCTCTGACTCAGGACACCTGCGGTTGGCTTTCTCACTCGCAAACCAAAGCCGAGGCAGGAGATGGAGAACCGTATAATACTGTTCCACCACTGCGGGAAGGAGGTGTATTGCTTCTTCGTGCCAGAGCAATGCCCGATCTGCGGGCAGGGGCTGGCAGCCAGGAGCCTGGGGGACGCTCCCGTCTGTGTCCCCAACCCCTTTGTCAACGGGCACCACGAGAAGTGCTCCTTCCTGGTCAAACCCACCAAAGGGACCTTTATCAGGTAAGAGTCCGGTAGCTCAGTGGTTAGAGCACTCGCCTCGCAAGCGAGACGATCCGGGTTCGATTCCCAGCCGGGGCAAAATGTTAGGCAGGTTTCCATACTCCACACGCCTCTGCTTCCCGAGCAGTAAGTAGGAACCCGGTTGTTAGTTGATGGGCAGATCGCTTTCTGGGGGTAATAAACCCTCCAAATAATAATATTAATTTGGTCACTCAATCCAGGACTGCTTGTTTTTGGCTGCCGCGTTTCACCCACAAAATACACAATCAACCTACTTAACAGTGAGCGCTTGTAGTATGTGTGTCGGGGGGTGGGGGGGAAGGTGGGGTGAATGCTATACCCAGGAGCTGCCTAACATACAGTAATAAAAAGTGACTCGCTGGTGAGCCAGCACTGGAGACCCGGGCAGCGAGATTCTCAAACCCTGCAAACCAAGTGCCCGGAGCTTGTGTGTCTCAGGCTGTTTTAAACCCGTCTCCATCTCCTCTTGTTTCCCAGAGAATACGATGGACGGTCTGACCTTCACGTTGGAATCTCAAACACCAGCGGTGAGTTTCTGACGTGAAATTTACCTTCAAGCTAAACATTTAACCTCGGTTGAAACAATTGCTAGACAGAAAAGATCAGACAGCAAGACTGACGGCAACATTTCATAATAACAATGCTTAATACTGGACATGGAAATGTCACTGGGGAAATTGCTGACAGGTGTAGTGACTGTGTGTAGCCTAAACGTGCTTTTAACAACAAACTTTACATAGAACACAGCCAGGGTACAGCTGAGATTCAGTAAGGTAACAGCAGAGACAAGAGGGTGCAGTTGTGTGGAGGGACATAAAGCTGTTTACACTGAGCAGAGGATTTGGGCTGATGTGATGGAAAATTGTTATGTGCTTCCTGATTACACTCCTACATGGTCAGGCTCTAATTTTAAGATGATGCCCCTTGTTCTGGATATTCCCCACCAGAGGAAATATTTTCTGTTTAGCTGCCCTATCGATTCCCTTTATCATGTTAAAACCCTCAATCAGGATCATCCCTCAGGCTTCTAAACTCGAGGGAATACAGACCACGGTGAATCAACCGGTCCTCAAATCATAATTTAATCCTTTGGAAACCTTTTAGAAAAGCGCATCTGTGGTGTTTGTGTGGACACCCTGCCTGGTGGGGGGGCTGGGGGGGTGGGGAGGAGGAGGAATGAGGGGGGAGGGAAGGGAGGGACCCCTTTCACTGTAACACTCACCTGTTGCTGTTACAGGCGTGGTGTATAACTTTACCGAGGCGGGTGTGGGGCGGGATGCCTGTGGCTGGGAGGAGTGCGTCAGCGTGGCCCTGGTACAGCCGGACATGTTCGGGCTGATGAACCAGTGGGATCGTTACCTGGAGCAGATCTCGCAGGCTGATCTCTGGCTTCCCCACAGGTAAGGCTCGGACAGTAACCCCTTCAACGTTTACCCCTTAGCCCCTCGAGCCTGTTCCGCCACTCTATAAGATCAAGGCTTTCTAAAAGAGCCGGATAAACTTTGCTACAGCCTCTGTCTATGGTTTGTTTGTGGTGGAGATTTTGACACTCACTGTCCTCTGCGTATAAGGACATTTCTGCTAGCTTCCCCCGTTTCTTTTTTTTTGGTCGGCCGGGTGTCTGGACACAAGTAGGAACCCATCACCGTTGCTTAAGAGGATCCAAATCCAACTGAGAATTCCACACCTCCCACCCACACATGGAAATCCCAGAGATAGATTAGAATCTTACAGCACAGAAGGAGGTTATTCGGCCCATCGTGCCTGTGCGTGGCTCTTTGAAAGAGCTACCAACTAATCCCACTCCCCCGCTCTTACTCCATCCCCCTGCACATTTTTCCTTTTCCTTTTGAAAGTTATTATCGAATCTGCTTCCTCTGCCCTTTCAGGCCGTGCGCTCCAGACCGTAACAACTTTCTGGGTAGGATTGTTGGATTCTGCTTTTAATTCTTTGTTTCGTTAAAATCTTTACCCCATTCCTGACTGTGTATCTCCCCTCTCCCCTGGACCCCTTCCCCCAGGTACGAGGAATCTGAGCACAATTGCTATGCCTTCGCCCTGACCTTCATTAACCGTGTGTTGGCTGCCCAGAGCAGGCGGCAGCTGAGCAGGACTGAGTTCACGGAGAGGTTTGTGTTGCCCAGGACCAGGCGAGGCTCCAGGTATCTGACCCTGTACCGGGAGCTGTGCAGGAGCTACTTCTATATCGTGGACACAGAGCGGGACAGCGGTGAGAACAGGGAACTTTAACACACAGACACCTCTGTATATATGTCACGTGCGAATATGTAAAGTAATAATCAGAATCCTTGATACAGCGCCTTATCACGTCTTCGAGACATCTCAAAGCGCTTCACAGGATAGAGTGTAAAGTGAATTGACTGTATATTTTGTGGGCGAAATGTGAATGTATTATACATAAGAACCATGTTAATGTGCGTGTGTATTATATGTAATACAACAGCAACAAATTATATTTGTATAGCGCCTTTCACATCGGGAGCACGTCCCCAGGTGCTGATAACCATACAATACAACGTGTGTGTATTATATGTGATAATCATAATCATATGAACAACCAAACAGTCAATCCTCAGGACAGAAACGTCTGCCTGTTACTCAGGTGTGTGTGTGTGTCTGGGCGCTCGCTGCTCTCGCTCTGGGTCAGATGTGGGTTCAGGCCCCCCACATCTAGATTGTGCGCTCACAGTCCAGGCTGACGCTGCAGCACAGGGCAGGAGGATGCAGGGCGAGGGGGGGTGGGGGGCTGAGGGACGGGGAAGCAACGCTGTCTTGTCAGAGACACTGTCCTTCAGACGAGCAGATTGTCTCGGCCAACAATCCAGATGAGCCATCGCTGCCTGGTCGCTGTTTTGCGGGACCTCGGCTGAGTTTGCCTGTCGGGAGCAGAGCCCAGTGCAGACAGAAACTCCGTGAGGCTCTTTTAGAGGTTTCGACACGAAGCTCTTTACACTCAGATTGTCGGAGGCCGTCCCATTAAATATTCAGCCCATCAGAATCCGACACAAACCTCTGCAGTGTTCTGCTCCGCTCCCCTCCCTGGCCACGTCCCCTGTCAAGAATTTCCACTTAGCGCTCAGGCAGACAGCATAAAGCAAAGCTTTTGTGTCCGAGCGACAATGCGGAATGAGCAGCGATTAGGCATGAAAGGTAAATGCATAATGGATGAAAGCCGCAATCTGTGAGTGGAAGGCGGTGGGCGACGAGGACAATTTGATACGTAGCCTTTGTCACACGCACAGCCTTAATGAGGTTTGTTTTTAATTCTAATTCGAGGGCGAACCGCGATGCCACGGGACTCCACATAAAACCTTTAGAACGTGCCGCTCTCAGTTTAAGTCATTTTTAATGAAAGAAAAAACACTTTATCTCCATAAAAGCACTCCCTCAACAAGCCGCCTGCACCCAGGCCATAAATTATTGGTTCCGTGCTGGGTAAACAGCACGCAAACTGAGCCATGCAACATACACCTCACAGATACTCAATCTGCCCGCATCCCTTACAGCGAGAGTGTCACTGTTAGAATAGCCGTTGAATAAGCAGCGGGTTGAGAGTCACAGCCTCATTATTCCGCTAATCAACCAGAGAGACGTCTGCTATTTCCTCTGAACTATATTCACTGCCACCGTCTTCACTTACTTAACTTAATTTGGTCCACGATTAATGGGCTCGATCAATAATCCATCAATCCTTGACTAATACCCATTCAATCCTCCATCAACACCCACTCAAGCGCTCGATCCATCCAGCGACACTCTACATCTCGTCCTGATCGGTGCGTTCCCGGGAAGACACCCAGCGGCTGACGATCACTTCCTGAAACCCCAAGGAGACGGGAATAAATTTGGGAATGCCGTACGTACGGACCGACCCCGGGGAGGTGGTGGTGGGTGGGGGGGGATGGAAAGGCGACAACACACAGTGGGGACGGGGGAAACGTCTTTCCCCCCCTCAGAAACGCTCACTGACCTGAACCTTGATCCTCCTCATACAGTCCGGAGACGCCAACTCCTCCTCACCCATGTCCGACGGTCGGATTAAATAACACAGCATCAACTCCTGTGGGAGAGAACATGCCGTGTGAGGGACTGCGTGTGTCAGCCTGGCGCGGTGGGTAGCGCCCTCTCTCCCTCTCTCTTGCTTCGGACTCAAGACGGTTGTAGATTCGAACCCTTACGTCAGGACTTGGAATCACACAGGCTGAGCTGAGGCTCCAGTGCAGCGCTGGGGGTGGGGGGGGGGGCGGGGCAGGGAGGTGTGGGTGGGGTGGGGGGGGGCGGTGTTGCATTGTCAAAGACACCGTCTTCCAGATGAGACATTAATCCGAGGTCCCCGTCTGCCTGTTCAGGTGGACGTTAAAGATCCTGTGGCGCTATTCAAAAAGAGAAGGGAGTTTCTCTCTCTCTCTCCCGGCGTCCAGCCAACAATCCCCCCGAATCCTCTCTCCTCAAATAAAATGGGTCACTCGCTCTACGACTGTTTGTGGGACGCTGCTGTCCGTAAACTGGCTGCCGTGTTTCACCGACAAAACATCCAGTCACTCCACTTTACAGTGTATCTTGTGAAGCACTTTGAGACGTCTCAAATGCAAGGATTATTATTATTATTGAACAGTAAAATAAGCAGGGAACACTCGCTGCTCACACGCTCACTGCCCAGCGCTGAGACCACCAGGGACAGAGACCCCCAGGACTGGGCAGCAGGTGGGGAGGGGACAGTGGAGGAGCGATGGTTGGGAAGAATGCACAGCATCGGCAGCGGTGTGACCCTCACCTTGGAGACGTTGCCTGTGATCCGGTTTAAACCCGCGAGCGACTTCCAGGTAAAGGGACGAAGTGCTGGACTCTGAAACGTGTCATCGGTCATTTCAACCACCACAGAGTAACTGAGGGGAGACACAGAGAGATCAGGCACCCAGGCCACACAGTCACACAAGGCTCTAACCCTAACCCGACCAGCCTCCCCCACCACCCCCACCCGACAAAGCTCCCCATCACAAGCGATTCTTACCTTGAGTGATAAAATGGTGGTCCTTTTCGATACAGCACTGAAACATAACGGCAAAGTCACTCACAATCTAGCACACAAAACCCTGGGATAAATACCGTGTAGAACACACCCAACTGGTGCTCGCTCCCCTCCTGGAGCTCTCTAATCCTACTCCCTGCTCTCTCTCTCTCCCCATCGTGTCTGTGCTGGTTCTCACTCCACCACTGGAGCTCTCTAATCCTATTCCCCTGTTACTTCAGACATCACCCCCATTACTGCTCTGGAGGATCAGCGTAGACTGAAGCCTAAAGTCCTAACGTGGGGATTGAACCCATAACCTTCTGACCTAGAAGCGAGAGCCTGACGAGGCTGACACGTATATAACAATAACAAGGTACCAATGAAATTGATGAGGTAAACACTCACAAAGGTCTGTGCCATATTTCAGGCCAGTCTTTGGTACCCAGCCTTTGCTCCTGAAGTAGTGATAGGCCATGTAATTGGCTTTAAAGCCAGGCTGAATCAGGCCAAACACCTCCCACAGCTTGGCAATGCTCAGAGGCTCCTGAAACAGTCAATCAGCGCACATTGCAATGGCGCGTACATAATACCGTGCACACGTGGCAACGGCAACGCACACGCGGCAGCAACACGCAACGTGGACACTGGCTGCAGGGGTAGCGCTTGGGGTGGAGGGCGGGGGCGGGGGGAGCTACCGCTGGTGGTGGGGCAGTGAGGGAGAGAGAGAGAGAGAGAGAGAGACGTGGTTTTACTTGCACAACTGGCAGCGAAGACCAGAGGCCAAACGTCACTCACCTCATTGTGATAAATCGTCAAACAGCCCAGGGCGTAAACCAGGAAAAAAGCCTGAACCCGAAATACAACAGAGAGGAACATGATCAGTGCAGTTCAGCACAGAGGAGATGTGAGTTATGAGTTTTTGTATCACTTGGAGACATCTCAACAACGTGATAATGAACTACGTTTAAATGTAAGGATTATTATAAACACAGAAAGTATGTACTTTAACAATTGGAATCTGTGCCCAGAAAATAGATTTATTTACACTTTACGTGCAGTGTTGCATCAACACGGAAAGAGGTGACATTGAGGAAGAAGGCTGTAGTGTAGAAAAGGTTCAGTGGTTATAAACAGCGTCACACACACACATACACACACCTCCTGTAGCGAGAGCTGCAGATACTCAAATATCCTGAATGGGTTCCTCCTGCACACCAACCTCGCACTCCGTCTCAGCTGCAGAAACACAAATAATTCTATCAAACCAACAAACCAACATCTATTGAGTTACAGTTCCCTCTCACTCCCCTCCCCTCACTCTGGGAATCAACATCAACAACACATTACATTTACACAACGCCTTTCACGTCGGGAGGACGTGCAGAGGCGCTGGACAGTCAGGGATTTGGACCTGAGCTGGGGGTTGGGATCAGGAGGGGTGGAGGGCGGGGAGGGTGGGGGGTAGGAGGGTGGTCGAAGGCACGATCGAAGAGGAGATTCTTGAGACTGGCCTTGAAGGGGGCGAGGCGGAGGGACTGTGGGATGGAGTTCCGGAGGGTGGGAGCAGTGTGGCTGAAGGCTTGACTACCGATGGTGGGGTGGGGCGGGGGGGGACACGGAACAGCCCGGAGTCCGCTGAGCGGAGGGAGCGTGGAGGTGGGGAGGGGGGGGGTGTGGGTGTCGGTATCAGATCGCTGGACTCACCGCACTGCCCATGTCCTCGTCTCCGCTCCCCACCGACTCCTCCTCGACTTCCACCAGCACCAGCTCGTGATCCAACCAGCGTCCGTCCTCCCCGCCCTTGGCCTCCCTCATAGTGACGTCTCCAGCGATCGGCGCCCGGTCCTCGTGTCCGTTTGCCGGCGAGGGGTGAGAGCACTCGGCCTCCTCCACTCGCGATCTCTTCCCACAGGAGCTCTTGGCCGCGGGTCCTTCTCCCTCTCCGGCTGAAGGTTCCCTGACGGAGACTCCGGAGTCGGAGATCAGGTCTCTGCTGTCGGTCTCGGGGGTGTCGCCGGGAAAGGTGACGGCTGCCGTGTAGCTGGTGAGGATTCTCTCAATGTGACTGTCCTCCAGCTCCTGTGCCTGCAGCAGCCCCTTTGCCCACTCGACGTGGTGCTGATACCTGCAAATTACACGGCGGAGGGTAATAATCCCTGCATTTGATGTCGCTCCTTATCACGTCCTTGAGACGTCCCAAAGCTCTTCACAGAATATACTGTAAAGTGGAGTGACTGTGTATTTTGCGGGCGAAACGCGGCAGCCAATTGCGCACAGCGACGTCCCCACAAACAGTCGTGGAGTGAGCGATCAAGTTCCCGGCATTTGGGATCCCGAATTTATATTTAACCGCAAATCTGTCCGCAAACTGAACAGTTTAGAGCCGGAACGTGGACAGGGAGCAGGGATTACGCTCCGTGATGCCACGTCCTAGACCTCGACAGACGGCAAATCAAACAAGAAACAATCTTCGGCTCGTGCGGGAGTTACACACACAGCCCAGAGGAACTCACTTTTTTGACGAAATGATCGGCAAGTGTAGAGCAGCGGCGTCTGTACAGAAAGGCGGGAGTTAACATCTCGGTCTGTGTACGTGTCTGTCTTTTCAGCCAACGTGAAAATCAAGTGGCAGCATTACATTTGCATTTAAATTTATATTTCATAGTAAATGAACAACACAAATGAGACCATTCTCTAATCATGAAGCGCTTGGAGACATCTCAACGACACGATAAGGCGCTACATCAAATGCAAGGATTATTACTATTATTATTATTAATATTATTATTATTATTATGATGCTGCTGGCTGCTGTGTGGGAATATTTTTACTCTCGAGAAAAGCCACAAAGCAAGTAACGAAACCAGGAGAAATCCGTCGTTAAAAGACATGTACCTTTCCATTTGGCGGCCAAAGCGGGGTCTGAGATATTGTACTCGGGTCTGCTCCTCGATAGCACCCTTTCCCAAAGTACCCCTAAACACAGAGAGACAGAGAGAGAGAGAGAGAGAGGAGAGACCACCACCTTTACATAAGACGACAACAAATACAATTTACCCGGCATTTTTCAAGTCAGGAGGACGTCCCGAGGCTCTGGACAATCAGGGATTTGGACCTGAGGTGGGGATTGGGATCAGGAGCTGGTGGAGGGCGGGAGGGAGTGGGGGGGGGTGGGGGGAGGGTAGGGGTAGGAGGGTGACCGAAGGAACAGTCGAAGCGGAGGGTCTTGAGACGGGTCTTGAGACGGTACGTAAGGACGCACCCGGGGGTGGGGGTGGGGTGGGTGGGTGACGGTCGAGGCACGGTGAGGTGACCCGGGGGGGGGGGGGTTTGTTTTCGGTACCTGCCCGTAAAGCGCTGTGATATCGTCCGGCTTCCTGACGATCACGTAGTTGTTTAGGATCTCGGCTTCGTAATGCCGGGGTTCCTTCCCGAGGCTCTCCTCCTGACTGAGCGGCACCGGAAACGGAGCCTCGTACGCCTCGTAAACCCGGCGTCTCCGCTTCGGAGGCCGGAAAACCGCCTCCGCCATCGGCTCCCGACCCGAACCTCGGGCTTTCTTCACCGTAGGTAAGAGTGGAGCCTCGTAGCTCGGGGCGTAAGAGACCCGGGTTCGACTCCCGGGCGGGTCAGGACACGGTGAAACCCTCGGCAAGTTTCCCGAGTCTGCGCTCGCTCCTCCGGTGTCCTGACGGTAAATAGAAATGATAGGTTTGGTCGCTCCGTCCGCGGCTGTTTGTGGGGACGTCTCTGAGCGCAGTCGCTACGCGGAGAGTGGGAGGAGGTGTCCTGGGAAGCGCTTGGAGACGCCTCGATAGGACCTGATGTGGCCCCGGGTCAAAAATATCAAAGGCAAAGATTATTGTTGTTTATTGTTGTTGATAAAACACAACAAACGGGGAGTTGGGGGTGTGTGTGTGTTGGTGTGTGGGGGGGGGGGTGAGGGGGGGGGTGGGGGGTGGGGGGGTGGGGGTGTGGGGGGGTGGTGGTGGGGGGGGGTGTTGGGTGGGGGGTGGGGTTGGGGTGTGGGGGGTGTTGGGGGTGTGGTGGGGGGGGTGGGGGGGGGTGTGGGGGGGTGTGGGGGGGGGGTGGGGGGGGTGTGGGGGGTGGTGGGGGGGTTGGGGGGGGTGTGGGGGTGTGTGGTGGGGGGGTGTGGGGGGGTTGGGGGGTGTATGAGGGAGTGTTGGTGTGTGTTGGGGGTGTTGGGGTGTGAGGGGAGTATTGGGTGTGGGGGGGGGGTGGGGGTGTATGAGGGTGTGGGGGTGTGGGGGTGTTGGGGGGTGGGGGGTGTATGAGGGTGTTGGTGGTGTGTGGGGTTGGTGGGGTGTTGGGGTGTATGAGGGGGTTGGGGGTGTGGGGGTTGGGGGGTGGGGCTGTGGGGGGTGGGGGGTGTTGGGGGGTGTGAGGGGGGTATGGGGTGTGTGGGGGTGTGTGGGGGGAGAGTCTGTGTGTCGGACACCCACTCGGCTGTTCCCGCTGTTCCGGTCCCATCGCTCTCCAGTCCGCACCGCCGGAGGTTTCCGGCGCATTGGTTCCGCCCCAAAAACAGCCGAAACTCCTTCACATTTTGTTGCTGTATTAACTGTTCTTTTCGGTGTAGTGACTATTTTTTTGGTATAGTGACTGTTTTTCGGTGTGGTGACTTTTTTTCGGTGTAGTGACTGTTTTTTAGGGTGTGGTGACTGTTTTTGGGTGTGGTGACTTTTTTTTGGGTGTGGTGACTGTTTTTTTGGGTGTGGTGACTGTTTTTTTGGGTGTGGTGACTGTTTTTTTGGGTGTGGTGACTGTTTTTTTGGTGTGGTGACTGTTTTTTTGGGTGTGGTGACTGGTTTTTGGGTGTGGTGACTGTTTTTTGGGTGTGGTGACTGTTTTTTGGGTGTGGTGACAGCCAGTGCCAGCCATACGACGAGTGGAATATCACGTAACGTCTTGAGTGACGCGCGGAATGGGGAAGGAAGTGAGAAACGCCAAAGCTTCTCTCAAATCATTTGAAAATCTCTTTTATTTCTTGAAAGTATTCGGTCGGTCGAGAATTGTCATTTCTTTTATGTACGCGCGATACTATCACGCTCCAATACAGGGAGCGGGCACCAGCACAGACACGACGGGGAGAGAGAGAGAGAGAGAGAGCCGACAAAATCTACAGTCAATTCACTTTACAGTATATCCTGCGAAGCGCTTTGAGACGTCTTTGAGAGAGGGACGTGATGAGGCGCCGTCTCGCGTGAAAAGGTCATTGCTATTATTCTAATGGGATTAGAGAGCTCCGGTGGTTAAATCGGATAAGTGTAGATGCCTTCGAGGAGGAAGCTGGACCTTCGCACGTGGGAGAAATGGGAAGAGTGTAGGAGGGAGAAAGGAATGTCTGGAGTATAAGCACCGGCGCAAGCTGGCTGGGCCGAGGGGTCTGTTCCATGTTGTACAGTCTTGTATCTCCTGGTGTCCCAAACCAAATACCTTTCTCGCTCCAAACTCTCGCCGTAGTCCACAGTCACCACCATCGGGGGAGCGTATGGTCACCTTCCAAGTCAATGGCACTGTTATCATGGTCATAAAGCGCCACCTGCTGGCTGCCCCAGGCAATGCCCCAACGTCCTCAGATACCCAGCGCTGAAGCTGTTCGGGTCCCAGTTGATTATCATTGATTACTTTTGCTAATGGAACAATAATAATCGTTTGAGTTTGATACAAAGCCTTTCATGTCGCAGGACGTCTCGAAAACACCGCGCAGGATTTACTGCAACGTGTAGCGGCCGTGCGTAGTGACAGTCGCACGGGGCCTTTCGGGTCAGGAGGACGTCCCAAGGCTCAGGACAGTCAGGGATTTGGACCCGAGCTGGGGGAATGGGACCAGGAGAGGTGGAGGGCGGTGGGGGGGGGGGGGGTGAATGGTGGGGGCAGGAGGATGGCTGAAGGTGCGGCCGAAGAACAGGGTCTTGAGATGGGCCTCGAATGAAGCGGGTGGAGGGGGGTGCGGGTGGGAGCGAGGTGAAGTGACTGTGTGATGGAGTTCCAAAGAAGAAATCCAAACAAGTAAAATCTTGCCTTTCTTTTTGCATTTCACAGATGTCAGTAATAGGACGATAGTAAATGTAGTCGGTTAGAACTTCTGCTGTATTTCCCAACAACCTGGAGCCACAGAGGGGAGCTTGTGGAGACCACAGGACTCAAATGTGAGGGGGTTGGGGGCAAGAGGCGAGATGACTCAGGCTCACTCGCTGAGTCTGTGTGTGATGGGAAGTGCTGTGCAATGCAATGACTGGCTGACAGTTGCACAAGCCGGAGTCAGTCTGGCCCAGTGTAATCAGCCGGGATGTGGACCTGACTCTGTGCCTTGCTGATTCAGGACCGGTTAATCATCAACAGGGGATGAAGTTCAGCATCGCTCCTGCCAACTTTCAACAGCGCACACAGGGGTCAGAGTTCCCTCTCGAGAGCTCCTTTTTTGTTCTTCTGGTTTATTTCAAACGCTTTTTTTTAAAAAAAAGAGAAAACTATTGGAGGAAACAAAGACTGATTTCAGGGCAGATTATAAATAATCCTAGCACTCGATACGCTGCCTTATCACGTCGTTGAGACGTCTCAAAGCGCTTCACGGGGTTTTACTGCAAAATTGGAGTGACTGTGTTATTTTGTGAACGAAACGCGGCAGCCGGTTTGTGCACAGCAATGTCTCCACCAACAGCCGTGAAGTGAACAGCAAATTTTATTTGAGAGATTATCGGCCAGGACACCGGGAGAGAGAAACTCTCTTCTCTTTTTGAATAGCACCACAAGGTCCGACTAGCCTTACTGAGCCAGGTTGACACCTGTTCATAGAATCATAGAATTATACAGCACAGAAGGAGGCCATTCGACCCATCGTGGCTGTGCCAGCTCTTCGAAAAGAGCTTCCAAATCAATCCCGTGATGTTACCCGTTATTTATTGCCGAGGTGTCTCTCCCGCTCTCTGTCTCAAAGGAGAGCGATTCCACCAAACATCCTCTAGGATTTTGGGGCAATGTGCGGAGAGAATTAAAAAAATATATTTTCAGAGCACCTAAACACAGTGAAGGGCACAAAGAAGATCTTGAGACACAGCGGGCAGTCCTGTGACTGGAATCACTTGCTCAAGACTCGATTCACAACGTTTCGGGGTTTGCAGGGACGGACAGTTTATCAACCAGTTTTGTAAATTATTTAGCTTGGTTCAGAGCTTGTTATTTTACCCACAAACACACGCACGCAGACACAGACCCACATACAAACGTACACGCAGACACTCGCACGCACACCTCACGCAGACGTACATATATAGACAGACATGTACACACGCACAGCCACAAGCGGATTCACAGTCACACGCGCACAGGTAAACACGCGCGGACTTTAGAAAGTTTGTCTGATCCAAATTTTTCCCCAAATGTACAGATGTACAGGGTATCCATAAAGTCCTGTTACCCCCCGTTACAACACAGCGCTAAGAGACTACGGAGGAACTGAAACAAGGGTCAGAGATGCATTTTCCCTCCTCATTCCATCCATGTCATGTAAGCTGTGACACCGAACATGGCGATGGATTTTTATCTGCCATGAAAATGATGGCGCTCACACATACTCACACTCACACACACTCACCGATCCTCTGAACGTCTAAATACAGTTAAGCGATTGTACTGAATACAATGAAGTAACTTCTAAACACGACGATCATCATTCTTCCATATGTTTCAGGGGTTGGTAGTTGGTCGGTGCCCAGGAAAAACAAACATGTGGGTAACCGGACTTTGTGAACACTCTGTAGTCGTATCATTTTTCTCCCCATTAAGGAAGCCATTGGTCCAGTGTTGGGAAGATGTTGACACTGAACCCGACCAACAGCTCGGGTGCAGATCCCTGACTGTCCAGCGCCTTGGGACGTCCTCCTAACGTGAAAGGCGCCGTGTAAATGTAAGTTGTTGTTGTCAGGCGGACACTGCAAGGAAGAGGAGATAATCGGAGGCTAATACAACAATAACAACTAGATTACATGTGTATAGCGCCTTTCATGTCGGGAGGACGTCCCAAGGCGCTGGACAGTGACAGCCTTTCAGACCCCAGCTGGGGTCAGGGAGGGAGAAGGGAGGGGAGAGGAAGGGGAGTGAGCGATGGCATGGTCGAAGAGGAGGGACTTGAGGCGGGACTTTAATACAGATCCTTGTAGATCTCCTGCAGAAGTGGGTGCAGGTTCATCTCTCCCTCTGTCTTCCTGATGGTGTGCAGGAGCTGCACATGTTCAGTCACTATCTGCCGCAGGTCAGTCATTTTCTGCAGTAACTTGGCGAAGAGGTGAGGGGAGTCCGGGTGGTTGAGCTTCAGCTGCAGGGCCAGAGCCTGGAGGAGACTGTCCTGTAAATCCTCGATCGGCTTCACATTCACCAGCCCGGGGCGGTCTGTCAGAGACAACAACATAAACATAAACAAATTACAACACCACCAAATTACAATCGTCAGGAGGATGTCCCAAGGCGCTGAAACAGAGACAGGGACAGCCAATTCATTCTCCCATTAGAAAAGACGTGTTATAATAACATACATAATAATCCTTGCATTTGATATAGCGCCTTATTACCTGATTGAGACGTCTCAAAGCTCTTCACACAATATACTAAGGTCGATTGACTGTGTAATTTGTGGGCGAAACGCGGCAGCCAATTGCGCATAACGGCATCCCCACAAACAGTCGTGCAACGGTTTGCGCAACGGCCGTCAACCCCACAATTGTGCCATGAAATCCTTCATTAACCGTGCTCAGGGTCACCTCCCCCACTCCCCCGGGTTCGGGGTCAGGCTCCGCCACTGTTAAGCGCGCTGAGATGCTGCCCTTTACGAAGAGCGACATGTAAGCTGTTGTGGTTCTCACCTCCGCTGAGGATGACGATGGCGATGAAGACTGCAATGTCCCCGTCGTCCAGGCCCAGGGAGTTGAACTTGACGGCGAAGCCGAACTTGGGCTCCAGCATGTGGCAGAATGGCTCACGGAGGCTCTTGATGAACTCGCGGGTCATGAAGCCCTGCCCAGCGGCGATCAGCAGCCCGTCCTTGTTCATGAGGGAGGCGAGCATGGTGAAGATCACCTCGTGTACCCCGTACTTCAGCAGCGTCACCTGGTCATTCAAGTCCAGCGACACGAAGCCCGGGATGGACTTGGCGAATTCCGTGATCTCCCGCACGGCCTCCACCGAGCGGAACTGGCAGCGCTGGAAGATGCGAATCTCCACCGCGGTGCCGTGGGGGGGCACGGACGCCTGCTGCCGGAATGTGATACACTCCTCCCCAGCCTTCAGCGAGCTCATGTCGTAGATCACAAACGGCTGGAGAGACCAACCCAACACGTCACAGCCCATCACCACACAACGCGACACACTACAATGTTTCACACAGTGACTGGTTGGCCCTTCCAGGTCCTGCCCACGAGCCGGACCGGGCTGGGCTGCCATCAGCAGTGAGTGCCCTGGGACACTGCGGCCCCTCCTGGCTCAGGAACTGGGGGCTAGAGACCGGCACAGACAGAATAGGGGTCTTGAATCCTACATTCTGTTGCCAAACATGTCGCCTTGGGGCCAGTTCAGCTCCAAGGAGACCCTGCTTAGCTCCTCTCCCCCCCCACCCCCACCCCCACCCCAACCCAAGGTGGATACATCGCAACACATCACCTCACATGAAAACATATCACATCACGTGGCAACACAGCCCAACCCAGCCCCAGCACAGCCCAACACAGCCCCAGCACAGCCAAACCCCAGCACAGCCCAACCCAGCCCCAGCACAGCCCAACCCAGCCCCAGCACAGCCCAACCCCAGCACAGCCCAACCCAGCCCCAGCACAGCCCAACACAGCCCCAGCACAGCCCAACACAGCCCCAGCACAGCCCAACCCCAGCACAGCTCAACCCAGCCCCAGCACAGCCCAACCCAGCCCCAGCACAGCCCCAGCCCCAACCCAACCCCAGCCCCAGGACAGGCTGTTCTGTAATTATTAAGGAACAACCTACCGACTTATCTCCCGCTTTTCCGGTCATGATGGCTCGAGCCTTGGCCTTGGTGATGGGGAAGTACTTGCAGTAGGACTCAAACATGTGCCGGGCCAGAGTCCGGAGATCGGCCGCTTCGGGGTTCAGCCGCTCGGCGTCTCCGCTGATCTCGGCCAAAAGCTTCTCCTTCTCCGACTGCGGCATCCGGCCAAACCGGATAGCTACAGGTCAGAGCCTCCATCAGAACATTGTCCAACATTGTGAAAGGTGCGGTGTAAATGTAATGTGTTGTTGTTGTTGCTACAGAGAGTGAGGGAGAGAGAGAGAGAGAGAGAGGACAGGGCCGCGGGGCAGTAGGTATTGGAGAGGAGCCGACAGTTTGCCGAGCAGTGCCAGCTCTTTGCCGAGCGGGGGCCAATGTAGCCCAGTGTTTGCCGAGCAGTGCTGGTGGAGCGGGGCCTTTGCCGAGCAGTGCTGGCTGATGGAGGCGGTGACGGGGCTGGTGTGGCCGGGGACTCACCATTGTGTGACATGCCGACGGAGAGGCACTTGCGGAAGCGGCAGCTCTGACATTTGTTCCGGTTCTTCTTCTGGATCCGGCAGTTGAGGTCACAGCGGTCATACATCAGCTTCAGCCGGATGGTTCTCCGGAAAAATCCCTGCCCCACACACAGTATAGTGCCATCATCATCATCATCACCACCATCATCATCATCAACATTATCATAATAATATTCCTGGCATTTGACACAGCGGCTTATCACATCGCCGAGACGTCTCAAAGCGCTTCACAGAATACACCGTAAAGTGCAGTGACTGTATTTTCTGGCCGAAATGTGGCAGCCGATTGCACACAGCAGCGTCCCCACAAACAGTCGTGGAGTGAGTCACCAATTTTATTGGGGAATTGTTGGCCAGGACACCGGGAGAGAGAGAAACTCTCTTCTCCGAATAGCGGCGCGGGATCTTTGACGTCCACCTGAACAGGCAGACCGGGCCTCGGTTTAACATCTCAGCTGAAGAATCAATGCCATAACATCGACCATTGCCAGCACCAAAGCCAATATCAAACCAACAGAAGGCCTGACCGCCGATGGTGGGGCGAGCAGGGCGGGGACATGGAGCAGGCCAGAGTCCGCTAAGCAGAGGGAGCGGACACCCCTCTCACCCACCTTACACCCCTCACACGCGTGCACCCCATAGTGGAAGCCGGAGGCCTTGTCTCCGCACACTCGGCACTCGATGGACAGCCCTGGATTTGACGTCTCTTCGAGCGACTTGGCTCCTTTCCCAGACAGCTCACATACAGAGTTCAGCTCCATCTTAAACCTGCCTGAGAACAACAGAGAGAGAAAAATCCCAATTCACAAGAGCTTCCCATCATGTTCCAGTTTCACATGTAGCTATTAAGGGGAGATAGGGAAAGTGGGGGGTGTGTGTGGGGGGAAGCGGGCAAAGAGAGGAGGTACAAGAGGTAGAAAAGCATCTGATCCCCTGAGAGAGAGGTAATCCTGTGGTGAGATGTGACCAAGTGGTAAAGTTGGGCAGTGTCTGACCTGCTGGGCTGTTGTCATCATATTGTGAGTCGCACGATGTGTCCTCGAGCCTCTGGGGGCCGGGGGCCTGATGGTAACATGCCGAGACCACCCCGCAGACATCCACACTGCCGAATGGCTTGCCCTCCAAGGGGAGGGGCAGGGAGAGGGCGAGGGGGCGATCCCTGAGCTCCAGCATGTCCAACCCGCTCAACCCAAAGCCCCCCGGCCACAGGGGCACTTGTGTATCCACCATCCTCTGTCCTGGGGGGAGAGAGAACAAACGTGTTATCAACGGCGTTCGTCTGCCAGAAATGTGACCAGCTCTGGCTTGGGACGTCCTCGTGACACTAAAGGCGCCATATAAATAATAATCCTAGCATTTGACATAGCACTTTATTATGTCGTTGAGTCGTTTCCCCCACAAATATACGGTCAATTCACTTTACAGCATATTCTGTGAAGCGCTTTGAGACGTCGAGAAGACGTGAAAAGTGCTTATATCAAATGCAAGGATTATTATTATTATAAAGCGCTTCACAGGATACACTGCAAAGTGTTGTGACTGTATTATGTGCCATTTACGCACAGCGACATCCCCACAAACAGTCGTGAAATGAGTAACCAATCTGTAAAAAAAAATTAATTGGAAATTTACTGTTATTCAGACGCTGTTCTTCAGATGAGATATTAAACCAAACTCCCTGTCGTTACCCTGTTCAGACCGAAGTTGAAGATCCCACGACCCATTGATTATTTATTTCATGTCAAATACTGGTATTTATTTTTTTGTCCATATTTTCCATATTATGATTTCACTGACTGAAGGATATTTAATCAAAAAATTCAGCTTCCCCAACACTATTGCAAAAGAGAAGGTAGTTTTTCTCTCTGTCCCCCAGTATCCTGCCCGACAATCCCCCAGATAAAATGATTCATTCTATGTGAATGTCTATGTGTAGGACGTGGCTGTCAGGAAATTTCACACACAGACTACAATCACTCAACGGAAAATTAATTGTGGGTTTAATACTTTTTCGCATTTCTGTGCCACGTTAAATTTTAAGGCAAAATAAGCGAAAAAATAATAATCCTCCCATGTGATACGTACAGCATCTTTCGCGTCTCAAAGTGCTTCGCAGGATTTGCTGTAAAGTGTCGTGACTGTGTGTTGCCAGGTGACACACCCTGAACCGGCCTGTCACACATCTGGAACTTGGCTGAAATGGGCTTGTATTATTTGATGTATTAAAATTCTTTGTGATCTCTGTGTGTCTGTGAGCTGCACAGTTACAGCGGAAAAGAAATCGGTGCTGAAACCAGAGTTAACACAGGAAATATTTAGAGGCTTGTGATGTGTTCGGTTACCCTTCAATCTGCCAGACCTAAAGTCCTGTCTCAACACAGCAGATAAAAAGCCGCTCGCGCTCATAAAACCGAGCCCACTGATATCTGGTCAAAGTCAAAGCTAAAGCTTGCCATCCTGTAATCTCTCTATAAAACAGAAGCTATTTCAGTCACATATTTCTGTAGCGTCCATTGCTGCAAACCATGAATAACCCCGCAATTATCAAACCAGAGACACGATACACTTCTGTAATTCACCAACAAGTTACAATTACACAGAGTGCTTCACAGTGGTGGACTTGGACACTGAACTCGGAGGAATGTGGGGGACGTGGGCGGCACTTCATCAAATCCTTGCATTTAATAAAGCTCCTTATATTGTTGAGACGTCTCAAAGTGCTTCACAGAATATACTGCAAAGTGAACCGATCGGGCATTTTTTGGCCAAAACGAGGCAGCCAATTGTGCACAGCAGCGTCCCACACACAGTCGTAGATTCAGTACCATCTTCTTTGAGAGAGGGATTATTCTACTTTGTGGGCATTTCGCCCACAAAATACACAGTCAATTCACTTACTTACAGTATATTCTGTGAAGCGCTATGAGACGTTTAGAAGATGTGATACTGCGCTATATCAAATGCAAGGATTATTATTAACTCCAGAAAGCGATCCACCATCAACTAACAACCGGGTTCTTACTTACTGCTGCTAAACAGAGGTTTGTGTGTGGAGGAAGGAAACTTGCCGAAGGTTTCACCCTGCCCAGGAATCGACCCTGGGTCCTCTCGCTTGTGAGGCGAGGGCTCTAACCGTTGAGCTCCAGGACTCAAAGATAAGATAACTCGAGGGTGGGCGAGGTGGAGGAGCGGAGGCTCCGAGTTCCTGATCTTGGGGGTGTAGTGACTGAACATTCAGTATGTAACACGCTGATGGAAAAAAACCAAACCAGTTCGGCTGCTTCTTAAAAAGAAACCGACTTTGATTTTACCGACAAGTTTTGGAGGAATTTTAGAATCCGGATATCCATCTGAGTCTCTGGCAACGAGGAGCTCCCCAACCCCTCTCTCACCCACCCCCCAACTCCCCCCAGCCCTGCACTGGGGCATCAACCTAGATTGCGATCTCACAGTTACACAGTAACCACAAGTATTCTGGTGGGGAGTAGGATCAGACTGATACTCCTGTGTTTCCAGACAGTAGTTTCCTCTGGGAGCTTAGAGTGCTTTATACCCTGACCCCTGGCAGTGGGGGTTAGAGTGAGACAGACTCTCTCCGTTTCACAATCAGCCCCAGAACAGACTGTCAACCTCACAAAAACCATCCAGTGAGAAAGGAAGAGATGCATAAGAATAATAATCATCCTTGCACTTGACAGCGCCTTATCACGTGTTTGAGACGTCTCAAAGCGCCTCGAGGATAAACTGTAAAGTGGAGTGACTATACTTTATGGGCGAAATGTAAACGACAGCGAGTTGGGTCTAACCACAAGGTTAGAAACTTGCCGAGGTTTCTGCAATAGAAACACAGAAATGTACAGTGTAGAAAGAGGGCCATTCGACCCATTGAGTCAGCGCTGGCTCTCAGACCAAGAGCAGTTCAATCACTTTGCTCGCCTTATCTCCATCTGTGCTGGTGCTCGCAGCCCACCCCCAGAGCTCTCTCCATATCCCTTCAATGACTTTAAGAGTCAAAAGCGACAAACAAAACGTCAGATCATTTTACCACGAGCGGATCTTAAAGTTTAGCCAGAGAGATAACCAAAAATAAACTGTAGCATTACTTAGTTAATGTTAGTTAAGTTAGTTAACATTCTCCTCTGTATCCCACACCTGATGGGGACTGTCTCACAGACTAACGGAGCCTGGCAGGTCTCACTGACGATGTACTAACCTGTCACAGGAATTAGAAACATTTTGTACATCCCACACCTGAGCGTCAGAGATGAGGAAAGGGCATTTAATACCCCTGCCCGCAAAGCTGGGACGTGCGGCGAGACGTGGGGAGCGAAATAAAATCACACTCAGAGCCACGGAGTGACATCCTCTCTCTGTGTAGTAACTCATCAACCACAATACACCGACCAGGGCTCCTGACATCACTTCCACACACACACTAGACAGACAGCAAGACACGCACACAGACACAGACACACACAGACAGCAAGACACACACGCACACACAGAGCACGACAGAGACAGAGAGAGAGTGAGAGCAAGACAGATAGAGACACACACAGACAGACGCACAAACAAGTTACACACAGCCAGATACAGACACAAGTGAGCAAGACGTATCTTACTCTGTGTGTGTGTGTGTGTGCAACTCACAGTGAGACACACACAGACTTAGAGAGACCCCCCCCCCCCACCTCCACACACATGCACACACTCACAGGTTACTGAGATCACTTATATTAATAACAATCCTTGCGTTTGATATAGCAACTTATCATGTTATTGAGGCTTGTGTGTTAATGGCACCTTATCTCATCCAGCATCTCGCAGCACCTCTAAGCGCTTCACAAGATATACTGTAAAGTGTAGTGACTGTGTATTTCCGTCACTGGGTCCAGCCATTTGTTAAATGAGTCCCAATTCCCCAGGTTACTGAGGTCCAGCACCTCAGGGTTGTGTACAGGACCTTCGCTGGAGCAAAGGCTTGCGTGTTCGCCTACATAAACACAGTCACTACACTCGCCAGTGATCGCTTGTGAGGTGCTGCGAGATGCTGGATGAGATAAGGTGCCATTAACACACAAGTTCTTGCTTCTGTGTCTGCGGCCGACGGTTCACTGAGAGGGCAGCACTTTTCGCAACGAAGCTATGTGTCCATCACATTAAACTCTTGACGCCTCGAGAGATATTAATCAGCAGCGCGAGGCACTACTCTGATATTGCTCAAGATCCTGTGATGATAACCCAGGCGAGTGTCTGACGATCTGCCTTGGGGTTGTCTGTCCAACATTGAGCTCAGCTCTCGGCTCCACACTATCAGTCACAGCAGAGACAAGTCAGGGTCTCAGTATAGACAGGCGACCGCACACAGGAAGCCAAAGATTAATCTCTGCAGAGCGGGGCGCTGAACTCCTGACCTTGTGTCTCCAACATAATCATTGTTAATCAAACGCAACGATTATTATTATATTAAATAACTAATAATAATTTGATCGCTCACTCCACGACTGTTTGTGGGGACGCTGCTGCGTGCAATTGGCTGCCCCGTTTTGCCCAGAAAATTCGTAGTATATTCTGTGAAGCGCTTTGAGACGTCTTGAAGAGATAAGGCGCTGACTGAAACACAAGGATTATTATAATTATTTGCGAGGCCCAGGGCTTGACAAGTAATAATAATAATCCTTGCATTTGATATAGCGCCTCATCACGTGGTCAAGACATCTCAAAGCGCTTCACAGGATATATTATAAAATGCAGTGACTGTGTATTTTCTGGGCAAAACGTGGCAGCCAATTGCACACAGCAGCGTCCCCACAAACAGTCGTGGAGTGAGCGACCAATTTTATTTGGGGGATTGTTGGCCAGGACACCGGGTGACAGAGAGCCAATGGGATCTTCAACGTCCACATGAACATCAACACCAACAACTTGTATTTGCACAGTGCCCCTCATGCTGGGTAGCGTCCTAGAGTGCTTGATGGTGGCTGAGCACGACGGGCAATGTGGTGGTACTGGGTGGGGGGCGCGGGCAGGAGCCAGGCTTGAGCTCGGTTTAATCTCTCATCCGAAGGATGGATACAGGGATACAGGGAGCAAGCGAGTGGGAGGAATGGGCTTAGAGTCTAGAGCTCCCGTGTGCACACAATAGGCTGAATAGCCTCGTTCTCTGGCCGTGAGCCTCCTGTGACACAGTGAGAGTGAGGAATGGTGGTTGAGTTTTGTGACCCACAAACAATCCCGA